TCAAGGGTCCCTCCTTTTACCCTTGGAAAATCTGTTCGACACCCTGGACGAACCGTAGGACATCGGAAAACAAGACGCGTAAAGCGCTTGAGCTCCAACTCGCCAAGCCAGAACCCATAAACCTCAACGCGAAGGGTCTTAGGTAATGACTGTTCTGGGGGATACTTCCCCAAAGCATATCAGTAATTCCGACCGTAGAAACTCTAAATTCTACTGTATAGGTACTTCGGACCGTTTGGTTTTGGTTTCGGGGTTCCTTTGAAGGTACTACAACGTCCTATAGTAGGACTCGTACTAGAGGGTTCCTTAATAGGGCCGCCTTAAGTAAAACAGATTCGAGCCAGGAGCCCGACATTTGCATCGCCCTCGCCCGTGCGTCCACGCAGTTTCAGCGCACCGAGGTGGGGTTTCAGCGTTTAGGGGATTACATTGAGGCTTAAATAATTACGAGTAGAGTTTTTGTGGTTCCTTATCAGAATTATAGTACACGGGGCCCCAAAATCCCATCCTCGAAGTACCTGCCTGCAGGATCCCTTGCCCAAAGGGTCATACTCACTTCCCCAACTCATAACAGTAGTTCCTGACATAGAAACTCCCACGTTCTGTATAGGTACTTGGGACCCTTTGAGTTACTCCCAAACCTCACATAGTACACCTTGAACATTAGTACCCTCCAAGACCGTAAATCCTAAACCGAATCTTCTATTGTTTGCTGGTCCAGCCAGTCACAGTTGAACCCCAGTACATGTTTTGGCATAAGTGCTCTATGGGTACTGTCTCATAAACGCCACGAGAAGAAGTTGAAACAAGAAGGTCAATTTTGTACTTGAGCCCCATTCCTGGCGAACCGAGCTCAGTCCCCTTGGACATGATCTGTGTTTAGTGTTGCGGGTTTGGGCTTAAGGTTGAAATAGGGTTTGACGTTCAAACTTTAAGGTTTCAGGTTTAGGATTGTGGCAAATACAAGGACAGAGTTGTCTGTCGGGGCGACATAAGAGACGGATCCGGAGCACAAGTCATTTGTGACGCCCAGGACAGGACAACGCCAACTGGACTCGTTGGGTTCGCTGCAACGTTGTGTAACGGCGTACACCAGGGCAATGCCACATCATGTAGTGACGCAGTGCAGGCTTATCTACAAGCCCCCGTTGGGCCGGACGCATGGGTTGTGATTCCGATTGAGCTGTGGTTGCCAGCTTGGGTTTGCAAATACCCCCTCAGCGAAACTGGTGGTGGTGGTGTCACTCGACGACGACTCGGTGTACGGCCACCCGGAGCCTGGTCAGGTGGCACAAGATTGGCACAAGTATCTCGAGCGCCGCCTTCGCGAGATTGGCGGCACCGAATGCATTGGACCCGATCTCAAGACCTCGCACCTTCAGCTTGGCCGTTCTTGGACAATACCTATAGTCTCCATTGTAGTTCCTTTTGTTGGTTAACCAAAATCTCTATTATAGGATCCTAACCATAAAACTGGTTAACCCAAAACGGAACTACAATGGAGACTATAGGTAGTTATAATTTTGAAAGGGCTTCCAGGATCAGCCCAGGACTTCCACAATCCTCAACCCCCTATAAGCCGGACAGCCCCAAAGCCTAAACTACAAGCCTGATTGTTTCGTCTCTCTTCCGGCTCATAGGTTAATATAGACGTTAGCTACAGCAAAATCCTTGTATAAGAACCCCATCCCGGGAGGGTAGCATACACTAATAAGGTTCGTATTTGCCATTACCTTTGGTTTTGCCGGCTGAGTAGTTAGGGTAGGCTGAGGTTCTGAGCCGCGTTCTTATCTCGATGCAACGTGCACCTTGAGCCAAACGGCCGCGCTGTCTACTCTTACCTACCCTGACCCGACAGAAACGAATTTGTGCCTCACACTAATTCTTGTTTTGCCTTTGCCCCCCTGCCCCCAACCCCACCCCACCCCTAGCTGCCGCTACCCCCAGGCAAAAACAAACTAGTGTCTGACACTACTTCGTTTTTGCCTTTGTCCACCCCTGCCCCCAAGCCCACCCCCTCACCCTGCCTGCCCCTCTGCCCTGCCCAGCCATGCACACACCGGCATTTTTTACAACTTGGAAGCTGATCCCGAAAGCTAGGGCACGCCAAGCTTCTGAATTTTGAAGCAACCTGAATTCTGTGAATCCCGCCGGGGGCAGGGGCCAAGGTTCTTAAACAGTGGGTTCTAAAAAGGACGTTCACTGTATAATCCCATCACGTTGTAGTCCAAGACCCTACCGTGGTCTATGTAGGGCCCAGAACGGGAAATTTAAACGGCATATCTCAAAACCCCATTCGACTTGTTATGTCTCTTAATCGTAGTATTTGTGCCCTGCAACTTGTGCCAGACGCTGCGGTCTTCTACCGGCGAACGACTGCTTGTCAGTCTTGATGCGCGGTCCTGGGTCCAGGTGTTGTGAAGAGGATCTTCCTGAACCCCAAATATATGTGGAAGAGTTGCATTTTCTGGATGCCGGGCGGTTGTTTTACTTGCCTTTGGGGGCTCGCAGCCTAAACCTTTGTGTGTTGTCTTATGGCATTTTTCCTCGGTGTCCTTGTCTTGTCCCCGGCCGGCTTCCTACTACCCTTGAAGCAAGAAGCTACAAGCCTAAATCCACGAAGCCCAAAACCTCACAACTCTAGCCCAAAATCCAAAACGCAAACTCATAAACCTAAAGTGCTGAAATCAAAAACGAGTCTCCACAAGCCCTGACGCCGCCGCAAGCCATCCAACCCCCAAAATATTCTAAACCCTAAATCAGCAATCCTAAACCTCGAATTTCAGATCCTTCCAAGCCTCCAAGGCTAAGGCCCAAGGGACTTAGTATGTAAGGCTATATAAGTAAGGTTGTGACCAGGACAGCCCCACACAGGGCACTGATAACCCCACTTATACCCAGACATCCCCTGATGCAAGTAGGCGCCTTAACAGTAACTTAGGCGTATGGTCTCACGTTCCCCGAAACCCCAATTTTTTTGGCTAAGGCCCATTTGGGAGTTTCCGAAAAGAAGGTACCCCTAATTTTCGGAAGCTACCATTTAACTACAAGGTAACTGCAAGGCTGCCTTGTAGGATTTCCACTAGGGGTTGTCGACTCAGGGTGCGAGTTGTTTTAGTGGCCTTTTTCGGTGTAATTACTTGTTCGATCTCTTTTCAGGAGTCTTCTTAACTTACTCAATCCATATGTTCGCGAATTGGTATGTGCCCCGTGGGGTAGCAGAATCATGACGAGGGCGACGGCCATAACGCTAGCAAGACTCGTCATACGACGGAGGATAGCGTCCTTGCAGGTCAAGGCACCAAAACACAGCAACGATCCTGCACCACCGTACTAGAATCAACAGTATTGCTAGTGCCAAACCTCATGCATGACGGCAGAGACGACGGCGTCTAATTCCTGCTACTGCTACAACGCCTACTAAGTTACTCGTACGACTGCTCACTACTACCACTCCAACCGCCCTACCCGTGCTGGTGCCGCTGCTACTGCGACTGCTACCCGGCTATACTACTTTCACACTCCTACTCCTAGCTGTTCCTACTCCTACTTCTCCTTTTCTTGTTCCTACTCCTCTGTTACCGCAACGACGACGGCTAGTATTGGATTCCACTCAGGCTGTTGGGGCCCCTGCTGACTGCTGTCAGACGCACCTTTGGGTACAACCGATTTCAACCAGCTTCCTCGAAAAACGTTTCTAGATTCGTGGCCTATGCTGAGGTCAACTCTACCGTTTCACCCGTGCAGATCATGTTCCAAGCTCATCAGCTAAAATCGCTGATGCAGTGGGCTGCTTGCCTGCAACCATGTATATCTGCCATCAGTTGCCAGAGTGGTTGACATCGAGAATGATGTTTTTGCTTCTGATGATGCTGGCGATGGTGGCCGAGATGAAGGTAGATGACCATGGCGAGCTGCTGATCATGATACTGATGATGGTTCCCGATGATGGTTCCTGCTGTTTCCGAGCAGGGAGGACTGAGGTAAATTGAAGGCACATGGCATAGAGGCAGTTCAGCCTACTCTGGAAGTTGCTAATTCTGTCCCATTAACTCCTTCCCAGTCGCAAGCCAGCCAAACTAGATGAGGTAAACTGCAGACCCACTTCCATCCAAGGTTTAGTACATAGTCCGACTCCTTGTGCTTCTTGTAGTCAGAGCCCTGCCAACACTCTTTGTCTTCAGTTGTTTCAAGTCCGGAAGTTTACTCCTTATTCAAAAGATGTTCCTGTGTACAAGTCGCTAGGGTCTTCAACCATAAACCCCGGCGGTTGGCAAGCGCCACACCGGAAGAGCGACATTCAGTTACCCAGAGACTCCAATAAGCCTTAATTAGGGAATATGCCTTGTATTATAGCAGGATCCCTCACATGATTTAGGGAATATTCCATAATGAAGGGATATTGGAGCCTCTGGGTACAGCTCTGACTGTGGTCGCAGGCAGTGGTCTGACAGCAGTGGCCACCTTCACTTGAGGTCCTTTGATCCTGCAAAACCGAGGATCAGGGGATGTGGCAAATTAGACTTTGACTCAATAGACCATATGGGTGGTTGTCAAAATTGTGGTCTCTTTTTGGGTCCCTATCATAGTACGGCACCCATAATTTCGGATACCCAAAAAGGGACCATAATTTTGACAACCACCCATATGTAAGCTCACGAGTGCTCCAACCCCACCCTATACGCCTCAAACGACTTCTAGACCCTCAGCGAACCCTCTTCGGGCAATTCAGAACCCCCCTAAACCCCAAAAACCTGTCAGATCCCACAAGAAAGTTCCCTCCAACAAAGGCTGCAGAGCTGGAGAGCGAGCCGCTTCCGGCCGAAATCACCTCGGAGGAGGTAGTGCACCCAGTTCAGGACCTTGGGATTTTCGGGTGCATGGATTTGGGGGGTTTAGTGCTTTCAAGACCTGCCGGGGTTTGGCAGATTCGAGTTTACGGAGTCTGGGGGTTTGGAGTTTAGGAGCGACTTCTTTGTGGTTGCTGCTAATGCTGCAGATGACGAGTCTGTTGCACATCGCAGCCCCAAAGCATTGGAGGCCGGCACGCTCGCTAACGCGCTCGGCACACCACGACCAACGAACCGTCGCTCCCAGTGGCAGTCCTCGGCCCCGTCCGTGAAGTTGCTCGTGGACTATCTAGTCGAGGCCTTTGGTCAACGCCATGCCGATGAGACGGTTTGGAAACGAGCCTACGGTGGCTAGGGTGGCGACAAGCGATAACGGCGCGTGAGCCTCGAAGTACGGGTTAGCATAGGTTTGGGCTGAGATCGATTGTGAGGTCTCGGGTGAAGGGTTTTTTTGAGATTTTCGGGGAGGTGCCAAAACGAGGATGCTGATGCAGCACAGAGCTAAAACCTGAATTCCCCACACCTTAAACTCTTCATCCTCGATTTCTAGGTAATATAGTGTAACTAAGAAGCATTATGAACATTTTCCTTAGTGGATCGTATAGTAATTTGTTATATTCACTCGCAAACTCGTTTGACTACCCCTGTTTCAAAGCAGCGAAACCCCGATGCCCTAAATCCTTACACCCTCTGCTGAGCTTGAACGGTTGAATCGTAAGCCCCAACCCCAAAATTCCAACCCCAGAAAGCCTTAAAGCTCCATTCCTCCAATACAGGGATACGAAAAGTTTTGTATTATCCCCTAGGCATCAATCCTGTAGTTATGGTATAGCGGCAAAATCCTGTTTTGCTGATTAAGACGCATAATCTAGGAACCTTCATAATTAGAATAGGGTTTTGGTGGCATCTTATATTTTATTCTTAATATGGAACCCCCAAAACCCTATTCTCATTATGAAGGCCCTGATTATACTAAACCCTTATAGTAGCCCTTGTAGTAACCCTTATAGACCCTTTTATAAGGAACCCTTTAACGGAACCCTATTCTATTCTAAAGCTAAACCCCTAAACCCTAGCCCCCTGAACCCTATAAGGAACCCTTTCAAGGAATTCTACTCTAAGTATTACCTATAGTCTCCATTGTAGTTCCTTTTTTTGGTTTAACCAGTTATATATTAAGGATCCTATAAGGTATCCCCAAAAAGGAACTACAATGGAGACTATAGGTAAGGCCCCATGTCGTGAGACGTCAACTTCTGGGAGGTTTCCGCGCTGCGTCTTTGCTTCGTCTTGCGTACCACCGTGGCTCTGAAAGCTTCCTTCAGCGTCGAGGCACTCGATTGTAGGCTTTAGGGATAATATTCCGTAGACTGGAGGCTTTCGGGCTACTATTCTTTAGACTGGGGGCTTTAAGGCCAATGTGTGTTAAGATTGGGGGCTTTAGGGCTAAAGTATTGCCTTCAATTATATGAGAGTTCCCGAAAGTTAGGGGTACCTTATTTCGGAGTCTTTACAACAAGGATCCTACTAGACTATTTAGGGTAATAAAATTACGGTCTCCTACTTTCCGAAACTCCCATTGTGCATTCCTGAATCAAGGAGTGCTGGCCTCAATGGACTCGGTCGACAACCTAATCCTTAGATTCCAAGTATTCAATAATGTCGGACGTTTGGGCCTGTTTAGGTACCAAAAACCATACACGAAGACTACTAGGACCGTCAGGGTAATATAACATCCAAGAGCTGTGGGCCCAACGGACTGACTTCCTGGAGAGGGCATAGCATCCGAGGTTTTGAGGTTTTGGATATCAGACTTGAAATTCTGGGTTAAAGCCTGTCAGCCCCTAACTTTGAGGTACCTCCGACAAGCTCCGTCTTAAGCCTGGCATCCAGTGATACAGTGGGCTTGGGGCCCGTTTTTTTGCAAGGGCTATAGAAGAATTTGGAGGAGGCTCCCTTACTGCTCTTTAGGAAGTATGTTGTCATTTTCTTATCATATTCTAGCTGGCAATTTGGGAAACTTTTTAATTTCCTAATGGTTCCCATAGAGGTACCCATTCATAAATATTTTTCAGGGCCCCAAAACTACAACCCAGTATTATTTAAGGGGATTAATTAATAAGATTATGGTTGTTATTCTGGTTCCAAGGGCGGCTAACCTTAACCCCAAAGGATGCGAAGCATGAGACTGCCCAAACGAGCCTAGCCTTCAGATAGCCTTTCAAGCCAGTGATAATATAGGGGCCTTCATACTTAGAATAGGGTTTTGGTGCGCCATGTGCTATAATTTTAGAATGAGGAGCCCTAAAATAGGATAGGTGCTTATTAAGGCCCCTGATATAGAACCCTACTATAGATCTCTTATCGACCCCTTTAAGGATCCCTTTAAAGGGAGCCCCGGGTAATTATTAACATGGCCCCTACATCATCCAGCTTCAAAGGATGAAGAGCGCACTCCAGGCTCGTAGATCTTGCTCTGGAATCCCCTAAGCCCAGGGCTCCAGTTACTTAAACTAGTAGGGTACTGGGGTAGGGTTTAGGGCTTTAGGGTTTAGGGCTTTAGGGTTTAGGGTTTAGGGCTTGAAGTAGGTTACTTGACCCTAAACCCTAAACCCCTAAACCCTAAACCTAGGATCTAAGTAACCGGAGATTTGGGGTAAACCCAGACCTTCCAATATCCTTTACCTAAGGAATATATTTGAATTCATGCTAGGGATCCTATTAGAATTTAAGGTATATTCCTAAACCCCTAAACCCTAAACCCTAAACCCTAAACCCCTAAACCCCTAAACCCTAAACCCTAAACCCTAAACCCCTAAACCCTAAACCCTAAACCCTAAACCCTATTCCTTAATTAAGGGATTTTGGAAGGTCTGGGAACCAAGACCTGAAGGCTCCCCGCCTTGATCCGCTGAATTCGCGAGAGCCGACCTTCAGAGCCCGTTGAAGCTCTAAAGCTTGCTTGGAGGCCCTTTTGACTTAGTAAGTAGGGTTAGTAAGGTGGGTTATGGGGATTATAATGGGGTTCCTAGGGGATACTAAGTAGACTTACTAAGTCAAAAGGGCCTCCAAGTAAAGCTTGCCTTAAAACCCTGAACAGCCTACCTTTTTTGGGGTTCTTCTTTCATGATTTCCTTGCATAAGTCCTTGAAAAGTTAGGTTATTCGGGGTTAAGGTGGGCCTTAGGTCTAAACCAGACTTCCAATGCACGAAATCCTGCTCACTCAGCACCCTGAATAGACCCTTCAAACCTACACCTTGCAAGTGGAACCCTTAAGCGCCAAGCCCCAAACCCTAAATCACCAATCCATAGACAGCACCTGGAAATGAAACCCCAAAACCCAAGAACGCTCCCCTCGAGCCCGAAAGCCCCCCCTCAAGTACCCTGTAAAATCCAGACCCCTAAACTCCCCCAAACCTTTCAAACCCTAAACCCTAAAGCCCTGCAGAACCCGTATAAGATCCCCTGAAGGAACCTTCATGAACTTAAAGCCATCCATGCCCTGAAACCCTAAACCCTTAAATCGCATGATGATTACTATATAGCGCGATTATGGAACCCCTTAAAGGATCCCAGATCGCACCATCCAAACGATTGCTCATAAAAGCCCTGAGTGGAAGGCGGGGCTTCGATTGTCAGACACAGAGGCGCGGTACAAAGCTGAAGGTTTGGGGGTTTGGTGTGTAGGGGTTTAGGGGTTCAGGGTTTAGGGGCTAGGGGTGTAGGGGTTTAGGTTTTTTCGAGTTTAGGGTTTTTCGGGTTTAGGGGTTGGGGTTCAGGGTTTGACGTTGCCCACAGCCCCCAATGGAACCCTAAACAGAGCCTCAAAGCACCAGCCAACGGAGCCCAGAAGGGAACGCTCAGAGGGTCGTACTGTACCTGGAGGGACTTAGTAAGTAAGGTTATAAGTGACCTAAATGGGGTTATAAGTATAGTTACCTAATTTATAACCCTATAGTTACTAAGTCCCATGATCCTTTAAGTAGAGGTTTTGGAAGAGGCTTATTGACATCAATAGTAGTACATACAACTATGCACTTTTCTCGATAGAAGTTGTAGTGCGCACATGCATCTACTGGCAAAGTACCTGGACCCTTTAAGCACATTGACGGTTTCGATAGCCATTCAGTATTGGGCTTCGGGTTTCAGGGCATTAGTTTTAGGTTTTCGAGTTCCGCTTCCCCCCAACTCTTTGTTTCTCGAATACCAACCTTATTCCTTAGTAGGCCACCCAGACCCTAAACCCTAAACCCTGAACCCTAAACCCTAAACCCTAGCCCTCACAACTAACCAGCCGTCTTAAAGCTGAGTCAGAGGAGATTGAAGGGGTGCTGTTTTAAAGAGGCACCCAGCCTTAAGGTAGGGGATCCTAGTTATTTGAAGCAGGCATCGCCCATATGAGAGGGGTTCGAACAGGCTGATGCGCGTTTTAGGTTTTTTTTAAATTATCGTTAACATGTCGTGTGTTGGGCAACAACCCGTGCTTTAGGCACTCTGAAGCTGCCTGCGGTCAAGCAGAAGTGTCAGCATGCAGCCATCGCTTCGTCGCGGGTGGCCCCGCGAGTAAAGCAAGCCTTCGCAGCCTGGTCAGAACGGAGATTGGCTATCTTCCAGATGGCTTGCTGCAGTTGGGGTCGCCGGATTTGGTGAAGATGATGACAAAGGAGCTCGCAGCTCGTGGTCTCTGCGTCGGCGAAGCTTGCGTCGACAAAAGCGACAAGAATGGGCAATATGCGGTGCTGAAATTGAAGCTCAACTGGTGAGGACGTGAATTCAGCTGCCGAAATGCGAACGCCCTCCAACGGCTAGATGTTTTGTGTCTTGCGTCCGCGTGCCGGCGTTTCACCGGCCGCGGCCATGCACCTGTGTATTATAGCCGATTCAAAATCCATCAGCCCAGAATCAAACCCTAAACCCCTACACCCTGAACCCTAAACCCACCCTAATTTAAAGACAGGAAGACCAAGCAGTCGCAAAGCAAGGGTGTAGGGTTTAGAGTTGAGTTCAGTGTTTTGTGCTCATTCGTTCCTAGGAATTCAACCGACCCCTAAACCCTAAACCCTAAAATGGAATCTCGCAGCAGCCTGAAGCTGTCTCCGGACTTGAGGCCACCGCCGTTCTTTCTCTTTCCCTTTTCGAGCAACAGCTGCAGGCACGGGGTTTAGGGTTTAGGGTTTAGGGACGGGATCAACTGACTTTAAACCCTGAAGCCTTGCACGCCGCACCCACAGTCTGGCCAAACTGCATCGTTGCGCGTCTTGGTTTCGGGACTTATCCATCATACCAGACTTGTATTCAACTGTGGCATCTCGGTCCCAAGACTGCAACCTATGCTCCAGTTCTCAATATTCCAGGATTGCTACAACCTACCATTGTCAAAATGAACTAAAACAAGAGCCTTAAGCCTTACCTAAACCCTATACCCCATACCCTATACTCTAGCCTTAAGCCCCAAGCCCAAAACTAAACCCTAAACCCTGTACTGATGGACTCCTGCGCCCGCGAATGCGAAGATTCAAGATATCAGCTCCCTGTGAGGGCTGGCCGGCCAGCTAAAAAACGTAAACGTAAGGGTGCGGACGGATGCAGTGTGCTGGCCGTAGGTTCGATGCTTCAGGAGTAGCGTGAACCTGGAAGCGAAATCCCAAACCTGTTTCAATCTCACGAGATGTCGGTTAGGACCGAAACCCTACTTCAATCGAGGACGACACGTAAACAGCTTGTGTCCTTTAATTCTTCACTTCAAGACCTCGCTACTTGATTCATTGACGAGGGGGTTAGGTTCAACCAATTTTTTTCGTTTGCTTCGCACAAATTCAGCCCCAATGCTACAATTTGTCCTTACAATAGAGCTGGGCCAGGGTGCGATGGTGTAAATGTAAACGAGGCACATCAAAGCAAAGCATCTGTTTTCGTTGATACCTCAGGTGCTACACATTGATCCGACAGTGTGTTGCACTGCGACATACAATTGTTAATACCATTTTAAGGGTTCCTTACTATAAATACGATATTATGGGCTCCCACCACATTCTAATTATTCAGGCCCCTACATTAGATTTGCCCGATGATGAGTAGACGGTTGCTTGCAGCTTGTGATGGCTTGACATCTCTCTACCGGCCTTAGCTTCGTGCAACAGCCATCCCATATCCTAAGCCCCAAAGCCTGAACCACACACCCTACTACCCTAAATCTTAAACCCTATTCAACGAACAAATCTCAGATCCGTCTCCACTGAATCATCACCTCAGCCTGGAACCCTGAGTGAAACCCCGAAATTAGACCGAGCACTGTTTATCGCAGGAGGCTGGCGGCGAGCCAGCCAGCCCTGCTCGCTGCGTCATTGAGGACCTCCTGGCCCCTTGCACTGTGAGGCTTCCGTCGGGTAGACACTTTCGGGGCCTTAATAATTGGAATAGGGTTTTGGGGTATACTATACCATAATTATAATATGGAGCCCCGTTTCCGTCGGGTAGATGTTATAACTCCTTGATTAAGGAATATCCTTGAAGTTACCATAGGAACCATAATGCGATTTAGGGTATGGGGCCTTACTAGTAAGAATAGGGTTTTAGGGTATGACACTATAGGGGCCTTAATAATCAGATTAGGGTTTTGGGGTATATCATACCATAGCTATGATATGGAACCCCGCTTCCGTCGGGTAGATGTTATGGGGGCCTTTCTAGTCAGAATAGGGTTTTAGGGTAACGAGAAACCATGCTTCGAATGAGGAGCCCACAGAACAGTATTGGTATATATTCCGGCCCCGATATTACGAGAGTGCATACGGGGTTACCTGTAGTCTCCTTCTGTTTCTGTTCCACATGTGTTATGTGTATTTATGACTCTACAAGGCAACCCAGAAACGGAACTGCAATGGAGACTACGGGTAAGGTAGACTTACAGGATCAGGGGACTTATTGATATGTATGTAGGGTTGCAGGTTAAAGGCACCTTCTTGGGGCTGCATGAACGTCAAAATGACTGTGGTTGCGGGTACCAGGTTGAGGGCTCAGGGTTTAGGGTTTCGTGGTTTGGGGGTTTAGGGTTTATTGTTCAGGGGTTTAGGGTTCAGGTTTTAGGGTTCGGGTGTTTAGGGCTTAGGGTTTAGTTAGGGCGTCTCGCCACCAAGCCAAAGCTCAAGTAGGTCGGTAGTAGGTAGACTTACAAGTTCCCCTATCCTAACTGGGGCTATGGTACTTCCGAATAAGTCCGAAATATTTCAAGAACCATTTACTAAATCCCCTCACCTGAGCAGTCGAAAAGCAAGCCTGTCAAATCTTGTACGATCATGGCGTACTTTTTGCTTGCGGCCTGTTATTGCAAACCCTGACAGCCCCAAAGTCCCACGCCTGGGCCACAGGAAGGAGAGGAAGACAGAAAGCCGAAACGGGCGAAATGCAGCAGACGGAGCATCAGTTACTACATACGCGAGGTCGCAGTACGAAGTCCGTACCACCACCATCGAGAAAGCCGCTTGTAGTGTTTATAGTTTCCATCACAGAGAGCCTCCCCCGCCCCGCTCACCGCCCTGACAGGTTATGCCCGACCAAGACGGAGGGGGACTCTTAGATTTGATTCATGGTTCAGGGTCCATAGGATTTAGGTTTAGGGTTCAGGGTTCATGGGATTTAGGGGTTTAGGGTTTAGGGTTTAGGAGTTTAGGGTTTAGGGGTTTAGGGGTTTAGGGTTAGGATTTGGGGTTTGGGTTTTAGGGTTAGGGTTGTCGCGTGATGAGGGCAGCTCGAGTGATACTGGTTTGGTTTGACTCATGAGTCGGCAACCTTGAACCCATTGCGGCTTATGCAATCCTACCAGAACTGAAAAGGCTAACTTCTTTTTGGGCTGAGGAACTCAGCCCCTAAGCTAAACGCCTCCGAGAGGTATCGAAATGTATCGAAACTTTCTGAGCCCAGGCTTTCCTCTCAACCCTGTCTCCTTGAAGAAACTGGGCTTAGGGTTTAACGCTCTGGGCTACACTGACCGTTTGGCTTTCTGGTCCAGGGGGCTTGTAGGTTTGAGCGCTCCGAGTTGGGCTTTGCTCAAGGCCATCTTTTCTAGAATCCGTCGGGGTCCCGGCAAGCCTTAATTCCTTGACGACCAGCCGGTCGAGTATAGTATAGGGGCCTAGATGATTACCAATACTATTTTGGGGGTCCGTTGCTATATTTAAGTATAATGAGGTCCAAAAGCCTAGTCTAATGATTGAGGCCCCTATGTTAGTAAGGCCTGTCTATTCCTGACTTGAATTAACACAAAACTACCCAAACCTACTTTTTTGTGGGTTCTTATTCTACTGCAACATAGATTTTATACTGCAATATGGAATGATGTAGAATTTATAGGGGTTCCGCACAAACAGCAGGTTTCGATAGTTCGAGGTTGGTTTGAAGGCCTTTCCCAAAGGGTCCAAAGTTCCTACTAGTAGAATGTAGGGTTTCTACATTGGGAATTACTATTATATATGAGTTCGGGAAGTATCCCCCAGAAAAGTACCCCTATAAATCACGTAAAGGAGCCCATACAGGGACCACTATAGATCCCTTAAACGAAGCCCTCAAAGTATCCCCGCCCATAGTAGTTCCTATAACCCCAAAATAGTAGGATTCATCCAAGGAACCTTGATAAAGGCTCATGTCTTTCACCAGAGTCATGGCTCACAATGTCAGAACTGAACCCGGTTCCAGTCCTATGCGAGTGGAACGGTCACGTTGAAGGAGAAGAACCTCCGGCAGAGGATTTTGAAACCTTTGCGGAAATCTTCTCAACAGAAGCCAACACGGACCTGGATGAAATGTGGTGCACCAAAGGACCTTACGTCAAGCCAAAGGAAGGAGGCCCAAAGAAACAGATTTGGGCCTGTCATGGCGCCGTCTGTAGGATGACCTTCGGTTACCACTCCACTATCGCAGAAGCCAAGGAGTGAGTACACCCGCAAACGGGTCAGCGCATGAACCGAGAAGAGTACATTGACCTTATAGGCCCCAAGGTTGCTTCATCAGGTTCCTACATCGTAGCCATCATAAGGCACTATAGATCCCTTAAAGGAGCCCTTAAAGGAACCTACTACATCCCTCAAAGGCCCAAGGTTTCTGAATCAGGTTCCCTCCTACTGTTGATGATGTAAATCCTGCATTACCTGAAGGACCCTAAACTCTGGGAATTATGGTACACTCCCTACTATGGGTAATGCAGGGTTTATATCACTAAACCCTAAAACCCTATAGATCCCTTAAAGGAGGCCCTTGAAGGTATCCTTATCGATCCCTTTAAAGGAACCCCCCCACCCAACCCTGATTCCCTAAGATTGAAAATTCTAACCCTGAACCCCAACCCCCTTAAACCCTAAACCCTAAATCCGACCCCTAGACTCCGATCAAGGATTTATATCATCAACCCTAGGACGCTTCGGGTTTGAGGCCTTTTTCGGGGCCCCCGGCCGCCCAGGACGCCACCTTGCCCGGCAGGCAGATCAGCATCGAGGCGAGGGTTTCGGGTTTACAGGGTTTGGGGGATATGGGGGTTTAGGGTTTGGGGGGGTTTGGGGGGGGGTTTAGGGGATTTGGGGTTTAGGGGATATGGGGGTTTTAGGGTTTAGGGGATTTTGGGGGGTTTGGGGTTTAGGGTTATGGGGGTTTAGGGTTATTATGGGGGTTTGGGGGTTTGGGGTTTAGGGGATTTGGGGTTTAGGGTTTAGGGGGTTTGGGGTTTAAGGTTGAGGGGGTGTGAGGTTTCGGGTCTAGGCGGTTTGGGGTCTAGGGTTTAGGGGGTTTAAGTTAAGGTTGAGGGGGTTTGGGTGTACGGGGTGGGGCTTAGAGTTTATTGCGTTTAGGGTTTAGGGTCTATGTAGGGTTTAAGTTTAGAGCTTTCAGGATTTAGTGTTTGGAGCTTTGGGTTTGGGGCCCAGACCTTCCAAAATCCCTTAATTAAGGAATATACCTTAAATCATAATGGGATCCCTAATATGAATTAAGGTATACTCCTTAATTAAGGGATTTTGGAAGGTCTGGGGGTTTAGGGGGTGCAAGGTTTTAGGGGCTTTTCGGGCTTAGGGACGTGGGGCAACGACCCCTGAGCCTGAACCTCTGAAGACGTAGAATCCCTATACTTGGAGGCCCTGTTGACTTAGTAAGTCTACTTGGTATCCCCTAGAAACCCCATTATAATCCCCATAACCCACCTTACTAACCCTACTTACTAAGTCAAAAGGGCCTCCAAGTACGGTTAAAACATACACTAGACTCACTAGACATCAGTAAACCCTAAACCTTGACCAGCCTCCGATCCCAAGACCATCAAGCGACCTCAAGATGTTGAATTACAAACCCCGGACCCCGTCCCGCTGTTTTTGTTCGAGATTTGCCTGGTATTCTTGGGGCTTTGTGCAGTTGGAGGAAGTTTCGAGTTTAGGGCTAGAGCGGCCAGGGCTTTGAGTCATGGAGAGTTGAGGGCTCTTCGGAGTTTCATTCGCGTGGTAGTATTGCATCCACTTCATGAATTTGTTGCATACCCAGACCTTCCCAAATTCCTTAATTAAGGAATATACTTTAGTTCATATTAGGGATCCTATTGCAATTTAAAGTATATCCTGTAAGGAACCTACCTTTTTAGGGTTCCCTAATATGGTTTCTTTATATAGGTCCTTGAAAAGGTAGGTTACGTGGGGTTAAGGTACTCGTAGGAGGCCAACAGGGGTTTTAGCCTATGGGGGTTTAGTAGCGATAGGGTTCCCATAATAGGGTGCATATTAAGGAATCCGTACCCCAAGCATCTTAAACCCCCCTTTTGGCCTCCCATCACTTACTCTCAGAGGCCGTGGCCTTGGACCTGGGGCAACGGGCAGAGCTTTGTTTGCTGATTTTCTCGCTGGAGGCCTCCTTCAGTCGTGCTGCTTCAGAGCTTAAGGGGTTGAGGGTTTAGGGGTTTAGGGTTTAGTGTTAAGGGATGTGCGTTGTCGGCCTTGTAGATACATAGCAAGTAAGTTAGAAGTCGAATTATGATTGTAATCTTTATTGCCTGACCTGTACAAACATGATGGCCTGGGGACTAAGGTAGTTGGGTTTGAGAGTTTCAAGTTCAAGTGATCAGGCCATGGGGGCTGGACCTTCATGATTGAAGTCATTTGATTTAGGGTTTGGGGTTTAGTTTTGGGGCTGAGGTGGGTCTTTGCATTTGGGGGGGGGTTTCATGAAGGTTTTGGTCGGGCTGGTTCCTTGTTCATCTAGACCTCATACCCTTCACCCCCAACGAAAGAATCCTCAACTGTGGGATCTGCAATAAGGCTCGGGTGCACTCTTGAACGCAGGACGTTTAGAGTTTCGGATAGACTTTGTAAAGCATCGACGAAAGCAAGTTTCCCCAAGCAGCGAGTATAACTGCCAGTATTCAGAAATGAAGCCGCAAACTTTGAAGCTCCAAAACCGAAGCTCCAGATTCTGTAACTTAATCCCTTAATTCTGAGCCTGAAACCCCAAATCCATAAAGCCCAAAATCCAGAAGCTAAGAGCGCTCCCAAACCCTAGACCCTAAACCCTATAAATCCTCAACCCTGTGAATCCTAAGAGCGACCCTATACCCTATAGTAAACCCCATAAAGTTGGAAATCGGCTTAATGTCAAATAGTGCTGGGATTCCTTATACATTACTCTTAAGGATGGAGGCTATTGGGTTTCCAACTTTTGGCCTTCCCCAGACCTTCCAAAACCCCTTAATTAAGGAATGTACCTTAAATTATAATGAATTAAGGTATATTCCTTAATTAAGGGATTTCGGAAGGTCTGGGTGTAAACCCCCAACCCGCTATACTATAACCTTATAGTAGCCCTTATAGTAACCCTTATAGACCCTTTAAAAGGAACCAAACCCGCTCGCAAGGAGCTGCTGTCCGCTTTGCCTTCCTCGCCTCCGACGGCTCCGCCGGCACCCGAGCCGTCGCCAGCGGCGCCAGCGGAGCGGTCGGCAAGTGGAGAGCCGACCGAGGCGATTGGGGTCACTTGCTCTTAAAGGGAACTCCAGAAAGTTGGAATATGGTTTCAGGGTAGGATACCTTATAATTTACCCAAGAAGGGTTAGGATAATCATATTCCAACTTTCTGGCTTTTACTGTAACTATTAGGGTTTAGGGCTTACGACCAGGGTATTAGGATATTAGGATATTAAGGTGTTCAAGTATTAGGCTTCAGGGTTATAGGCATTTGGAAGAACTTCCATATCACGGGATTCTGAACGAATGCCAGCATGTGTTTTCTACCAGTATCAATCGCAATTATCGGGTGAGCGGATCCGGTCCAGAAAAGGCTCTTGACTTCAAGTTCGGCGGGGCTAGCTACAGAGGGTGTTAGGGTTTAGGGTTTAGGGATATGTACATGTGTACATACATGCTGAAGGATTTTGTATGATGCCTTATGCTTCCAATGGCTCATGTATACCGGGCCCAGGTTACTTAAACCTCGAATAGCCTACCTGCTTCAGGACTGAACATCAGAAAATTATGACAAGTATCCCTTAAAGGGTAGGTTCTATGGAAACCCTAAAGAACCCTAAAGAACCCTAAAAAGGGCAGGTTCTATAGGCTCTCTGTAGGACCGGAGGCAGAGGGACTGGCGTGGTGAATGTTAGCTCGTCGGAGTTGCGAATATCCGAGGTTCAGGGTTAAGGGTCTAGGGCTCCTAGATTTGGGGAACATCCAAAAGTTTGCTGTCAAGTCTACTCGAGATGGTTAAAGGTTTAGGGCTCGTAGATTTGGGGAACATCCAAAAGTTTGCTGTCAAGTCTACATGCTCAAGCTTCTTTCCTGGGGATCGTTTGTTTCTTCGCCTCCCAAGAAGTCCTACGTACCCTGAAAGGGGACCCGATTACGGAACTCTATAGTACCTGCAATATAACCACGAAACCCAAGGGGCCATAAATACCATTAAATGGGTGGTTGTCAAAATTATGGTCCGTTTGTGGGTACCCTAAATATTGGGTGCCGTACTATAATAAAGACCCAGAAAGGGACCCCAATTTGGACAACTACCCAAATACGTATGTAGCAGAGTAAAGGGACCCAGACCTTCCAAAATCCCTTAATTAAGGAATATACCTTAAATTATAATAGGACCCCTTATATGAATTAAGGTATACTCCTTAATTAAGGGGTTTTGGAAGGTCTGGGAAAGGGAGGGGTCTGTGACCAGGAGACCATCGTTTTTCTGAATTCCGTGACGCTGAAAATCCCTGGTCCCGAAGAGGAGGAGCTCATCATTTTGACTACGGGGCCACATGGTTAGTTCTCTGAGTGCGATGCCACCATATCGAGAAACTCATATAGGACTCTGGTTCTAAACCCGCATAGCTTAACAACTCTAAACCCTACGAACCCTAAGCCCTAAGCCGCATCCCCCAGCTGGGGACCTTGACCTTCCTCAAAGCACCGAGTCCTGCATGGTGTACCTACTGAAGCACCCCACCAGAAGCTACATGTTGGTTTCTTGTTTTTGCAGAGGGGTGCTTGATATGATCTCAGTCTCCTTTTAGAGCATCTCAAGAAGATTGTGTGCTTTTTTGGGGGGTGGGTCGGGTCGTGGCTATGGCGGCTCGGCTTGCGGTGAAGGGTTGGCTGTGGGATGTGCAAGTCAGAGTTCAGCAGCTGGGAAACGGCTTGAAGAATTCGCACAACTATCCCTGGGAGGTCCGAATAAGGGTAGTCTTTTAAAGCAATTTCCCCAGCAACCTTAAGCTAAACAGATTGGCCCCTCTTAGTCTACACTGCTGATGGACAAGATCCTGAAGTTTCTTATGCGCACAACGCAGTCTAGCACCGTCAGCAATAGCACCATTACTTTGGCCGCAACTCCTAATACAACCCCGCCTGTCTTTCAGTCTTGAAAACTGCGGGAAGTGGAGAGTGCACACAGTCCAGATGTTGGATCCCCCATCTTTTCTTCTTATCAGCCCGGTCGCGGTGTGTCTCAAGACAATCTAGGCGACGTCACGTCGCCGTTTGCAGCATACATCGAGGTTGGCGCTACACGAACTGCTTGCGCCCTTTTTCGCGCTCACCGTCCGAAAAAAAGCTCGAGTTGAGCCTGATGCAATTCGGTGATGCTGGCTCGTGTACCGAGCCGAGAACCGGATGCGCTGCCAGCACATGGGGGCTCAGGCGCAAGCTGCACGACAGGCCGGATCATGGCTACGCAGAGGCCCGACCCTGCTCGCCGATTTGGTAGGCACTGAGAACCCTAGGAAGTAGTTTTGTACGCCTGACGCGCACCAAATTCTTATGCGACACCGAATGAAACTTCAAAGCCGAAGAACACTACAATCCTGAACCCTAAAAGCTTAAAACCACCATAGCCAAAACATAAATACCCTAGTAGAACACTATAATCACTAAGACCCTTGCAGAACCCTATAGAACGATTGCATGAGTGCTTTTCCAGGAGCCTAGCGTCGTTTCTGCCAGCGGCCTCCACGCCACCCTCCAGACTCTAAGCACAGGCTCTGGTGCAGCATAGAGTTTAGGGGTTAGTGGTTTGGGCTTGAGGGTTTAGGGTTTGAGTATATAGAGGTTTGAATTTGACGATTGGTCATGTCCTCTTATCTTGCGTAGACCACAGCATGCTTCAAAAACAGTAATAGTTCGATTCGTTTCAGCCCTGCATTGGCACGTTGGGTTCAGAAAACAGGGGTCATGGGTTGGGGTCATGGGAGCTATTTTGCAGGTTTTAGTCTAGGTGCCAGTTATCAGCGCTCAGGATGCCGGTTTATTAAGTCAGGGTTTGGAGACTATGGGCTATGGGTTTCGATATGTCAGCCGCTTGGGAGTTAGTTTACAGGTTTAGGGTTAGGGCCATGGCTCGTATAAGCGTTATGAGTCTAGGGTTTAGGGGATTGGGGTTAAGTTAGTTTTTCATTGCCGGGGTCCAGAGGTTGGGTTTGGGGCTTAGAGTTTCTGTGAGGTTTTATACTGCATGGGCTGTTGGCTTGGGGTCCAATTTGACCAGACACATCTGCACACCAAAGTGTGCTACTTGGAGGATGACGGGACATAAGTAAGTATATTATGGTCATGCCAAGTAGCTCTACCTAGATTCTAGTTATAATTACTTAAACCCCCATTAAACCCCCAATAATGGTTTTATAGCCTGAAGTACTACGTCCCGTGATCCCTTGCAGGAAGCCCTCCCCGTTCCTGCATGAGGCCGACAGCGCCAGCGCCTGGCTTGCGCACGCCTGGGGGTTTCCATCCTGGACCGGCATCAGGTGGAGGCCACTTGAGGGGGTCCCTAAACGGACCCTAGGAAGGAACCCCGTAGTACCCTTACAAGAATTAAGGAGCCTGCCTTTGATTGAGGTAGAGTTGGGGAGTATTTGGGCACTGACGCGAATGCAGGGTTTCCATATTTGGAACTACTATTACGGAAATACGATTATAATTTGGGGAAGTATCCCCCATAACAGTCGAGGGGTTTAGGATCATTCAGGAATTAGTTATTTGGGGAAGTATCCCCCATAACAGTGCCTGAGAGCCTTTGGGCAAGGGATCGGGGGGTTTAGGATCTTGGGAATCAAGGTAATTTGGGAACCTGCTGAAGAAACCTTGGGCCTTTATCTGTAGGGTTCCTTATATGAATCCTACTATTTTGGGTTTATGGGCCCAGGGTTTCTTAATCAGGTTTCTACATTATGGCTCATGGGTTTAGGGTGTTAATTTGAAGGATTTAGGCTTTCGTGGGCGGTGCCGAGGCAGCTGACCTCCGCGTCACCAGCGGGGATGCAGACACTGAGGCGCGTGAGTTTCTTCTCGATGATTTGGGCCTTTGTGTTAGGGACCCAAGAAGCACATAAGCATAAGCATTTTATGGGGCTATCCCAATCTTATTGGGCTTCATTATAAGGGGGTTTATATGGGATATCCCTATCCTAATTTTTGCTTATGTGCTTTTTGGGGGCCCTACTAAGGGATTTTTAGGGTTCCTTTTAAAGGGATCCATAAGGGGTCTATAGGGTTCCTTCAAAGGGATCTATAAGGGGCCCCATTATGGCCTTCAAGGATTTGAGGCTCCGGGTTTCAGGGTGTTGTTCCAGTCAGCTCCGCGGCTCGGAAGCACCAAAACCCAAAGGGTCCAAGTATCATTCTGGTATATACCCTACGGCTCCAAAGTAGTTCCTTTTTGGGGGTTCATATATAGAATCCTATAAGGTAATCCCCAAAAGGAACTACTATGGAGACTCTGGGTACTTGTAGGGCATTTTGGGGGGTCTAAGTATGTACCATGATGATACTTGGACCCTTTGGGAAAATCCACAAGCCCAACGCGCAAAGGTAACCGTCCACGAGGGCCTGAAAGCGCATCTGGTGCCACTCTCAGAGCGAGAGAATTTCAAGGCCAAAAGGTTTCGTTGTTTTGCGAACTTGACTTCGAAGTTTGGCTGCCCTATAGCCCCTATATATTTAGACCCCCGATTGATATGACGGCCCCTTTCGTTGGATCCTACAACTAAGATCCTTAACTAGAGGGTGTTTAGTGACCATGGCATTAAGACTGCCGGATGTGCAAGCCAACATAGTGGCGAATTGAACTTTGAGTTTCTGCTGTATTTTCGGTCTTATATCGCTCGAGGTTTTGTTTTTAAGTTCAGGGTGGGTTGTTTAGTTTGGGGCGAGGGGTGGAGCCCGAACCGAACCTTCGAACAGCTCCATGCCACTGCAGGCCAAACCTTAAAGCCTGAGCTGAGCCCCAACCCTCAAACCCAAACCCTGCAAAGACAACCCTCAACTCCTGGACCCTTCCGGAACCTTAATTGGGAGTTTCCGAATATCAGGGAATTAGGGATACCTTATTTGGGGTCCATATAATAAGGATCTACTGTCTAGGATACTATTAGGGTCCCTGTTTTTTTAAAAAAACGAACCCAGAGACTCCAATATCCCTTAATTAAGGAATATTCCATAAATCATATTAGGGATCCTATTATAATTTAAGGTATATTCCCGAATTAAGGGATATTGGAGTCCCTGGGAACCGAGAGCCGTGGCAGGTGACGGGTCGCCTCTTTGGCGACCTGGATGTACTTTGGCCGAGTGCGCGGGAGGCAAGGCCCAGCATCGAGAGTTAAGGGCCTTCGGGTATGGGGTTATAACATATATATATATATATATATATGTAGGCTATTACATGTATATATATATATATGTGTGTGTGTGTATACAGCTATATCTTTATGTGATATATTGTATATGATGTATGATTAACTGCATATGGCTTCGGGTTTTTGCCGGCTAGATTTTTGCTGCTGTTGTAGGGCTGAGGTCTCCTAGCAGCACCAGAGAGGTTAGTAAAATGAGGATGCTACTATTTAGGGTACTATATTAGGGTCCCCTATCTTTGGAAACTCCCATATAGGCAAGAAAAGGTTGGATCGTATTTGCTAGGGATACATGTTCATGCGTGTGAGTGTTTATATGCATACGTATCTACACGGTACATGTATGCCTGCATGTACGTACACGCACCTATATCTAGACACACGCATACATGCACACATACCCGCACATGCCCATACAGACATGCTTGCTTACCTGACCATGCCAAAGTGCCAAACCTGACCCGGCACTACCTTTCGCTACCGCACCCTGCCCAGCCCTGCCCTACGCTACCCTACGCTTTCGTACCGTACCAAACCATACTATACTGCACTACACCGTACAATCTATTCCTAGAAGTAGTACTTACCATGCCTACATACACTTTGTCATGCCAGGTGTCTCCAGGTAAGGTCAAGGCGAAGCAGCAACCAGCGTCTCGGCAAAGCTTGAAGCAGGTTCTTGCGGCTTGCCCTTTGTCTACCCTAAACCCCGACCGAAGTCATCAGTACTCGGGCTTGCGTTTTGTCAACCCTAGGACCGACTCAAGTCATCAACAACTTGAGTCACTTTGTGAAGCTTTCAGGGCCGAGGGCCTCTGGATCGAAGTTGCTGAACTCTGATGGGTTTAGAGGGTGCTTGGATTCAACCCTTACTCCTTCTTACGAGAGAGCCCAGATGAGGTACGCCCACCCCGCCACCCTTAAGCCAGAACTAAGGCTTTGGGACGTGAGGAAACAAAACCCCATACGACAAGAGCCTTGTGCTTCCCGTCTTTCGCAAAACCGTCCGAAACAAGCGCGACGGCCTCTCCCAACAAATGCTCCTGGAAGACTTGTACCGGCAAAACACCCTAACCTCTGGGCCTGCATAGATGGAAGCCTTTACAGAAAATGACACATGTCGTGCAATGTCTATCGTGCAAATAGTGTCCTCTTGCTTCTCTTCCCTGGAGAGCTATACTATACACAACACAACCCGAACGCTATTCTGATGCTCAAGGCGCTTACCTGATAGACCTCCTTAAGAAACCAGGAAGATGCCTAAACCCGAAACCTTAAACCCCTAAAGGGTTTAGGGATTTAGGGTTTAAGGTTCTAAACCCCTAAACCTTTTAGGGGCTTAGGGGTTCAGGGCTCAGGGTCCTAAACCCCTAAACCCTGATAGATCTCCTTCAGAAGCCCAGGAAGATGTGGCCCAAGTGGGAGAGGCCTCGACCCCGTCAGAAAGCCCTGGTACCACTTTCCGGCTTCTCGTGACGGCCGGCCGACTGCAATTATTGCAAGGGGCCATTAGGGTTAAGGGGAATAAGTAAAGATTTGGGGGTTCCTGCTTTGTATAACTGTAGGAAGGAGCCCTGAGGAATAATGTCGGTAACTTTTGAGGCTTCTACGGCACCTTAATAAGTAGAACAGAGTTGCTCTGAAGGTTCTACAATAGGGTTTCTTCACGGGCTTTACAAGAAGCTTGTTGATAAGAGGAAGAGGTCGCCATACAGGTGAGTTTTGATAAGGGTTCAGAGTATGGCATGAGAGGTTTAGGGGGGTTTAGTGACTTAGGATTTGGGCTTTAGTGATTAGTGTTTATGATGTGTGGTTTAGGGCTTGGCTTATAAGGTTTAGTAATTTAAGGGTTTAGGGTACAGGGTTTGTCGCAGGGAATGTGTTGCCCCTGCACGGGTCCAAAGTACCTATATAGTTGAAGAGTGGAGTTTGTTAGGAATCGCTTTTATGGTTTGGGGAAGTATAACCCATAGCAGTACCCAGGACCCTTCATGGTATAGCACCGAGGTTCCAAGACTAACTCGCTTTCCTAGCATGTTGGGCAGGGGGACCCGAGCCCCAAGCCATAGACGTACATCAACAAGCGTTTAGGGACCAGGGACGTCAGTGTTGAGGCTCGGGAGTTTGTGTTTTTTGCGGGCATGGTTTGAGCTGTGGGGTTTTATATCTTAGTGTTTAGTGCTTGGGGTGATGATTGTGCAAAAGTCGTTTTCATTCGTGAGGGAGTCATTGGTTATCCTATGACTTACATGCGGAAGGTTTGGCTTGGTGATTGGGCCAAAGTCGTTTCATTCTTTGGGTGTCCTTCTCAAATGAAGCAATGGAAGACTTACACGGGGGAGTAAGTTATTTGGCGAGTGTTGTTGTGTTAAAAGCAGCCGGACATGAACCAAGTACCTTAGATGGAACCCTAGTTCAAAACAACACTCCAAGGGTAAAAGGAGAGACCCTTAATAAGGACCCCTAGGTATATACCCTTAGTATGGCTATTATATACCCATTATATTATAGCCCATTATAGGGTAGGGGTCCCCATTAAGGGTCCCTCCTTTTCCCCTTTGAAACACCATGCATCGGGCGTCAGGTGTTTGAGCTTCGACTATGTCCTTCCGTGCGGCAGACGCAGAGGTATTCTTGGGGTGTGCAACATGGAACAGCGGTGCTATTTTGGCCTTCAGGTGTTCTAAGGGTTGAGGCGGTTATGATAAAGTAAATTCAAGGCCAACCTCCTCGTCGTAGCAATCATCATTGAAGTTGCCAGCTGATGTTTCTTTCTCACTTCGAGAGCACTACTTGCGCGCGTAGTCACACTTCTTGCGCACTACCTGCTCGCTCAGTCACGCCTCAGAGTATCAGAGTTTAGGCCCTTTTCTGACTACAGGTCTGATTGCACAAGGTTACCAGCACAGTCATGAATCTTGCGTTCCTGCAGACTTCACCTTGGTTCCGAAACCCCAAACCCGCAGCCATAAGGTTTAGGGTTTAGGGTTATAGCCCTTGTCAAATTTGCAACCCTCTAAGTCCTGAGACCCGGCTGCAAAACCGTTCGGTAGCCTTTTTTTATATCCCTGAGGTTTGGGAGCTTGTGGCTCAGCTGACTTCACATCTCAAGAATAGCCTCGTGCAGCTTTCTGTGTAGCCGAAAATTGCGGATCCGTCTCAACGTTTACGTAGTCGTCCTGGCCTGCGCTATATAGTATTATAGGCAAGGGAGTCCTGGGGTGCAGCCAACGTGGCCGCTGTGATATACGAATCTTCGGCCTGGCAGTGTGTCGCTCGGGTTGAAGGCGCCGAGATTCGCCGCCCCGAAGCCCTAAACTCTAAACCCAATGCAACATACCTAAAGCCCAAGTCCTAAAACCACAGGCCCTAAACCCTAAAGCCTTACAATCAAAGGGGAGAAGCAGGGACCCTTAATGGGGACCCCTACCCTATAATGGGCTGTAAAATGTGTATATAATAGCTATATGAAGGGTATATACCTAGGGGTCCTTATTAAGGGTCCCTCCTTTTACCCTTGGCTACAAAGATTGAGTTAAGATGCCCGGAACCCCAAGGCCCCCCAAATCCCAAACCGCAACCGTAAGCTTCGATGCCTCCTCTGCGGACTTTGATAGTAATTCGAAGCATACTCCCCAGAGTTCCTCTATATGGGTGGTTGTCAAAATTATGGCCCCTTTTTGGGTGTCCTAAATAGTAGGTGCCGTATTATAACAAGGATCCAAAAAGGGACCCTAATTTTGACAACCACCCAAATACATATGGAAGACTATACCCCAAAGCATTCTTCGAATTAGTAAGGCTCCTTTATCGCGGAATCCTTGTGACTTTTTATAGAACCCTGAAGGGATCCTTTTTGCAGAAACCTCTAGAGGGGCCTGTTCTCATGATTCTATCGTCCAACGCCGAACCCTAAACCCTAAACCTTTAACCCTGAACCTTAAACCCTAAAGCCTTAACCTTAAACCCTAAAGCCTAAACCTTAAACCCTAAACCCTAAACCTTACACCCTAAAGCCTAAACCTTAAACCCTGAACCTTAGGCCCTTTGGGCTTAGCCTGGGCAGGAGACTAACTTTGAGGGGATCTGGGGCCTCCCTCGTGTCGAAGCCAAAGGAGCCCTTGGAGGGGCTTGGGGTTTGGGGCGCTCCTCTAAGGATGCGTATAGGGGATCATTATCGGGGTTTAGGGTTCAGGGGTTTAGGCAAACTTTAGGAGTTTAGGGTTTAGGGTTAGGGGCTTAGAGTTTAGGGGTTTAGGGTTCAGGGGTTTCGCGCTTTGGGTTTGGTCTTACATGTTGAAGGCTTCAGGGTTTGGGATGTGGGTTCCGGACCGATTGACCATCTTCCTGTAGCCCCGAACCCGAGCAGGTAGCAGGTGATGAGTATGTCCCTCAAATTCCCCCCAAACCCGAAATGCATGCATCTCCGCCCCCCCCGAAACCGCATAAGACCCAAAAGAAGACCCCTTATAGGAACCCATAAACTTTGTAAGAACCCTCGAACAAACCCCCTTTAGTCGTGCAACATCGGACCCAAAGGTGCTGAGGAAGGTGAATCCGAGTAGTCGAGTAGGTAACCTTTAACCTTTTTTGGGCAGTATAGTCCCTATATAGATAGATAGATATATATATATATACATATATATATATATATATATCGTGAAACACAGTATTGCTTGGGAAAAGTACACTTTTAGATATAATCCGTATATAACCAAAAAGGTTAACCTTTAGTTCCCCATGATACTCGACAAGTAGGACATCAAGGGCAGACATCCGAAACCTTGGAGAACTTTATAGGCTTCTGATGATGATGATGGATATTTTGTCGCTGGTATTTTCTTACTACCGGTACTATTGTTGTTGCTCTTATTCTTACTATACTATAGCACAAAACCGTAAATCCTAAACCCCAAACCCCAAACCTGCACCCAAATAGCAGTATTACTATATACATAGTATATACATATATACATACTATTCTATTACCTCAAACATAGTATATTACTGGCATTGTATCGTTCTTATTTCGACTATACGTACTATGATATAGCTTGAAACATGGTTTGCAGGAGCTTCTCCATTGCCCTCCGGGGCTCCCTGCGACCTCTTCACAGCGCTTGGAGGTGGCGGTGGAGGCTCCTTCTTAGGGTGGAGGGTTTGAGGGTTGAGGGTTTTAGGATTGAGGGGCTTAAGGTTAGGGAGCTCAGGGGTTTAGGGCTTCGGGGCTTAGGGTTGAGGAGTTTAGGGATTTATTCAGGGCTTAGGATTAGGGTTGCTGCTCTTGGACCACTTACCTAGACTATCTAGTTCTGGGCTATGGTACTGAATTCGTGCTACTTTCTTGTCATTTTAGGCAGTCTTAAGTCCGTGATCTCTGTAATCGGTTATCAACAAACCCGGTGCTACAATCCCTCCCAGGGTTGCCTTGAAGACGGTCCATGCTCCATTGCTTCATTATGCTTTAGGAAGATGGACACCCCGACGTGCTGCTTCTTCAAAAGGCCGCGATAACCCACATCGCCCCCACATCCAGATACTGGTGCCATTGGACGATACAGCCTTAGTTACTATCTGAGAAGGTGGCCGTCTGCCCTTTGAGGTTTATATATCCCTACCATAATTGAGAAGGTTAACCTTTATTATTGGGCTAGGATACCCAGCCCCTAAGGCATACTCATCTATCTAAACCCTACAGTCTCATGGGATATCCTGCCGGTCTTCCAAAATCCACCCTTCAACAAGGTGGGTCCCGAAGTAATGCTAGAGTATATACTTTAGGGGCTCAAGTACCTACTATACTGGTACTTAAACCCTTTGGAGGTTTACCGTGAAGTTATCCTCTTAGTGAACCTCAGAAAGTTGGAACATGGGTTTAGGATGATTAGTGCTGGGATTCCCTATACTTTACATTCAGGGGCATGAGGATAAGTATGTTCCAACTTTCTGGCTTATACTTTATGACTAGCATCTACTATTTCTTTGGGGTCGAAGTATATATTTTCTGTGTTTGTGCAAATGGACCCTTAGGGTTAGTTGTGCAACTTGCAGAGGCTTTGGCTGTAGATGCCCAGCGCGACGAGACGCTGGCACCGCTGTTGTCACCGTCTCATGGCTGCTGAGACAGTTTTGTATGAAGGATGCCTGATTAGTATTAGTTATCTTATTCCTTATCGGGTTATATTTTATGTAAACTTAACATAGATGACATACCCTACTCAAACTGTTATGTGCCCTACTAAAATTTTGCTATATCCCAAAACCTAATCTAAAAGACTCAGTTCCCCCATGTTAGAGGCCTATTCTTGTGTCTTGGGCTCTCTTCCGCCTTGTCTTGGCTCCATCGCGGGTACCCAGAGGCTTCATGGTAGTTCCTTTTTGGGATTACCTTATAAACTACTTTGGAGCCTTAGGGTATTCTGTTTCAGTGCACTTGCGCCAACACTCATTTGGAGTGGTGTCCCTGGGCCCGTCCCAAGCCACTCCCACACAACCGATTCGGTAGAAATCTGCCAGCTATGCAGCTGTGTGTTCGTAAAGAACAGCATGTCATCAACATCAAAACCAAGTTCGCAAAATATGCTGTTGCAGGTGATGCTTCTTGGAAACTGTGGGCTCAAGCCAGAAGCTGGAAACAGCAGGCCGAAGCAGGGCCCGCGAGAATTGCTAATTGTGTGTACTGTCTTGGCTGCCATGAGTCCAACAAAACAGCTTCTTCATGCTTGAACCCGAGATATGGTTAGATGGTGGCCATGTTTTGGGTTGCGAAAGCTTGGCTTGCAGTCGAGTCGGGGCTTGGGAAACTCGTGCTACGACTGCACCGGTTGTAGAGGGTTTAATGTGTAGGGGTATGGTACAGTATCTACTATTGTGCTGCTGGAGCACGCCGTACTGGCACGAGTGCTACGAGGACTTATTGCTTCTACTGATACTGCCACTGCCACCACCACTACTACCACGATGACGCTGACCACAACGACTACGACTATTTGCCAGTAGTGTTTCGGTGAAGTGGAGCCGGATTGCCTTTTCTTTGAGCATACGGCGGATGAGTTCCGGCCTATGGCTTATGGTGAGGTGTTGGCAAAAACTTCGTTCCGTGCTGATGCAGTTTGGCCTTGCTCAGGCTGACGCACAACATATCACGATTCATTCTATGAAGGTTTGCCTCTTGGCGATCATGGCTCAGCGTGGATATCGTACCAGCCGGAGGGAAGCCTAGGGCCATCATCAGTCCGGCGCCAACAGCGCTCGCCTATACTCTCAAGACGACGTATGGTCCGCCTTGGAGGCGCAGCAGGCTCTGGTCAGGTCTTTTCGTGATGGCTGGGTACCGGCCACGGCCGAGGCACGGGGAGGTCAGCACCCGGTGCCCCAGCGGGCTTTTGAGCATGTCATGGTTTCGTGCAGTCCAGAGCTGCGCGCTGTTGCTAGTATAATTAGCTACAACATCCATCCTTACGAATGTGGGGATTTCCGAATTAGGGCACCCTAATAGAGTACCCTTAATAGTAGGATCCCTAATGAGTGCACTCCAAAATAAGGTTCCCCCCAACTGTCGGAAGCCCTAAACCTTATAGAAGCCGTTTAAAGGAGCCCTTATAGTGCCCGTATAGTAACCCTTTCAAGGAGCCCCAAGTACCCCTAATTTTCGGAAACTCCCATATCATTGTCAAGCCAGGAAGCCATGAAAAGGAGGGGCAAGTAATAGGGTTTAGGGTTTAGGGTATAGGTTAGAAGGGGCCCCCACCCTGTAATAGTGACTATAAGGATGATGTTAGGGCCCTATTATGTTCCTATTATACCACTATTACAGGGTGGGGGCCCCTTCTAAGGTATAGGGATGTAGGAAGCTGAGGAAGTAAGCCAGGGTTCATATAAAGAAGACAGAGAGATGCAGGGTTCCTTATTCAGGTTCCTACATGAAGGGTTATACAGAACCCAAAGAAGTCATAAGTCAGAAGCACCCATCAGAAAAACAAAGAACAAAGACCCTAGGTTTCTTATGCAGGTTCCTTTATATGGGTGGTTGTCAAACTTATGGTCCCTTTCTGGGAACCCTAGATAATCGGTGCCGTACTATATTACGGGCCCAAAAAGGGACCATGATTTTGACAAGCACCCATATGAATGCACTTCCCAGGCTTTCGCTGGACCTCTCCGTGGTGCCGCGGCAGCCAGACGTTTCCGGCATTGATGCGTACATACCAGCGTTACCCAGACCCTCCAAAATCCCTTCGTTAAGGATTGCACCTTAAATTATAATAGGATCCCTAATATGAACTAAGGTATATTCCTTCATTAAGGGGTTTTGGAAGGTCTGGTATTCCTAAGCTAGTATAGTATGCCCAAAGCCCTATTCAGGACATTGAGGTCCCGATATTTTAGGATCAGTGTCATTCACCAACAACGCATAAGCCGTTAAAAGTTGTCACTGTGCTAGTCCATCCTCGCAGGATGCACATTCTATTGGCCTTCGGTTTTCGGTTGTGGGCTTCATTTTTCTCGGGAGCATACGTAGCTCGAGATTTGCTTTCCTGGTGCGTTTACAACATGCATGACAACAGTGCTTCACGACTGTATCCTTGATGTCTGGACAGCTTGGGATACTGCAGCATTGCAGCGTTGCTTGATTGTGTTTTGTTGTGCGGTATTACTGCGATCGTGCATGTTCGTAGGATGTCGTGGAGCACATGTTTCTGTACTCTGAAACGTTTCGGGTCATGTTGTTCTTATATACATAGACATATGTATATGTACGTATATGTCACACGTGCATATGACGTGGGTGCAGTACGTTTTATCTGTAAGTCCTATGCTCAAGAACAGCTCGAGACGAAGGTGACAACCTCGCCGCTTCCTTGCCGCAGCCTGGCTCGGAACCCAGTCATAGGGCCCCAAAAAGCACATAAATATTAGGATAGGGATATCCCATATAAACTGGATATCCCTATAAAATGCCTATGCTTATGTGCTTTTTTGGGTCCCTTAAGTCAGACCTTGTCCCAGAGGGTCCTTTGTTCAGAGGGCCCTTTGTTCTACCGTTCTACCATTATGGAGCGAGGTCCTAAAAGCCATAGTAAGGATGGTCTTTGGGGACCTAATTCCATAATAGTAGTATATATGAACCCTTTTGGTGCGGCAATCATCGCTATAGTCGTATCAGCTGTAAGAATTTCAGCAGTAGTACTCGCGATAATGACTCAGAACCTAGAGTTTCGGTAGACCTTGGGAGATCAGGGCGTCCATGGTGTATGTAGATGGGACAAAAGGGTAACGATTCGCAAAGCAGGCCGAAGACTGAGAACTGGGTCGGTATGGAAGAGGTTTAGGGTTTAGGGATTGCAGGGCCTAGAGGGCTTATGGGGTTTAGTGCTTTTTGTAGAGAAGACCTTGTTTCAAGCACCGTCAAGGTGAGTATCGCCATCGTGAGTTTTTCGACAGTGAGTGTCATGAACAGCACTATGGTTCGCTTCACCGCCACTTGACTACGGCTCCGAGCTGGTACCTTCATGGGTCTTCACACCACAATCCCATACGAACACGATATCGCAGACCCGAAAAGTGCCAAACTCAAAAGGTCGCCAACATAGTAGTCACTAGTAGTCGCAACTAAGCTTAATGAGGCTTTGGGTTTTACGGAGTATGGACTAAGGGGAGTTGGGTTTGTGTTTTCCTCGGCAGCTTAGGGATGTCAATCTGGGATCAGGGCTGTGTGGTGTGGCGTACCAGGATTTGGTGGATTTAGGGTTTTTGGCTTTTAGATGAGTTTGGTGTACCTGTCGCATCGATCCAATGACCGCCTGGTTTCGGGGTATGCAAAAACAAAAACGGCGGAGCCCACAAAAACCTTTCAAACCTCTTAATATAGGGTCCTTAATAGTTACCTATACTATTTTGGGGGTTCCTTATTACAAGCACAGTGTAATGTCCCCCAGCACCCTATGCCCTATTCTAGTTATTAAGGCCCCTATGATAACCTGAAGATGCCCGCCTCGAGCCCTAAACCCCGACCTCTTCACAAGGCCGACCTGCCACCTAAAACAAGAAGAACACCACCACCAACAACAACAGCCACAACTACAACAACTACTACTGGAAGCTACAACTACAACAGCAGAACTATAAGACTAGCAATAACAAGAAAGCTGATAGGACCAAGAACAAGAACGGTAATAAGCATGCGAACAATATTGAGAGCAAGCATTGCAAGTATAGAAAACAATAACAATGGCAACTAACAGTAAAACATGGCTCTCATAAGGTTAACAAGCATCATGTCCGTATTAACAGATTCAGTTTTAGCAACAACAGTAGCTAGAATAGCACTCAAAACATAATGTAGATAATTACGTAAACAAGCAAACACACACACACACATATATATATATATATATACATTCTTATTTGCTTATATGCACACATACATATCCATTCGAGGCCGTGGATGCTGTGCCGCAGACGGCGCTGTCTCTGAACTGTTCGGCCATGCGCTGGTCTGCGGGCGCTTGGCAGTCAGGGACCTACGGCCTACGTGTTTTTTTGCTCGGGCTTACATGTGTTACGAGGCTGTTGTGTTTGTTAGAATTTAGAAGGTTTTAGGATTTATCGCTCAGGGTCCTACACTTCAGTGGAGGGTTTTTGTTGGCTTGGGCCATGTTCTTGTTGTAATGAAGCATGGGCCTTGGGAGTTTGTTGCTGGAAAATCTCGGGTCTAGTTGTTTGTCCCGGGTACGAGACGATGCACGACTTCAGCAGTGAAGGAACAGTTATCAGCACTTCGTTAGCTAGCGTCCTGTTCTCCTGGCCTGTACCGCTGGGATTGACAAAGAGAACCCGATTTGGATGGTGCGGCCTGCTTTTTTGAGGCATGACAGCAGTGGGCATCGAATGTGTCATTCATAGGAGGCCAAAAGGGGTTTTAGCCTATGGGGGTTAAGTAGGGATTACTTGGAGGCCCTTTTGACTTAGTAAGTAGGGTTAGTAAGGTGGGTTATGGGGATTATAATGGGGTTTCTAGGGGATACTAAGTAGACTTACTAAGTCAAAAGGGCCTCCAAGTAGGAATCCCATAACAGGGTTCATATTAATGAACCCTACTACCCCAAGAATCTTAAACCCCCTTTGGCCTCCCATCAGTAATCTGCGTCTGACGGTGCAGCCCGGAGTCAATGTAGGAATTGCTCACCCGGAGCTTCCCGACTAAAACTGCTTCTGCACCGTGACGGTTGATCGTGGAGACTGGTGACATTGTCGCTGGTCCTAACGAGATGCTGGCATGTTGTCCAAGTACATAGGAGACGGCAACCTAGTAGTAGAGTAGGTAGCCTTTAACCTTTTTTGGGTAGTATAGTCTAGTCTCTATACAATCCCTATATAACCAAAAAGGTTAATCTTTAGTTCCCCATGATACCCGACAAGTAGGGCAAACACTCAAAACTACGTCGCCCCCCCCCCCCCCACACACCCTCAAACCAAGCTAAGGTTGGGACTCCTCATCGATGTCGCCAGCTTCCGTGATCCGGACAAGCAGCCGCCAAAGGCCTCAAGGGGCTGCTTGAACTTTCAGGTTATGTGTGTGCCGGTTATTACTACTTACGCGTGTGTTTTCTGATTATGAATGTATGTACAAAAGCTAAAGGATCTAGAAAACAGAGTCCCCAACAGGGGATCCTTTGATTCAATATGCACATGATTTTATACATATATGGATACATGTATCATACATACAGATATATGCGCACAGCTTTTGTATACAGTATGCATTCTCAGATAGTTTTATGTTTCAATGGGTTCTAGATTCTTCCAGGGCTTTGTGAGTTGAGTTTTCGGTGTCAGTGATAGCGACCCTGAAGCCATGCATCGTTTGAAGTGTTCTTGTTGACGCCTGTGATCTCCCCGGCAAGTTGCCAGCAATGAAGCTACAACATTGCCACAAGGAAACAGCGAGGTTTCTGTTTCTGTGGTCGCCTACATCTGAGCATGTGTGTCAATTGGATGTATGTACCTACGTACGTATGTATGTCTGTGCATGGGTACGGTGGTATTACCATGTAGGTATGTATGTATGTGTGGGTATGCTTATACATGTGTATATATATATATATATCTTTCTATAGATATAAGTATATATATATATATATATATATATATATATATCATATACGTAATGTCTACTTAGTAATTATTTAATTACACTTTTATTTTGTACACACATCAATCTAAGTACATCCAACAAGTTGACATGCTTCTTGTAAACGACGGCAACTGGTGGGCCATGTTCCTACATAGCATATAGTTTGGCGTTAAAAAGGTTCCTCTGCAGTACCTGGACAGGGTTTCGACCAGTGTAAAATCACATTTTGCGGATGAACTTTTGCGGCTTTTGGACTTGTACCCCTTGCAGTTGGGTGGACTTGTACGAAGCTGGGTGTCGGGGCAGGTGCGTGTACTGGACTGCCTGGGATCATTGGGGCCTAAATGGTTCCCCAATATACCCCCAACCCCTATTCTAACTCATTGAGGCCCCTACAGTATGTTGCTTCCAGTGAGAAATCCCCCGCTCGCAATCGAATCATACTACCAGCCCTAACCCCTGAAACGGAGTCCGACCCTCGTAAGTCACTGGACGGAATGTCTTTCTGCCAAACCCTCAAACCCCTAAAGCCCTAAACCATAAACCGTACTCTAGGTCAAGTAAAGGAACCCGTTTACATCCTTTTAAATCTTTTAAAGGAACCCTAGACCCCTAAAGCCCCTAAACCTTGAACCTTGTCGGTATCGGGTGTACCACTCTTCCATATAAGAGGTCCTAACCATAAAACTGGGTACCCTGAAAAAGGGATACCTTAACCTAGCAAACCCTACTTTTTCGTAGGATCCTTATAAACTCCTTATTAGGGTCTATTATACAGAACCTACAAAAAAGTAGGGTTTGGTAGGTTAAGGTAGGGTATGAGCCTCGAGGTAGAGTCTTTGCGAACCAAACCCCCAAACCATAGAGTGGCTGGGGGCTCAAACCAGAACCATCCAAGCCAGAAGACTGCAGAAGCTTGACTGCTTAGTAACTGTAAGAGCCTATATAGGGGTCCCTTACTCCAGTACTAGTGAAGTTTACCCCGCACTCAGTTCTAGTTGCTAAGGGCCCCTTTAGTCGGAAATCCTAAAAGGAACCCTATTCTGAGTTCTGATTGTTCGGGCCCCTACATTAGCGAATGATTGCAGGAGGAAGCCCCAGCAACTGAGCCGCCGCATCAAAGCCAAGCGGAGACACATCAGAGGCAGTCGGTGTCGGGTCCGGGTCTTGTGTTTTTGGTTTTAGGAGTTTTGGGTTTGGGGTCGGGGTTTAGGGTTTGGCAGCAACTGAGCAGCTGCATCATAGCCAAGCGGAGACACATCAGAGGCAGTCGGTTTAGGGTTCAGGTTTTTTGCTTTTGGTTGTAGGAGTTGCGGGTTTAGGGTTTGGGGTTTAGGGTTTGGAAAAGTAACCCGGTCGCGGTCTCAAGCAGTGCAAGGTTTTTGGTAAGTTCAGGGTTTTGGGGCTGCGGACCCTGGTGAAGTCTAGTCTAGTTTGACGTCCACGGCTTCTCGGGGTGTCAAAGGGTTCACAACATGCCTTGAGCATGCACCTGAGACCCAGCACCCTAAGCCCTAAACCCTGTGTGGACCCTAAAGAACGGACGTTTTCAGGATTTCCAATTTATGATTCCCTTATATAAGTCCTCCAAAAAGTATTTGGGGTTAAGGTAAACCCTAAGCAGCATCCGTAGAGGGCTCAGAAGAGTGACGACATGAGCCAACCCAGAGTGCTAGAACCGAAAAGCCTAATCACCGAAAGTAAACCCAAACTTTTCAGGTGTTTCTGAACCCTAGAATCTAAACCTCTTTAAACTATAAATTAAACCCTAAATCCCAAAACACTGTAAACCCTAAATCCTTAACCCCCAAGCACTGTTAGGTGTCCAAAGACGCCAGGCTTCGATCCTGAAGCTCTAAAACCACAAAAAACTAGGATACCCAGTAACACCCTTATTCCCCTTTATGTAGTCCTAGGTTCCTTATAAAGTTACCCAATACCAAAAAGGGAGCCTTTTTTATTCCTAGGTTACTGGGCATCCTGGAAAAGTTGAAAGCCCCTGGTCTTCCCCGGGGTGCAATCGTAGTTCCAGAGTTTAGGGCTTACCTGGACACTACCCATAGGCCCCAAAGTAGTTCCTTTTTGGGACCACCTTATAGAATTCTATATATGAACCCCAAGAAGGAACTACTTTGGGGCCTATGGGTAAAGAACGACACTTTTGAACTTGTGGGGTTCTTATGAGGTAGTCGATTCTGAAAGTTTCAACTTTGATTCTCTTGGGGTTTGGGCCAGTGAGCTAAAGAACCTACCTTCAGAGGGGTACTTGTTAATGTTTCCTTAGATAAGTCTTTAAACAGGTTATTGTTGGGTCCAATGACCCTAAAGAACCTACCTTTAGAGTCTAGGGTTTAGGGTTCAGAGGGGTCCTGGTTATAGTGTTATGGTTTCCTTAGGTTAAATCCCAAACAGTAGGTTATTGGAACAGAAGCAAAGACTAATACCTGCAGTCCCAGAGTGCATTTAAGATCGTTACATTTTTGGTCCAATCAGAACCCTAACAGAACCCCTGGACCGTAAACCCCAAGCAGGGCGCTCAATCCTAATCTGCAAGTAGGAGCTAGGGCCTATAAACCCCTAAATCATACAATCCCCAACACGCCCCACAGCGCTGAATTCTCACAACCACACATTTTTTTAAAGCATAAGCGCAAACCCGACACCCCGAAACCCTGGGTCTCCTGAAGCCTTCAGAACCCTAAGGACCCTATAAGCCCGAAGACGCTAAACCCTGAACCGTACTCAGACCTTCCGAAATCCCTTAATTAAGGAATATACCTCAATTCATATTAGGGATCCTATCATAGTTTAAGGTATACTCCTTAATTAAGGGATTTTGGAAGGTCTGGGTAATATAGGTGCCTTAATGAATTAGAGTAGGGTTTGGGGGCATATTCTACTGTACTCATAATGAGGAACCCCCAAAACGCTGTTCTACTGATTAAGGCCCCTACAGCAATCCCTGAAACCGTCACGAGAGCTTGAGCTGCTTGTGAATAACGAGGCCACAAGCTGAAATGCAGCGGCTGTGCGGGACTCAGGAAACTCCATTCTGAAAGGGTCCTATTCTTAGCAGCCCTCTTCAAACCCTACGCACCCTGAACGCTGAACCCTGTCATAATCTCACTAAATGGGGGGGTTATTCACCATACTGCAATTCAGGATATAGAATCTTACTGATGTAGCCACATGGATCTGGATAGCTACCAACATAGTTCTATCGGGTTCCTTCCCTGTTATTAGCTATAGTCAATGTCAGTGTGTTCCTTCAACATTCTACCCAAAGCTACTCAAAAAACACTAGGGCCCTTAGCTTCTACTAACGAGTATGTACGGTTTCAGGGAGTTCCTTAGATCGTGAATGGCAGCGCTATTGAATAGCCCATAACTGTGTTAAATGGGAGGTTACAGATAGATGCCTTTACAAGGTGCTTCCCATGTAAAGCTTTCATACAAGCTTGCAAAACCATGAAAAAAACAACACGACGTGGGCGACCACAGGCACTGCCGTGTTGTTCTTCTCCTCGCCGTGTATAGTGCCGTTCTGTTATCTGCAGACTGCTGAACCACCCAAATCGAACCAAACGATCCCGAGTTGTTGAGACACATGCCCAAAATCCGACTGCCGAAAGCCAAAACCCAGATCCCAAAATCCTAAACCCTGCCAACCTCCTGAACCTAATAACGTGTTGCCAGGTGGCTGGACCTCTGGCTGCAAGGTGACGATGCAGCAGAGGCTTGCGGTGTTGCTTGGGAAGATGGTTTAGGGAGGCGTGTGTTTTGTCCGGTGTTGTTGGGGTGTTTCGGGGCTCAGGATTGGGCTTAGGGCTTTCGGGTTGTTGAGGTCTTTAGCCTTTCCATTGCAGGGCTCTTCCAATGCAGAAGCAAGCCCTTTACGCCCGAAAAGCCGTTCGCTCAAGACCGGCAAGTCTTGAGCCCCGTATCTGCATCAGTACATCACAAAGCTGCACAGTTATTCTCGTACATATCGTAGCCACGTGTTCCTATATATATATATATATACATGGTTGCTTCTGGTCCTGGAGTGGGGGGTTGGCTAGTAAGCCTTGGCTACACAAAGACTGCTCTGATTTCAGAATCGGCAAGAACTGTACTGCAAGTAAACAGTATATTAAAGCAATTACGTACGACCTGATATGCGACATCAGGGCCGATTCACCTTGAATCGGGCCGATTCAAGTTGAATCGGGCCCCGAATGGAAGATTGAAGATTGAAGATCCCTGAAAGAAGTTTGCCAGGGATCTTCAATCTTCAATCCGGCGACTGATCAAGTTGAATCGGGCCGATTCAAGTTGAGTCGGTCCCGCCAGCACATACCACGAGTCATCGCGAATCACAATTATTTTCATCACAGACCACAAGGCAGAATCATTCTTATAGGGTGTTCATATTACTCATAGCAGGGGCACTGTTTCTAAGTTCCCCTTTTTCCTGCAACTTGGCTTTGCTAGTGGAACCCCAACAAGAGCGGGCAAAGAACACCTCCGGGGAAGTTAGGTTTGTGCATTTAGGGCTTATCGGGCACCTCCCCGCCCAGTACCAGCCTCAACCGCAACAAGACTGGGCCTAAACGATTGCTAAACAACACACAGAAAGGTAATGACATCGGCCCCATTCGTGATCCGTCGACCCTGACAACGGCCCGGACACCATACGGATATCCATAGTGTCCACCCGAAGACTCAACCCCAGGAATAGCAATCATGCTGATCCTGATATCACAGCCTCATTTTTGAAAGGATGCTAACCTACCGTTAGGTTTGAACTTGCCACCATGTTCATCTTATTAGCGAACCTTCGCCCAACCTCGTAAATAAACCTTGCCTTCGTAGTAGGTTTTGGGTAACCCTGCTGTTCTGTCTCATGTTTATCCGAAAAGTGACACCTTGTAGCTCAACACCATAGACTTCGTGGAAAAAATGCTATGCCGACTAGTGACCCCACTAGTCGTTCGCATGTTAACTCCCATCTCCCAGAATTCGAAAATGAATTCAACATCATAATTTGCACCCCGACAGTAAAGATACTGGAATTCCACCAGCAACGCCAATATCTGAGTAAAGATGGACCTTATATCCCTACTGCAAGTCTTCGTAATGCACCGAATACTGCTCTCAACAGCAAGCCTTGAAAGTCATGGCAGCCCCAATGTTAGTTACTGCTAGTGCTGATACAGGTAAGCTAGACACGGCCCAAGTACTAGCCGCAAGGGTAACCATCGTATCCATGGTAATATAAACCTCCCAACCATTTCATTCACATGCAAGATCCTTAACTCTCTCAATTTCCATTGATGGCCCATAGATTTAAGGATGATATTTGTAACTGCTTGCTTACCTCAACATATAATGATAGGCCCCTTCTTACCGCAGATGCTCATGTCGGACTGCAACATCAAACTATCCTTGCCAGTGACTCGTCTGTCAATGGTGACATTAATATTAGGCGTTTATGATAGCCTTAAGACTATCCATAGTAGCCTGAGTACGACCAGTAATATTACGCCAATGTTTCTCCTTTTTGCAACCTCAGTCAGAGCTACTGTAAATGATAGTGGTTCGTGTGATAACCTTGATATCCTGGTCTGTGTTAAGCCGGCAGCGCTGGGCTTTTTAGCCCTAAAAACTCGTGCCGGCGCAAACGTCACCGCACTGCCTTTACTCCAACTGCTACAAAGATGCATGTAGCCAACGTGCACCAGCGTCTCATCTACGTTTGCTGTTGATCTGTCTGCAGGAGATACAACACTCTCTGGCACCTAAGTGACAACTACCGGCAAAACCATGAAATAGCAGACGCACTTATGTAGGTGGCAACGGCTTTGGCTGGCACAAACATGGTGCAGTATTCTGCAACCTAGATGACGAAAACTTGTACCCAAAAGCACACAAAACCGGAAAAAGGTAGGTACCGGAGGGGGGGGCTGCATATATATATATATATATATATATATATATATTATACACATACACATAAAGTGGACGCCGAATACTTGCAAACCCCGCGGCCGGGTGCCAGCAATGGCAGAACGCAGCTCAAACAGTGGATTTCCAACTTTTGAGATTTCCATGTTTACCGTCGCGACAGAAAGTTGGAAGTCTTGCTGGCACATGATTTTGTCACCAAAATTCGACAGAAATGAATATGGCCTCAGAAAATAATGCAAAGTGGCAAAAACTTGAGGCTGGCCAAGGCGACATCACAAATTCGAGGGACAAGGACCCCAGCACCAAACGCAAACGCACAGTCATAAGATTTGAATCAAAAGCCTTCCGACTGCACTTCGGACCCAAACAGCAGGAGCCACCCTGAAACCCATCCAAATTGCAACATTTCATTGTGACTTTGCAAAAAGTGCAATTTCAGGTGAGCCCGAAACAAGAGAAAGTCTTCACCATAACAGAAATGCACCTTTTGTATCGAATTTGAATGAAGACACAAATGCAGCACCTCAGAACCGACCACGAAACTGAACGAAGCAGAGTTTGTTGCGCTCACCTTGGGATCCGATTTCACGGAAAAAGCTTTCCGACTGTGAAGAACCGCCCGAACAGAAAAAAAGGGCCCAAAAGTTTTTTTCCAGGAGCTAAGAGATTTCATTTTGGACTTGAAGAGCTAGGAATCTCCCAAAGGACCGTCAACAAGAAAGTTGGAAATCTTGCAAGCCACGTCGAAAAACTCAGTTTTCGAGAAGAAAGTCAAGGAAGTTTTGAAGAAGTCGAAACAAGGTTCAAGTGGAACTTGTTTGAAGCAGCTCGAAAAGCGGGCAAACACACGTGCATATGCGCGCACGGATAGACCGAAGCATCACAATAAATTACTAACTTTAGGTTTTATCAAGGTGCTTTGCCTTTTTTGATTTGATCACATTAAAACTCTGGAACTTTAAAAAGTTTCCAAGTTTTGCTCTTGAAATCTTTCAATGTGGAATTGGTTTGCACAAGTTTCCGACTTTATTCGCGAGCCAGTCTCGTCGGCGTGTTCGATTTGGCTGGAACATGTTGCGTCGAGCGCTTCCATTTCGTTGCAGTGGGGCGCTGTGTAGCGCCGCCGGTGGTCGTGGCGCTCGGACACACGGGGGGGTTGGTGGTCCAAATCGAGTCGCTGAGCCGCAACTCCCATCCGCGCAATTCAGGTCGCTTGCAATCTCGCAAAAGGAGGACTGCTGTCGCCAACGCTGCTGAGGCATGGCTTTGCTGCCCTTGCCAATCACGCCTGTAGTACGTAGTTTTGCAACGGAAGCCGTCGCAACACGAAAGGAACGAGAGTTCTTGCCAGCGCTGCCGAGGCGCGCACCTGTTACTGCCTTGGGCCTTGCCGCTGCCGCTTCAGCTCGCTGTCCCGACAATTTGTACGCACAAAACATATAGATTTTGAGGGAAGCAGTCGCCGTCAGCGCCAACACCATCACAAGTCAGGTCCTTGCAATCTCACACGAGGTCGCCAACGCTGCCGAGGTAGGGCTCTGCTGCCGCCTTGCCGCTGCCACATCAGCTCGCCGTGGCAACCTCCACCCATCCGAAGGACCGGCTGCGGAGGTGCACAGAATGTTAGAACGCAGGTGGATGTTGGCCTATCGCGCCACATCTCTTTTCGGAGTGCCGAGGATCGAGAGGCAGAAATCCGCGCGAAGGAATTCTTAGCGAAGGTGCACCACTTCACAACTGCCTCGACGCGTGCCCCAATGCTGCCCCGCGAAAGGCCTTCCTGGAGCCCTTCAACAATTTGCACAAGTTATAGCAGGCTAAGATGTCACAGGAGTTTTGCGGCATGCCTGGGCCGGCTGGCGACGGAGTTTCATGGATGCCTACGGACTTGCAACCTGTCACTGACCCTGGACTTGCCTCGACATTGTCTTCAACCGACGACTTTGCAAGGTTCGTCGGTTCGTCTATGAAAACTGCAGATGGAGGTTGAAAATTTGTGACACGACGGATATGCGGATGTACGAATCCTTTTCCTTTCCTCCGGGCCGCCTCCTCTTCCGCCCGAAAGTCAACCTGCAAGTCGTGCTGCGGGTGTACGCCACCCTCCTTCCTGAGATTGGATCGGTCAGGTCGGGCGTTTGGGATGAGAGCTCATGTATTTACATGTACATACGGATCGTTTCGGTTCTCATCGTTGTCTACCAGGGGTGTTAGGCAATACTTCAATATGATTATTTTGGTTGACATGCACGGCTCCTTTTTTCAACAAGCCTGAGCTGAAGCCTCCCAAGCACCCTTCCCGCCCGGTTTGTTTGCATCCGGGTGCTTTCACCGCATTCCGGAAGGTCGCGACACCCATGGGGTGCTCGTCGGCCAAAAGGGGCCCAACGGTTTTAGGGTCACCAACATCCTCATTTCCAGCTCGACGGATCTTGTTGCCGAGACTGCCCGGAAGGCCATATTGGAGAAAGGAGCTGCAGGGTATCTCTGGATTGGGACGGTCCGCACCGAGCACATGGGCTTGCAGGCTTCACCCGACCAAGCGGACATTGATCCGAGCAGCACCCGGTAACGCCGTCTGAGAGTGCTGTGGCGGTGTGGCCACCGGGGACTGGAAGGTTTGGGAGCCGCACGCCTCCACTACTCCATTGCAAAGTCATGTACACTTCGCACAACGCCGAAGCCTGGGCGAGAATTTCCATTTCTTGGATTTGGATGCTGGGCCGGTGGATGTTCGCTCCTGTATAATGTTGGGAGCCATGCGCCACACCACAACTGTGGAGGGAGCGCAGCACGACCCCTCGCAGCGATAATTACATGGTCATGCCAGCCTAGTCCAGTGGAGCTTGCTTCTGGATCAGCTCGCTCTACGCCATCAACCCGGAGGTCATGCAGGACAACCCCCCCGCAAGCCGTGTGGTGTGCCGGTAGACCACGCGCAGGAGATCTAGGAGGAGCAATCGGTGCGGGAACTCCGAGACGGGGTGCATGGTGGACTGCAGGAGGAGTTGAGGTTTGCAAGAATTCCGCGTTCACAATAATTACACATGATTACATATGGCTATGTATCCCTTGGAAGCCGTTTCTTAGCCCTTTATATCTCCTGATCATCAATGCCAGGATTATCACTAGCGCCATGTCAACAGCATCATTAGGGTCGTATACATCGTGGTCATCATCACCGCCACCATCACCATCCTCACCAAAGTTGTCGTCGTCATCATCGTCAGCATCATCATCAGCATCATCATCACCATCCGCAGCGGCATCGCGCCATCATCTTCTTCACCATAGCATCTTTGTGACAATTAGCAGCAGCATCAGCAGTGTAGGTCAGGCTGCACAGCACGTCTGGCACAGTGCGATTCGAAGCCAACCTCCAGCCTGTAATCCCTGGATGACGCAAAAAAACCACAAACTGTAGAAACCCAGAACCCTCAACCTAGACCCTAAACCACCAAACGCAAGCAACCCTAAACTGGATATCCGAAGCTCTAACCCAAAACCGAAACGATGACCTGACCAATGCTTTTTGGTCAGACGCCGGCAGACACTTCCCCACCGGAGCCGGGTGTACAAGGTCCTTGTCTCAGTCCCTGCCCGGTTTCAGTTTTCGGAATCGCGGCTGCGCTTTGCAAAGCTTTAGGCTTGGGGTTTAGGGTTGAGGGTTTAAGGTTAAAAATTTCGAGCTCACATCCAGGCTTTATGTATACGCCCATACACATATGTCGGATTGTTTTTAATTACGTACGTATTCACATGCATATCAACATACACAGATGCATACAAACATACATACATACATCCACCCATACATACATACGTATATGTTTATGCACAACTGGTTTAAGTAGGCCGTGGTAGCTAAATACGCACATTGAGGTTGTTTTTTTGTGGGCATGAGCAGCAGCACAAAGTTCATTGATATCAAATGTGAGCATGTGTGTGGGCATGCTCATGTATGTATGTGTATATGTATCTAGCGTGCAATATGTATATGCGTGTGTGTACATGTAAGGTACATGTATGTATGTATGTATGTATGTATGTATGTGCATAACATAAACACATTACATATGTGTGGATGTATGTTTATGCATGGTCAGAGCTTGCCTAAGGAATATTTGGTATATCGGTATATCCGATGTTGAAGAATAAGAGGTATGTATGCCGCATACCCTGAATCCTAAAGCCCCTGAACCCGCCACAGAAGGGGGAAACCTGACGTATTGTAGACCAAAACCACTCTGGAGCTACTTGCAAAGATCCACCCTCCATCCCCTAAACGCAGGTCGTCCCCCTCTGAAGCACCCCCCATACAAAGCCCACCTTTAGGCCAAATCCTCTCTAAACCCTAAGCCATACATCCTAAGCCCTACACCCCGTACCCTGAAGCTTAAGTCCCAAACCCTCCCTAAAACCGTAAAACCCTAAACTCTAAACCACTGAGCCCGAATCCCCTCGGTCCTCCCTTGCTGGGCATCCCAAGCTTTCCCAGAGGTCCCATGCGCCTGCTTGTGAGAAGGCCGACGGGCCTTAGGGTTTAAGGCTTTGGGGCTTGAGGGTTTTAGGGTTCCTTTAAAAGGATTTATAGGGGTTCCTTGAAGGGGTCTATACTAGGGTTTAGGGCATCAGGGTTTGGGGTTAGGGGTTTAGGGGCTTTAGGGTTTGGGGTTTAGGGTTTAGGGTTGAATAGGCTTATGGTTTGGAGGTTCGGCATTTTGGGGTTTAGGAGAGGATTTATAGAGGTTCCTTTAAGAGATCTATAATAGGGTTTAGGGCTTCAGGGTTGGGGTTTCGGGCCTTTAGGGGCTTTACGGTTTGGGGTTTAGGGTCCAGGGGTTTAGGGTTGAATAGGGTTTAGGGTTTTGAGGTTCGGCGTTTTAGGGTTTAGGGCTTTAGGGTTTCGTGGCTTTGCAGCTTAGCAGGTTTATAGGGCTCAGGGTTTTGGGTTTGCAGGCTTCAGGGGGTTTAGTGTCTTGGGGTCCTTGGGGTGAAGGGTGCTACTGGACCCTATCATTGGTAGCAGTGCTACTTATAATAAGCAGACCTACAAACCCTTTTCTGATAAAGCAGGTCGCTTTAGAATACTCGGCTTGCCATGGCGGTGCTGCAAGGATTAGCTTATTAGTTGTTGTGGGTCGGTTGTATTGCAGGGTGTTGTGTCAACAAGTTGGGGCTCGTAGCACCTGTGAGGCACTCACAACCTACTTGCGGCGGCCCCACCTGTGGCCAAGCCTCAATCTACAGCTGGGTGGTTGTCAAAATTACGGTCCCTGTTTTGGGTACCCTAAATATTAGGTGCCGTAGCATAATAAGGATCCAAAAAAGGACCCTAATATTGACAACCACCCAGCTGTCTAGAAACCCTTATTTGTTCCTTAAGTTCCGTCGGCACTAGGCTTCGTGCATGGATTCCGCAAGTTATATTGGGTCTGACGAAGTAGTAACGACGTAAATCCTATTGTATCATACTGTACAAGCAGTAGCATTCAGTAGTTCGGATCCTCAACACGAACATGCCCCAAACTCCTATCCTTAAGATCAAGGCCCTTGCATGATTCTGACTATTGAGGCTCTGTACGGGCGGAGCACTTGGATCCGGGGCATCGCCTGGAGCGGTTGCTGGAGCTTCCCCAGGCTTCCATACACCCAGTGGAGCACTTGGATCAGGTTTCTCCTGCACAAGATCACTGGGCAGTGGGCTTTCTCGTAGCTCTTCGTCAAGCAGTCAAGCACGCTGAACCAGCGGTTGGCGCCAACAAAAAAAACAAAAGCGGATCGAATTTGACAGCCTGCAGCGTGCTTTCCGAGAGCGAGTCCGCACACAGCACGTCAGCAGTTCAGGCACACCCAGGGAACCCACTACCCCTTAATTAAGGAATATACCTCAAATTATAGGGGCCTTAGTATTATGATTCAAATACTGGGTGGTTGTCGAAATTATGGTTCCTTTTTGGGTCCCTACTATAATGTGGCAGCTATGATGTAGGGTACCCATAAACGGACCATAATTTTGACAACTACGGAGATCAAATGCCTGGTGGCAGACGGCCCTAGCCCATTTGCGCATGATATAGGTAGATGTCCGTACCGTAGTCGTTAGAACACAGGTTTGGTTTGGGGGTAAACTCGACTATACTTGTGAGGTAGCCGTTTCTTCGACCCCTGGAGTACCCTAAGGCCCTGAGACCCCGGTCTGTGGAGATCCTCAGCACTGTTCCACGGCTGTAAAGTTTTGGGGGTTTAGGGTTTAGGGCCCCGGTTTAGAGGTTAGGGTTTCGGGTTCAGGGCCCCGGTTTAGGGTTTAGGGCCCCGGTTTAGGGGTTAGGGTCTAAGTCTAGGGTTTCGAGCCCTAAGGGGGCTGAGGGCAGCTGGTTTGCTGCCATGCGCTCTCAGGACTCCTTCGCCGGAAGAGGATGCTTCCAGCTGGAAGGCGGATCGAGCATCGACATAGTGCTTTGGGGGTTGAAGATTGAAGTGACGGGGTTCCTTTTCAGGACCTGCATATACAAGCCAGATGGTCTACGTTGTAACTAAGTCAAGTATAGTTCGAGATGAGTTCAGCGCGAGCTACGGTCTTAGCATCCTACCCGAACTCCCGATGAATCGCATACAGGTTTATTGCACAGGTACACAACTTGCAACGATTACTTAAAGAATCATGGAACTTAGTAACTGGGGTCATAATTAGGGTAACTATACTTATAACTACGCATAACCCCAGCTAAGGTACATATAACCTTACTTACTAAGTCCGATGATCCTCCAAGTAGTGCTTAAGCAGCAAGAAGGCGCCGGGAATGTCCTTATGTGTTTTCATGCAGGGCTTTCCTCATTAAACCTGGCTAAGAGAACAACGGGCAAAGTAGGGGCCTGAGCAGTTAGAGGAGGCTTTCCGTGGTTAGTCAAGGCAAGTATACGACTAGAAGGGGTTACCTTGAGAAGCCGCGAGGCCCTCCAGCTGCCATCCGACGAGAAGGCCGGGAGAACTTTACAGGATGTAGTGTTACCTTGTCTACGGATAAGATTAGACAACTATAAAAGCGGATTTAGTATTACCTTGCATATGGATAAGATTAGACACCCTAGGCTTCCAACAAACAGGAAAACCTTGGGCGTTGACGTTGGGCTAAGGAAAAGTTAGTCTGTTCGAAAATCCGGTTTGAACCACTCCATTTTCCCCCTAGCAGGGCCCATGCCCGCTAATGTTCAGCGGGATCCCAACAGCCGCAAATTCCCCCGACTGGGTTATGAGACGCGTTGGCCCGAACAGCTACATTTTACCCCGCTCAGTTTGGAGACCCGCCAATCCGAACAGCCTAAACTTTTCCAGGGGTCGCGCAAGAGCTTTCGCAGAGGAACGGCGGGCCCACCAACACCCCACTCACGGTTACTCACGGTTTTCTCACGGTTCCTTTTGGGGCCGAGCAAGAGCTTTCGTGGAGGAACGGCGGGCCCACCAACACCCCACTCACGGTTACTCACGGTTTTCTCACGGTTCCTTTTGGGGTCGAGCGGCTTGTTGGCTTTGGTCGGCATTTCGGGTGGAGTGGTCGGCCAAATGCGTCCGCTTCTCATTTTTGTGCACTTTGAAACTGGTCGGCCAAGCGTGTCCGCTTCTATTGTGTGTCGTGCCGAGGCGTCGGGTAAAACGCGTCCGCTTCCATCAACATCATCGTTACATATCTCGATTGGCCTGTCGGGTAAAATGCGGTCGCTCAGGGGTAAAGTGCGGCTGTTGGGAACAGCCTGGAAAAGTATGGCCGCAGAAGCAAGGGGGTACAATTATAAAAGCGCTTATTATGTCATGATATTGGGTGGATGTCAAGTTTCGGATCTTAATCGAGTGGGGGATCCCATATTTGGGAGCTCTTCTAAGACGGATGCTACGGCCTTTATATGGATCTGCTTATAGTTAAAGAGGAACCTGCAAATCAAACAGACAAAAAATCACATGTATATGTGTATATACAGTATATGTATATATGTGTACACTTATTTAGTTATTTGTGCAGTGATCCCCGTTGCTCAGGCTTTACAGCCGAATCTCGGTGAAGGGTGAGCTTCCACAAGTGCAGGACATTCTTTCCTTAACCCGACACCCAAGCCTTATAAGCCCCAACGAGACAAGCTCAAGCACTTCAAGGCAGAGCCTCCAAGCCGAAAGCAAAGTGAGGCCATTTGCCTCGAACTTGGCTTGGCCTTGGCCGGCAGCGTCCGCGACGTGCTGGTGCCAACGTGCGTTGGGGGTGTCCCTGGTTGAGGCTGTAAAGGAAGGGCCTTAATTATCGGATTAGGATTCTAGGGGTTTGGGTTGAAGGTTACGGTTTACGGTCCAGGATTCGGGGTTTAGGATGTAGGGTTTTGGCGAGCACCCATATCAACAAGCGATGGAACTTCCTGTCACTTAGATGGCTCAGGGTGACTTCGCTCTGCATATGGCTATGCTTACTCCACAGAGAAACATATGGCCATACTTACGAGATCGAGTGACAAGTTAAATCCCGTTATTGTTGCCGCGGTCCATCAAATCTTCAAAACACCGCTTTTGCGGTCGTGTTAAGGTGACTGGATCATCACCACACTTCTTCTACATCCCCGGATGGGCTTTTTAGGGGTCAACTCAGCTTGGAAATCACTTCAAGGGAGATCGTAGCTTTAAAGGGCCTAGTACTATTGTGGGGTTTCCTTACTATAATCATAGTATAGTGGGCCCTCAAACCCCATTCTAATTATTGCGGCGCCTCTATTCGTCTGCAGGGCATCCTCTTAGCTGATCTCCAATCACGCATGCCCAGAGGATCCTGGGACTTAGTAAGTAAGGCTATAAGTACCTCAATTGGGGTTATAAGTAGTTATAAGCATAGTTACCTTAATCATAACCTTACTATCCAAGTCCCATGATCCTTTAAGTATCCCCTAAACCCTAAACCCTATAGATCCCCTTAAGGAACCCCTATAGATCCCTTATTCTTAGCCTTACTTACTAAGTCCCATGATCCTCCAAGTGGAGCTGAAGGAGCTTGACATGGTGCCAAGCGTACGGGCCCGGCCGTTCTTGGAGGGAGGAGCTGAGGGTTTAGGGTGGGTTTAGGGTTTAGGGTGTTTAGGATTTAGGGGTCTATAGGGTTTAGGGTTTAGGGTCATTAGGCCGATGACATGTGGTGATGTAGACAACGTGGCCTCGTTGATGGGGAGCTGCCGGGCCGGTCCGCCAGATGTTTCGCAGCATCAGGAACGACAACATGCGTCACGTGGTGCGCAAGCTTGGAAAATCCCGTCCTTACAGTTGTCTCTAAGGTCTTGCGAATTTCACGACTCCCCCATGGCAGCTGGTGACGTATCACTCGTCTGCGGCGTCTGAAGCCTTCCAGCATGTGGCAAGACTGTTGGTTCACTGAACCGATAGCTTAGGGATTAGGTTTAAGGTTCCTAGTATCTGAGTAGGAAGCCTTTGACCTGTTGGGGTGTACAGAATCCTACCATAATTGAAAAGGTGAACCTTTTTGGGGCTAGGGTACTCAGCCCCTAAGCCCTGAACCCTAAGTCCCGTAAACCCCTAAACCCTAACCCCGCAACCCGCTAAACCCCCAAAAACCCTAGACCCCAAAACCCCTAAACCTATACCCTAAACCCCTAAACCTTCAAACCTATGCCCTAAACCCCTCAACCCTTAAACCTATGCCCTAAACCCCTAAACCCTTAAGTCCCTAAACCCCTAAACCCTTAAACCCCGCAACCTATACCCTCATAGCGTTTCAGGAGAGTTTCCAGCGAAGAGAACAGATCACCAGACAAAGGCTCCTCAGTCTCCGTTCCACAGCAACCCGCAGGACAGAAGATGCATGTAGACACTATTTACATATATAAAAACAGCATGTAGGTAGATGTAGCTATATAATGTCGTTTACCGATTAAGATACCCCCCCGGATTAGACGGGGCCGTCCCGGGCATGTCATGGGCTTAATGAAGAAGTCCATTAGACCCCACCCCTATAGTACCGGAGCTCGCCTAAACCCCCCCCGATTAGACGGGGCCATCCCCGAAAATCCCCGAAGTAAGGATTTAGGGGATTTAGAGGCTTATGACTTAACCCTAAACCCCAAACCCTGAACCCTAAACCGTAAAAAGCTCATGATGGCACACTTTTCCTCATTTGACCAGCTCATGTCCGGGACCAGGGATTTGCAGGCCCTTTGCTTTGACCTAGAAAGCCCGAAGCTTTGAGATGGAAGGGTCAGAGATCCCTGGCCTTTGGATCCCTGGGATTTCGGTGATATCTTCTGCTGGCAGAAACAGGTGGTTCCCTAATTAAACCGTATATTAAAAGAGTAGGTTTGTCAAGTTTTCCAAGGCTGCCTTTTTGCAGGCCCCGAACCCCCCCGAATAGCAGGAAACCCCCCCCGATTAACAGGGTCCGGCCCGGGACCAGGGATTTGCAGGCCCTTTGCTTTGACCTAGAAAGCCCGAAGCTTTGAGATGGAAGGCTCAGAGATCCCTGGCCTTGGGATCCCTGGGATTTCGGTGATATCTTCTGCTGCCAGAAACAGGTGGTTCCCTAATTAAACCGTATATAAAAAGAGTAGGTTTGTCAAGTTTTCCAAGGCTGCCCCTTTGCAGGCCCCGACCCCCCCGAATAGCAGGAAACCCCCCCCGATTAACAGGGTCCGGCCCGGGACCAGGGATTTGCAGGCCCTTTGCTTTGACCTAGAAAGCCCGAAGCTTTGAGATGGAAGGGTCAGAAATCCCTGGCTTTGGGATTTTTGGGATTTCGGTGATATCTTCTGCTGGCAGAAACAGGTGGTGGCCGGCCACATTTGAACCCCCAACCCCCTCAATCTGCTCAAGTCCTTGAACCCCTTCAAACCCCCAACCCCCTATTGTAATAATACTATACTACTGTACTGCTTCTATTACTAGACTTCAATACTACTACTAAACTACTGTACTACTACTATACTACTGTTCTACTATTATACTACTGTAATACTACTATACTACTGTACTACTACTGTACTACTGTACTACTACTATACTACTGTAATACTACTATACTACTGTACTACTACTATACTACTGTACTACTACTATACTACTGTACTCTACTATTGTACGTACGACTGCAATACTTTACTAAGTACTCTCTATCTACTTACTACTATACTTAATAATTAACCCCATCCCCACATAATCGGGGGGGGGCGGGAAAAACTTGAACCCATGAACAAGTTCAAGCGGGCTAACCTTGACAGCGGGGGGGGGGGGGGGGGTTTGTTAATCGGTATCCAACATTAACATGTATGTATATATATATATATATATATTTTTTTTTTTTGTTTTTGATATGTGTTTTGGGGTTGAGGGCCTACCGTGGGTGCAGCTAGGAACATGAATAACGTCACTAGGTAACCTGGACGATTTGTCCCGCCCTCTATTCTCAGATTCCGACCCACGTGCAAGGTGTTTCGGGACCGAAGGGTTCGCGGCCCAGAGCAGGTTTTGGGTTCCCAGACCTTCCAAAATCCCTTAATTAAGGAATATACCTTGGTTCATATTAGGGATCCTATTATAATGTAAGGTATATTCCTTAATTAAGGGATTTTGGAAGGTCGGGGTTTATAGGGTTTTATGGTTTTTTTGCCACGAGTGTGCAGCGTATGGCCCCCAAGGGTGTAGAGTTCAGCATATGGCCCCCAAGCGTGTAGAGTTCAAGAGCCGTGTTTGAATTCCATGCAAGTGTGTAGGAAGTAGACACCTGACTGCTGGATCATTGCACGGGTTAGAACTAAGATGGTATGCCTTCCGTATTACTAAGTCTAAGGTTAGAAGTGTGTGCCCCTAATATGGACCCTTAGGCCTTTTTGACGGAGCTCTAGGGACCCTTAAGAGTCTAGAGAGGGTATATATCAGGTATTTAGGGATCCCAAGGTTAAGGGCCCATACTAGGGGCCCATGGTTTCAACCGTATTGCGAAGGGGAGTTGTAGTGTTTGTTCGGGATATCAGGGTGTCATCTTCTTTGGCTCTGAGGAGTTGCATTTCGGATTCTGGCTTTTTTAGGGTTGCGGCTTGAACCTACGTAGCTCAGGCTCCCGAATGATTCAATCGCTCAGGGTTTCTATAAGTTTTCAAGAAGAAATTCAGAAGAATACTTGGGTCTTCGGGCTCCAGGGGTTTAAGAGTGCTCAGGGATCACAGGGTTTTGGCAGACGTATGCGAGCTGAAGCACCTCCACATCCAATCGCCGAAACCCAAAACCCAGCGGCCTTCAAACAAAAACATAACAAAAACAAACAAAAACATTATATCAACAGTTCAGAAAAGCTAAAAACTCGGCAAAAGACTTTAATTAAGCTTTTCGATGTAGTATCGTGCCTGCCCGGACACTTCCATGTGGATCCTTTTGAGTACGCTGAGGCGTCTTAGTTCAGCTTTCGGTGACAGGCAGAATCCCTCAAATCATACCTCAGTTTCGTGCTTTTCCGGAGTTTTGATGGCGGAATCTATTTTATTTTTGCAAGGGCCGGGAGGAGTCCAGATGCCCGTATAGAACCTTGAAGGGAGGCTTCAAAGGAACCTTCTATAGCAGCTTCTGAATACCATTGTAGTAACCCTTATCCCTAAACCCCAAACCCGAATCAGGGTTTAGTTTAGGCTTCAAAGGAACCGCCTGGACTCGACAAAGAGTGCAAGAATGGAAGATTCCAGGATCCGATCACCAAAGCCAGCCGTTTGCAGCCGTCCCTGGATTATGAGGTTCCGGTTAGGGTTGAGGGTTTGGGGGTTAGGGTTGAGGGTGAGGTTCCTGTTAAGGATTATGAGGTTCCGGTCAGGGGTTTACAGCGTTTTGGGTTAGGGGTTTACAGGGTTTAGGGGTTAGGGGCTTACAGGGTTTAGGGGTTAAGGGTTTACAAGGTTTACGGTTTACTTAGCAGAAGTTGTATAGGGCCTTGGACCTAAGCTTCAGGTAGGCTTTGCGGAATGGAGCTTGGGTCAAAAGGCATAGGGTGCACAGGATTTGCGACCAAGGGTGTAGGGTCTACAGTTTAGGGTTTAAGGGATCCCGGAGTATTTAGGGTGTTGGTGTTGGGGTGCGGTGTCATAGGTGTGGGTTTATAGCGTTTTGGTTGTAGGTTTTTTTATTGGGCCATGATGGGTACATATGCAGGGCTTATGGGCCGATGAGTTGTTTTAGATCTGAACCTCTGCATTGTCAGGTTGTGCGAGCCCTCAACCCGTAATTGAATTCGGATACTTGGAGGCTCAGGGGTACTTATAAATAAGTGAGGTTATAAGTCCCCTACTGTGGGTTTTAAGTATAGTTACTCTATTTATCACTACCCTTGAACCTCCAAGTACTGTTCATGGAAAAAACACACTGGTTTCTGCATGCCCTTGGTTGGTTAAGGCTAAGGGAAAACTGTTAGAGCTCGAGACGAACCGTGACATGAACAATACGGCTGATGATGTGGAATTCCTTGTTATGGGTCATGCAGGATTTATAACATCAACCGTAGTTACTAATCTTAGAGGCTGAGTGGATACACTTTACACTTTTGGGGATAATATTGCACACCATAAAACTGAAAGTGTACGCTTCTGGGGGCTTATGTACTCAGCTCAGCAACTAAGTATCAATGGTAAGAAGCGATAAGAATAATGATGAGCAGAATAAAAGACAATGAAGACACCAAACGATCAGATATCCGTCCACAGCATCACGGATCGCCCGGAAGGCAGAAAAGTTACAAGTCTTATATACAGCCCACGAGAAAACGATGCTTCTTGACAGGCCTGATTCGTAAATCCTTTTGCTGTTATTAAGGTCTCTGCAGTATGGATGAACAGGTGGAATTCCTTGAGTTACTGTGCCGACGGCCTGGTCATTCACGGCATTTTGTCCCCTACACTCGATCAGGCCCTAAACCCTAAACCCTAAACCCTAATCCTAATCTGGGGGGCCTTAATAGTTGGGGATGCTATACTTTCACTCTCAGAAGGAACCGCGCCCCGCCCCGTCAAAAACAAGTAGTGTTAGGTATTTAGGCCCGCATAGCTCGCATTTCAAGTGTGTTTTCAAGTGCCGTCAACACAGTTTCAGAAGACTTGTAATAGGAGTATTAGGGTTAAGGGTCAAGATTGTACCGGTAGTACTTTCAGTTTTGCTAGTAGTCGTGTTCGTATATATATATATATATATATATACAGAAAGGGCTACCATGGGGCCTGCGTTTGGGACACATCACGTTTCGCGGTTTCGCAGCGATTTGTTTCACATCATCTTGCTATCCTATGCTTGTATAAACAGTTCTGGGTTATTTACTGTATTGTTCGTACTTGTAGACATTTATGTCGCTTATCAATAATGTTGTTGTTTATAAGCAGGGCCTGTGTTTATAAACAGTGTCTGTGTTTATAAGCATGGCTTGTGTTTATAACCAGGACTGGCGTTTACAAACTAAGATGAAAGAGGGGGGGGGGGAGGGGGGGGGGCTGAGGGTTTGGGGCTGACATGTTGAGACCTGCTACCCCCCCCCCCCCCCCCCCCCTCCCCCCTCCCCTCTCTCTACTGCGTCCCGTCCCCACCCCCAACCCCAATCCCACTCACCATGCACATAACACACCAAAAACCAAGCGCGCGCTGGCACCATTTCCACAAACTTTACCACTTTGTCTATCCTCCTTGGAAGAACACGTCGAGTTGCTGTATTTCTCGCACACAACACAACTTCGTTCGCCGATGTTGTGAAAACGCTGGTAATTACAATGTCTTTTTGCGTCTGAAGTGTATGAGTTTATGCTTTGTGAACAAGTTGTATAGCATCACCCTTCCCTGTCTATGAACAAATGGTTTGTTCAGGGCACGTGAGCTGCTTACAGAAGTGCTGTATCTTCTCACGGTTCACAGGGTCTCGGCTGTACACAGACCGTCGCGATGTACACATCAAGGACAGTCGTAAGGATGGAAGGCGGTTTAGGGTTTAGGGACCAGAAAGAACCCTCAAAGCCTTATTTTGACATTCCATCATAGTTTCACTCTTCAATAGAAGCTAAATTCTGGCAATATCCGACATTGCTACTGCCAGCACTACAGCAGTTTTTTGGGGAAATTGCGTTCTTTACTTCGAGATCAGCTTATGTGACTTATGTGACACTGATGTATTGTATGTATGTCATAATGCAAGGCTTCCGAGCCTTTGCTTCCTGGATATGACGATATACACTGTGTGTGCTGTTGTGTTTCGCTGATTTCCGCTATTCGCTTGCCTTGTGCTGTTGATTTCGACGAACGTGGTGATACATCCATATTTTGAAAAATTGTGGATCTCGACAAAAACGCATCTTCGACTGGGAAAACCATGATGCAGAGTGTATGCGAGTTGAGGACCGTGTTAATGTGAAAGTGGTGGGGTGGCAACTGGGAAAACAACTGTTCAAGGGTCATCGCAACCTAAATCACATGAACCGAACAGAAAGCTATGTATTGCTGTGAAACTGGAAGGCCCTAGGCTCCAAATACGTAGCACTGCGTTACCTTTTACAAGCAATTGCAACCACACACTCACATGTATAAATACATATATATATATATATATATACATACGTACGTACATATATGCACATGCATAGGTGCTTCGTATAATGCTAAAACGCCAAAGACGCCCAAAAACATAAAATGCAAAACCCAGGCCCCATGACAGCCCGCTCTCCAGATATATATACTAGTGACAACAGCAACAACAGCAGTAGCGATAGCATCCGTGCAATGCCAAATAATGGCAATGCTAAAGAAACTATCAACACAAGGGTTTTACTAGTTTAAGCCGCATCGTATTCATTCAGAACCATGACCAACATCAGGGTTGCAAACAACGAGTTCCAGGTGTCCGGCTTCGACGCGGCCATGGGCCGCTGGGTGGCCGTGAGCGGTGCAGATGCCCTCGGCTTCCCGACGCTGGGGCTACTTTTTTGGGGTCAGGACGGTCAGGAGTTCTCGGCTAGAGGCGAAACTTTAGGGCTTAGGGCTTTAGGGGTTTCGGGTTTAGGGGTTTAGGGTTTAGGGGTTTGGGGTTTAGGGGTTTAGGGGTTTGGGGTTTAGGGGTTTAGGGGTTTAGGCGTGTAGGGTTTGGGGCTTTGGAAGTGTAGGGTTCCAGCTTCAGGCTAGGGGCATCTAGGGTTTTGGATTGAAGGGCCCAGGGATCCCCGAGCTGGGTTGGATGGACTCCTTTGAGTTGGGTTTCGAAGCCTTTTTGAGCTCAGGGTTTGGGGTTGTCAGGGTCTTCTAAGCCTAGGATACCTATAAGGATACCTATAGACGATCTATAAGGGTTCCTATATAAGTAGTTGTAAGTATAGTTACCGTACTTATACCCCCACTTACTAAGTCCCATGATCCTTGAAGCATGGTTCATTCAAGCCGGTCCACTACAGGCGCAAGCCCGCGGCCGCGGCACTCCTGACGCCCGCTTCATGCGGCGGCACACCCGACAAGGCCTCGCAGTGAGGAGTGAGGAGTCTCCGGTGAATCACGGGCCAGCGGTCGGTGGGAAAATGCCCAAACGGCCGGGAGCCCCTGCTTCTTCCTGAGCCGACGCGAGCGCAACCGCCGGCAGCACGCCACGAACGGCAACATTCCGTCGGCCGGCAACATGCCCAACCTCCACCAGGAGATTAGAGAACGCGTTTGGAGCGCACCAGGCCCCCTCCATGGAGCTCGAGTTGCTCTGGCAAGAGCTCGCGAAGAGCAACAAGAAGGCGTTTGTTCCTTGGAGACCGGTAGACGATCCCTAAACCCTAAACCCTAAACCTAAACCCCTAAACCCTAAACCCCTAAACTACTCGCGCCGCGCCGGTAGCAGATGCGAACGGCAACATTCCGTCGGCGAATCATGAATGCCGCGAGGGTTTAGGGTTTGGGGTTTAGGGTGCGGTGAGATTCCTCGCACATGTCAGGTCTCCCTTGTCGAAGCTTGTAGGATGACTGACCGTGATAATACAGGAACCTGATTAAGAGACTTTGGGACTTTGTTAGGGTTTCTGATATGAATCCTACTGTTTCGGGGGTTATAGGCCCAGGGTTTCTTAATCAGGTTCCTACATTAGAGACATGCATGATGTTGGAATCTCAGAGGGCATGTTAGGAATGTCTCTGGAATGGTTACCGTAAACCTTAAACCCTAAACCTAACCTATTCAGGTTGAGGGTTCTGGGCACGCGGAGGTCAAGAGCACGTAGTGTAGGAACCTCATTTATGAAACCCTGGGCCTATAACCCCAAAATAGCTGGATTCATACAAGGAACACTAATAAAGGCCCAAGGTTTCTTAATCAGGTTCCTACATCATTATAGCACCTTATAGACCCTTTTTGGTAACCCTAAAGCCCTGAACCCTAAAACCCTAAACCCTAAAACCCTGAACCCTAAACCCTAAAACCCTAAACCCTAAACCCTAAACCCTAAAACCCTAAACCCTAAAACCCTAAACCCTCCCTTATAGACCCCTTTAACGGAACCCTACATTAGGGATCAAGGGGCCAGGAGGTCGCCGCTTTGCCCTCGCCCGGATAGAACGAAGGGCTCAACCTCAAAAGATCCCAGGGCGGGGTTCCCTTAAAGGGATCTATAGGGGTTCTATAAGGGTATAGGGTTTAGGGTTTAGGGTTTAGAGTATTTGGAGGGTCGGGGGACTTAGTAAGTAGGTAGTAAGTAGACTTGTAAGTACCCTAGACGGGACCCTAATTGGGGTTATGGTACTTATAAGTCCCTAACATAACCAGTTACTAAGTCCCCCGACCCTCCAAGTACACCCTGAACCCCAGCTCCGCCGAAACCCGAAAGTATGTTAAAAGTATAAGGGTTCCTTTAAGGGTCTCTATAAGGGCTCCTTTAAAAAGCTTTCTAAGGATTCCTTTGAGGGTTACTATAACGGTACAGTACAGTATAGTATAGTACCCACAAACCCCAAAGGGGTCCAGCCTTCTCCCTCCTTCCTTTTTCCGAAATGACCAAATGAAGCGTAGATCCCGAGCCCTCACCTTCAACCCCTGACTCGAAGCTGCGAACCCTGAAACCCCCTCGGAACAAAAAACCCTTTTCAATCAGACACAGACCAAAAGACACAACTCCAAATCCCTAGATCCCTAAACCCATGAACCCCAACCCCTGAACCCCCCTAAACCCTAAACCCTTAACCCTAAACCCATGAACCCCCAACCCTTAAACCCCCCTAAACTCTAAACCCTCAACCCTAAAACCCTAAATCCTAAACCCTAAACCCCCTCAACTCTAAACCCTCAACCCTAAAACCCTAAACCCTAAACCCCTAAACCCAGTCACACCTGAACGTTCACCCGGACCCAGGGCCGGAGATGGCATCCTTGCACGCATGGCGCAGGCACAACCGTCAAAGATGATGGATTGTTATCGCGTTTGGGGTTTTCAGATTTAAGGATTCTTGTAGGGCTTAGGGTTTAGGGTTCAGGGTTATATGTGGGTTTTAGGGTTTGGGTGCTTTCGTGTTTGAAAGTTGCGGGTGCTGCTTCGCATTCCGAAGTCGAAGAATGATTGTTGGAGTTGGTCATCTCTTTATACGGCCAGTATAAAGCTGGCTCTAACGGAGAGCCTATGACAAGATGGTGATAAGCTGTGCAAGGGTTGACGGAGAGCGGTTTCAGGCTCACCACCTCACCACTACCCCCAGTAGGGTAGGCAACCTTTATCCTTTTTGGGTAGTATAGCCCCTATATAATTCCTATACAACCGTTTTTTCCACTTGATGGGGCGCAAGCGGCGCAAGAGGGATCCGACTCCCGAGTCGACCGATGTGGAGGAGCGAGAAGCCCAGGCTGTCCTTATGCAGCAGCGTATGTCGGACTTGCGAGAAATGAAGGCCATGGCAGCGGGGAGAAGGGCGGACCTAGTTGCCCAAGCTGCGTCGATGAGTTCTTCTGTGGATGCAAGCAACCGGGAGGAGAGCGAGAGACAGTGGATGGCAGTCCACGATCCTTTGGAGAAGCTCCAGAGGGACTGGCATGCTGCAGTGGTTCCGAATGTGCCGAAGAGTCCTCCCCAGGTTCCTGCAGACGACGAGTCGTGGGGAAAATGGCGGCCCGGGACGGCTGCGACGGAGGCAAGAAGAAGAAGAAGGTGAAGAAAAACTAACCTTTAGTTCCCCATGATACCCAACAAGTAGGTACCGATCCTGCTACATCAACGCACGCCAACAGCCACAACCCCGCGACTGAGGCCAGTCGTAATAGTAGAGTAAGTGTAGCCCGTATAATTTTCATCTGTGGCAGCCTAATCCCTTCAGGTTTACATCGCAACGGGCTGAGTTTCCAAGCCCGGTATCCTGACAAGTAAGCAGCAAAGTACCTGCTTGAACACACGGAGACGGGAGGATAGAGTTCCGGCTCTCTACATCTTATCTACCTGTTCCCACTTGTAGTACCAGTTTGGACAACCTACTTCTAGGACCTAGAGTAGGCCCTTATCCCCTTTTTTAGGGTTCAGGTTCCCTTATAAGTCCCTTTAAACCAAAAAGGGCACCCTTTTTATTCCTAGGTTACTCTTGGGTCTAGACTTATTTAGTTGCTGCATTCCTGAACAAAGAAGGTAGGCGTGGCAGCCCAGAGGCCGAACTATAGTAATGTGTCTACCCCTAGGCTCCATAGTAGTTCCTTTTTGGGGTTCATAGAAGAGAATCCTATAAGGTAATCCCACAAAGGAACCACCATGGAGCCTCTGGGTAGCTATTTCAGGCGACTGTCCGCCACAAGTTTTGGTAAACAGCAGCTCCAATGCTTCACACAAGGATTAAGTATGCTGAATGGGTTTGAAATTCCCCATCGACCGTCAAGCAGGGAGGTCTTCGTCATGGCGTTTTCGATACCCCGGTTCTTGCAAATACACCTATGGCAGAGACTCGCCGGCAAAGCCTTTTTTCAAGGCAGCAGAGGTCAAGTCCACTTGAGCCACGGTTTAGGGTTTAGGGTTTAGGGTCCTTCCGAGCCTTAACAAGGCCTCGACGCGGCTTCGTCTGCAGCTGCGGGGCTCATCCAGGCCTTGCAATTGGTTGGTTAGGTTTGGTACAGCGTCCACCCATAAGGCCCTAAACCCTAAACCCCAATCCCCTAAAACCCTAAACCCCCAAAAACGTTAAGCCCGTTTGTGCGATTTCTTTGCGATGTACCTAGTTATTATCCGCGGGAGGGCGGAGGGGGACTTTGAGGTCGACCTCGCAGGACTCATACGATAACCTCGTTGGAGCGGGTTTAGGGGTTGCAGGGTTTTAAGGTTTTGGGTTTTAGGGTTTAGGATAGAAGTGGTAGTAGTAGTAGTAGTAGTAGTAGTAGTAGTAGTAGTAGTAGTAGTAGTAGTAGTGGTAGTAGTAGTAGTAGTAGTAGTAGTAGTAGTAGTAGTAGTTGTAGTTGTAGTTGTAGTGTTAGTAGTGGTAGTAGTAGTAGTAGTAGTAGTAGTAGTAGTAGTAGTAGTAGTAGTAGTAGTAGTAGTAGTAGTAGTAGTAGTAGTAGTAGTAGTAGTAGTAGTAGTAGTAGTATTAGTAGGTTTCCGAAAATTAGGGGTACCGTAGTATTTGGGTGTCCTTATAATAACGATCCTGCCATTTACGGTGTTATATTAGGGTCCCCTATTTTCGGAAACCCCCATATCCATTCCACAGCTTTCACAAGAGTTGGCTGAGGTGTGGAAGGAGAGTTTTGTCCGTGCTGAGACTCCTAAGTTTTCTCGTTTGACCTAGTAGGATGTAGGTAACCTTTTAACCGTTTTTGGGTAGTATAGTCCCCATATAATCTCTATAAAACCAAAAGGTTAACCTTTAGTTCCCCATGATACCCGACAAGTAGGCTGAGGAACTCATCATGTTGGTGCGCAGTTGAGGGCTGCTGGGGTGCCTCTTGATGAAGATCTTGGGCTAGACTGGACTTGCAAGCTTGGCGCACCGGCAGCAAAAGTGACTGGATCAAGCACATGAAGCCGACAAGCAGAAAACGTTTGAAGCAGAGCCACATTAAAGTGTAGTGAAGAACAGTGGCCCAACATACAGATATTTGATATTTGGGGTTCTTAGTTACAACCTGACATTACCAAGGCATCTAGCCGTGAATGCCGGGATCCAACCCCAAAGCGGGTATTGGATTTGGAGGACCTGAATGACTTAGTAGCTGAGTTGGTAACCTCTAACCTTTCATGGGGTTGATATAATCCTGCCATAATTGAAAAGGTTAACCTGTTTTGGCCTAGGGTACTCAGCCCCTAAGCCGCCCTAAACCCTAAACCCCCTAAACTCCTAAACCCTACCCTAAACGCCAAAACCCCTTAACCTATACCCTACACCCCTAAACCCCCTAAACCTGTGCCCAGGGTACTCAGCCCCAAAGACGAGGACCTCAACCCTTCAATCAAGCGGCCTTGTCCTTTTTCATGGTTCCCCCAAAAGAATAAACAGACCGGCTAGTAGACCTCAAATAATTCCTACCAAGGGATATAGGTATAGGGCTCTGTCTATACCCTAAACCCTACACCCTAAAATCGTATAGGGCTCTGTCTATTATTTCTAAAAGGACAAGGGTGCTATCAAGCCCAGCCTGCAGGGAGCCGGAAAGGCTGCTGGTGGAGCTGGAGGCTCGCATTGTCAATGCAAGGCTCTATTAATCGGGTTCTTGTTCAGGACTGCAATTTACCAGAATAGTCATCAATAGTATATACTAAGGTTTCCTTATTACGGTAGGCTGTTTATGTTGAGAGTTTTCGGGGGTGCGGAATCCAATAAATCACAGAGCCTGGATAGTTACCAAGGCTACTCATTAGGATTCCTGCTCCAAGGGGTCCCAGTAAAAATGACAGTGTAACCTACAGCCAAACTCCGCTCTACATATTAAGGACCTATGTTAAACACTTGTATTCCCTGGTGGTAACCCGTGTAGTAAGCCGCATAGATTCCTTTTTTGTGAACCCGTTAAGGAATCCTGCTCTTATGATTTTTGCCATATTATGAGACTGGCTGAACACAGCCCAAGAGCCTCGGGTTCTAGGTTCGGGATCCAGAGTCTTGGGGTAAAGGGCTTTTGGGTGTAGGGTTTGGAGTGTTTTAGGACTGTTTTTGTTGAGTTAGGGTTTGGGGTAGATAGGGGCTGAGTTGATTTTGGAGTTTAGAGCCCTCCCTGAAGCCCTAAGCCCCGCAAACCAGCGTGCAACGACCCCGTAATCCAGGCAAGTCTGACGGTTTGGGGTTTAGAGTACTCGTTTAGTCCTCAACACAGGATATTGATTCAACAAGTTGACCCGAAGCCTGAAAGTGAAAAGAACTGAGTAGAAGAAGAAGATGCAATCGACGACAAGTACGATTGTGGGCGACCGTTGGGGTTTATGATGTGAGGCCGCAGGGTTTAGGCATGCGAAGATATTGACGCTGTAAGCTTGTCCCGTGCGCAGTGCTCTGAACAACAGAGCAAAGCTTGTTGATCCAGGTTAGTGCACCGTATGACATGGCGTTCGAAAATGTTGGGCTAGTATAGTGGCCTAAATAATTACCTATACTATTTTGGGGGGTCCCGTTTATAGTTGTAGTATATTGGGCCCATATGGGCCAAACACCCTATTATAATAATTGAGGCTAAAATCTGCCAAACTGTATTATGGCACGCGTTGGCCCCTGGGCTGTCAGCCCGACGGTGCTGCGGAGTGACTCTAAACCCTAATCCCTAAACCCTAAACCTAATCCCTAAACCCTAAAACCCCTAAACCTAATCATTCCCCAAATTTCAGTACCGCACCCTTATAAAAAGGATCCTAAAAGGAGCCCTATATAATTTAGAGAATCACCCACATGCAGGTTCTTTCCCTTATAGCACCCCTTAAAAGAAGCCATAAGAAACCTTTTTAAGGAAGCCCCTATAAACCCTCAGCTCTAAACCGCTAAACCCTAAACCCGCAACCCTCAACCATGCAGGTGCTGGCCGCTTCCTGCGCACCTTCTTCATCCGAGTTCACCGTCGCCGTCTCCTCGGACGGATCGTCATGTAGGGTGTGCCTAAGGGTTCCTTTAAAGGGTTACTACAACGGAACTATGAGGGTTCCTTTAAAGGGCTCTTTAAAGGGTCTAGAGTTTCCGAAACTTATGGGGTACCTTATGTTGGGCTCCTTATAATAAGGGTCCTACTATTCAGGGTACTGTATTCGGGTCCCCTATTTCTATGTCAGTATCGTCACCGATGATCCCCGGGGTTTGTTGCCTGCATGTTTCATTTTGAGCAGCCTATAGTTGATGCAGGAACCTGATTAAGAAACCCTGGGCCTACAACCCCAAAATAGTAGGATTCATATAAGGAACCCTAATAAAGGCTCAAGATTTCTTAATCAGGTTCCTACATTATACCATGGCTTGGAACTCCCATCAAGGTTGCTTGTAACTCATTATAAGCCCATATCACCTATGAACCTTCAAGTGCACGTTGCTGTGGGATGAGGCTGTCTCCATACCTCGGCTGACCTGGTCTGCAGCTCCCTCAGACTTGTTCGTGTCCGTCCCTGTTGAGGGCGGACTTCTACGGGAGTTTCCGAGAATCAGGGTACCCTGGTTTTGGGCTCCTTATAATAAGGATCCTACTATTAGGGTACTATATTCGGGTCCCTATTTTCGGAAACCCCCGTATCTGGGCTACAACATTTGTATTGGAGTTCGGTGAGGTACTGATTTCTGCACGACTGCGAAGCATGCGTGAATTGCGATACTCTCCGGCAGTATCATCATTCTTGAGCCTAGCTGCGGCACGGCAACTAACGGAGCCTGCACCCCCCAAAACCCTAAACCGCTCTGCTTTGAAGCGCTTTAGGATTCTTCAAGAGGCGCCCGTGTGTACCGCCAGGGCCGAACAGGTGGTTGATTTTCGCGTGCCGCGTAGGCAAGAGACTAGCTTTCAAGCGGAATCTCCCCAGATACATATGTATGTATGTATGTATGTATGTACGTATGTGTACGTGTGTACGTATGTATGCATGTATACATATATATATACATACATATACATATACATATACATATACATATTCATATTCATATTCATATACATATACATATACATATACATATATATATATATATATATACATGTATGTATACATATATATATATATATATGTATACATGTATATGCATCTATGTGTATGAACTCCTACGCCCTAAACCCTGATTCCTTAAACTCTTAAGCCCTGTATCCGTGCTAAACTCCAAAAAACGCTGAACAGATCCTTGCAAGCGGGTGTTTTTCGCCGAGGTATTAAATTCCGGCTTTGCGCTACCACCCAGCCCAGGGGGACCGCTGGAGGCGGGCTGAGGAATTTTTTGGGTTTCGAATTTTGGGTTTGGGGCTTGGGGGTTTAGGGCGTCGCCTGCCCGGGCTACCATGAACATGACGCATGTTGTGTGCTCAATTTGTGCATGTGATTTTGCTGCCGGGAATGCCGCATCGAAATTGCGGTGTGGGCACATCTTCCACCTTGATTGCCTGTCAGAGTTGGCAGCGCGGGATGGTAGTGAACCGGACGAGGATGGCAATATTTCCATGCGGTGCCCAGTATGCCGTGCCGTGGGACCAGCCGTCGATTCGTGGGATGATGTCACACCAGGCATACATGATTTGAGTATGCATTTCTGCGCGACCGGCACCAGATCCCTTGCCGCCGCCGGCACTTCCAGAGTGGGCAGTAGCAGCACACGCAGGGCGTGACTGCGACGGAGCTGATGATGCTAAGTGATCAGCTGCATGGTAGGGCTCTGCGGTCCATATCAAGTTTTTGCAAGAGAAGGGAGTCGGCTGGCAACGTTAAATGCTGTATACACCTCATTTGGTTTGCCCTGATTGTTATTCGTGTTATCATTGTTATTGTCACGGTTTGATATCACTGCTACTATTTCGGCTAATTATGCTACTTTCGTGCGGTTATTAGGTTGGTTTCGCCATGTTTATTCTTGGTACGTCTATTATGAATAATTTTCATCAGTATTATCATTATTGTTTTTGTACTACTTTTATTATGACTTTCGTGATGATAACAGGTTCACATATATACAGTTTAAGTGCCTATGATCCTGTAACCTATCAGACCGGTGTCTAGGATAGTTACAAGTAGACTAGGGTTTAGGGTTTAGGGGGTTTAGGGTTTATGCAAGTATGTAACGCTGCTGAGACCAGAACCCACGGGAACATGTGGGAGTTTCCGAAACTAGGGGACCTTAACATGGCAGCCTAAATCGTAGGAAATTAAGGTATCCCTAGTTTTCGGAAACTCCCATGTCCTATGTAGGTACTCGTCATAGTCATAGTACTAGTGATCGTAAGGACCATCACGCTTGACTCTGGTCCGCTCAGTGTTGACTGGTGCGCGCCCGGTCAGCGGCCAGGGCAAAGCTGAAAGTTGTGCAGCGTTCGCTTGCGTATACCCTATCTGGAATTTGCAGTGCTCATCCTAGAAACCTTCAACCCTAAACACCCAATTCCAACAAACTAAAAAGCACAGGCCCCCAAATCTCTGGTAAACCCGGTAATTTCACCGAAATCCCTATACCTCCCAACCCTAAACCCCAAACTCCTAAACCCCCTAAAGGCCAAACCCTCAATCCGGTAAAACCCTGAACCCTGAACCCCGAAGAAGCCCCAAAAGCCAGGAGCCCTTTGGAGACTTCTCCTTCTTCGGAGTACACTTGGGAGTATGGCAGGGAGCGGGCCAAGGCCGACCTGTAAATTCTGTTATATGTTAGGGTTCAGGGTTATTTAGGGTTTAGGGGTTTAGGGTTATGTTAAGTAATATAATGTACACAGTACATGTTACAATCCGAAAATACAAGTTGTTAGCCTTAAAAGTTAATACAGATCGTAGAGTGTTTGGGGTTGCAGTGTTTCTTCTTTGAAGCGAGCAGGGGGGGTGGTGGGTCATGCCGTATTTTTCGATGTTGATTAATTGTGTTTTATAATTGTGTCTTGAAGGGCATTACAGCTTGGCTTAATGGGGTTTATGTGAGGACTCTATGCCTCATTGAGGATTTGCATGAGGGTTCTGCAAGGATATCCATTTGCAAGGTCTAGTATAGGTGTCGGGAGAAATCGCGAATTTATTCCCTTATGGTCCCAGTATTGGCTGTCACATAACATGCCTCCAAGACCCCTCCCAACATTCAGCCGATTCCGAACTAACACCGCCGGTACCAGGCGGAACCAGACCGTGTTTTTTATTGAACTGATGAAGAACCAGTTCATGGTATTGAGATTCACACCAGGGCGTGCAACCTGACCTTCTAATAGTAGCGCATGAAGCCTTCAAATAAGCAAGACGGTGGCCATATACTGAAACGTATATATATATATATATATATATATATATATATATACATATATATATATGTATATATATATGTATATATATATATATATGTGTGTGTGTGTGTGCGCAAATACCAAACTAATCGAGTACATATACATATACATATATATATATATATATATATACATAATTCGTTGTATATATATATATATGTATATCGGTAGGATATGGTATTTAGATAGAGAGAGGGAAAGAAAGATAGATATAGACAAAAGTGCATGTAAGCTTCACGCCTCTCCGAGAAAGGTCTGGCAGTGGGTGCACGTGCCGAAAGTGTCGGCGTGGACTTTTACAACATGTCGGGAACTTGGGTTCAGGGCTGAGAGCCTAGGGTTTATAGGGCTTGGGGTTTAGGGTTTAGGACATGTCGGGAACTTGGGTTTAGGGTTGAGAGCCTGGGGGTTATTATGGGGCTTGGGGTTTTAGGGTTTAGGACATGCCGGGAACTTGTGCAGTTGGCTTCAGCCATTGTGTATCCCAGGGCTCCCTACAAAAAGGATAGTATAATATACCCCACCCCCAAACCCGGATTAAGAAATCATTGAGTGGCCCTGTATGGCACATGAAACGGAGCAGAGTCATGAGTCAGGGCTTTACGATAACCCTAAACTTGAACCCCTTGAACCTTAAACGCCAAACCCCTAAACCCTGGACCCTCAACCATAAACTCTAAAGAGCTACAGTAGAAGCCAGAAAGTTGGAAGATCATTATCGTAACCCCTTTAAGGTAACTTATAGGGGGTCCTACCATTAATCCATATTCCAACTTTCTGGCTTTTACCTTAGGAGATTTGAAGAAGCCCAGCTCGGAGAGCAGAAGCTGGGGGGTGCTTGGAGGCCCTTTTGACTTAGTAAGTAGGGTTAGTAAGGTGGGTTATGGGGATTATAATAGGGTTTCTGGGGGATACTAAGTAGACATACTAAGTCAAAAGGGCCTCCAAGTGGGGGAAGCGTTTCGGTTTTAGGGTTTATGTAAGAGTTTTTGGGGCTAGGCTTTGGGCTTGCATAGGGGTTTGGGGTTTCGGGATTAGGATATATGTAAGGGCTTTGGGGTTTTAGGGTGTGCATGGGGTTTCGGGTGTATGCAGGGTGGATTTAGGGGCTTATGGTTTCGGGTTTAGGGTAATGGCTTGCTGATGCTTAAGGCATTAGTTTTGGAGTATATCAGTGAATGGTTTCTGGCTTTGGGAAGAAGGTTTGTTCAGGGTTCATCGGAAAACGCGATTCTCAAAAAAAACATCAGAGTACAGAGAGATGGTTTAGGGTTGAGGACATGGTGTTCAAGATGCACTTCGTTCACATCGTTTTGGTGATTCGGAATCTTGTGACGGTTCTCTCAGCAAGGTTTGGATCACTCCCTCCAGCCTGGAAACCTGCAGCCCTAACTCCAAAACCCGACAAATTCCCTCCATCCGAAATCCGAGCTCTACAGTACCTAGAGGGTCATACCCTACCCCTTTTTTAGGATACCTAGTTTTATGGTTAGGATCTTATGGAAAATTAGGTACCCTAAAAAAGGGGAGGGTATGAGCCTCTAGGTAGAATCGAAACGACAAGATCGACTCTCATGGGCTGTCAGGTGTAGGGTGTCTCACATGAAGTAGGGTTTTAATTACCTGTTTTGGTGAGTGTAGATAGGGCTCCCTTTCAATATTGCTGAGTGTATATATTGGGTTTTATTATGGGGGTACTAGTAATATAAACCATACACCAGATGACACTGTATGACAAATCATGGGCGGGACCCTTCGCAGGGTGACCCGGTGCCTTAAAGCCTAAATTGGGAGCCCCACAATATTAAGATTCAAGATAATGCCTACAGCCCCAAATCCCTAAAGTCTAGGTGTGAACCCTCAACCTGAAACCTCTGGTCAACCACCAAAATCCCTGTAACCCTGAAACCTAAATGCCAAGAATCCTAAGCCTCCAGCCCAAATCCTAAACCTTGAACCTAAAACCCTAAGCCCTGCCGAGGTCCACGCTTTCCCTGGTTCCCCTCGTTGTACCTGAGGCCCGGTTTTGATGGTCTAGGGTGTAGGGTCCAGGATTTAGGTAGGGTGTAGGGAAACCATAAACCTTAAGACTAAAATGGTAGCCTTTAACATTCTCATGTGCTGGGTTACCATTCTCTTCACACATTCACACTTTTCAAATTTATCTTTACCGACAGACAGAAAGAACGATTCCGGCAAAGTTTGACCGCTAGAAAAATTTCTTGGGTGTTGTAGCTATCTAGCTTCCAAAGTGGTACCCTGTTGCTTTTTTCCGAGGTCTCTAATTAAAACCGAATACTAGAAACAAGTGTATCATTGCTTTTCAGGGGCTACTGGGGAACCAGGCCATTCTAATCGCCATATACTCCCGAAGGGTAACCTTTTGTTTCCCTGGACAACTAAGAAGCCCTGAGCAGTCATGAAGTATTATAGGGGCCTGAACAATTACCAATACTATTTTGGGGGTTCCTTATGATAACTATGGTATAATGGGCCCAAAAGCCCTGTTCGAATTATTAAGGCCCGTACACTAAGCCCTTATGCCATTTATGGTAAGCTTACCACCTTTATAGACCCCGTGAGAGGAACCCTATTCCAATTACTCAGGCCCCTACAGTAGGCACTGGTGGATGTTCGTGCTTCCTGACGCCCGATGCCAGCCGGGAATCACTCACAGGCCTTGACGATTGAGTAGCGCAGTATGCAAGTCTTAGGCGCTCTGCCGGTGATATGTACTTGTTTCTTTACATTATATATATATATATATATATGTATACATACATACATATACATACATATATGCAGTTGGCAAAATTATGGTCCCTTTTTGGGTGCTCTAAATATTAGGTGCCGTATTCGATCAGGGATCCGAAAAGGGACTCTAATTTTGACAACCACCGATATATAGGTATATTATATATATATATATATACATATATATATATAGGTATATATATATATGTAGATGTAGATGTAGATGTAGATGTAGATGTATGCGTATACGTATACGTATATTTATATGTATATGTATATGTATATGTATATGTATATGTATATCTTGTGCCTGTAAAATCTGAGTGGGGGTTGGGGGTCCGCTCTCTGGAGGACAACCACATGCACGTGTGCGTGCGCATGGCGGACGACCCCAGGCCGTATACGGGGGCCTTAACAATTAATTAGAATAGGGCTTTGGGGTATGGTCTACTTTAATTACATGTTGAACCGCAAAATGGTGTTGGTAATCATTTAGGCACCTTTCTTGCGCATGAAGGGTCGCTTAAATGTTTAAGGGACTTGGAGCAGCGAAGCCGCTGTGCTCCGATACTTCCGATGACCTAATCTTGCCTGCGAAGTTGGGATGGAAGGAGCACTACTTCAAGGATCATGGGACTTAGTCAGTGGGGTTATAAATAAGGGAACTATACCTATAAGTTCTTATAACCCCAATCAAGGCGCTTATAACCCTACTTACCAAGTCCCATGATCCTCCAAGTAGTGGTACCGGAGCTACTCAGGGAACCTTTAGGGACCAATATAGGGGCCTGAATAAGTAGAATAGGGTTTTGGGGGTCCACATTACAATAAGGAGCCCCCAAAATAGTGTAGGTATGTAGTAGGGCCCCTATATTACGGGTTTTAGGGGCGTTAGGTGTTTAGGGGGATTGAGTTTTTGGGGCTAGGTCTGTAGGAGTCAGCAGGGAGTCACGGTGCAGGGTACTTCAGGAGAGAATGGGCCAAGTTCTCCGTGAACACCAACCTTAAACCATCCCGGCCTAAGTTTCATTTTATGGTGTCTAGTATGTCTAGTAGGCGTTTATGCAAGATTTGATCACGAAGGTTGCGGGGGTTAGGATATTAAGACGGTTGAAAACACAAGCTGAACAACTAGCGATAGTATTCCCTACAGGGTTGCCTGATATGATTATGATGAAGCATACGCCAAAGCCAAAGCCCGATTCGTTACGACCCCTTCATAAGGAACGCTCTCAAAGAACCGTTGAAAGGACTAGGAAGCCCAGTAGTACTCTTATTCCAGTTTTGTAGTCCTAGGTTCATTATAAAGGTACCCAGCACCAAAAAGGGAGCCCTTTTTATTTCTAGGTTACTGGGCTTCCTAGAGGAAGCTTATTGACTTAGGACAGATCAGGGCCTTTGCTGGAACATAGGGTTTAGGGGTTTAAGGGTTTAGGGGTTTAAGGCTTCGACTGACGACGGCAAGGGTCTTGCAAAGCGTTTCATTCAGGCCGCTAACCTTCATTGGAATCGCACTTTTCTCCGACATATAGGTGATTATCTAGGTACACACACACACACGCACGCATACAAACGTAAACAAAACCCTCAGAAACCGTAGACGCCGGAAAAGCTGTCGAGGCGAACCCTTGAAGGAACCCTCGCAGAAGCCCTCGAACCCCCCTCAAAGTATCACTGTGACCCTTATGCCTTAACCCCAAATAACTTCCCTTTTTAGGGGCTTATATTCGGTTTAGGGTTTAGGGTGACTTATATAAAGAAATCATATTAGGGGGCCCTAAAAAAGGCAGGTTCCTTAGGGTCCTGGCATGCCTTTGGAGCACCCTTCCGCGCTAGAGGCCCCGTGCCGTCGCGTTGCGCACCAGCCTCGAGCGTTGTGGCAAGATGTCCGTTGCCAGGGCCCAAGTTCGGAGATTACTTGGATCCTAAGAAACCTAGAAATAGAATAGATTTTGCGAGCTAATTATTATGATATCCTTATTTAAGTTTTTAAGAAGGTGCGTTTTCTAGTTTCCACATCGGTTTTAGGGCTGTAGCCGAGACCCGGAAAAGCCTGAATAATCGGGGGGCCAACATCGGGAATGTATGTGTATATGCATTTTTACAGTTACACATGTATACATCTATATATATATATATATACACACATGGTTTATAGTTTTAGCTGTACTTATGTATGCATGTATTCACATTTGTTTATATTCGCGTATCTTTACTTATATTTATATAATCAGTGTTTTATCCCTGGGGTTATTGGGCTTATAGGACTTCATAGGAAAATGAAGGGGAGGTTGACCCCAGGATCGATACGAGCACAAAACCCGCAGCTCGTAACCCTTTGGCCAGCTTCCCCTTAAGGTACATTCCTTATGTCAAACCTTTCATATATCATTGCAAAACCATTAAGCACATTGCTTATACTTATACATATTTATGTGTATATATATATATATAAACTTTAAAATATCATTGCAAAGCCATCAAGCACATTTCTTACATATTTTTTATATCAAACCTTTAAAATGTCATTGCACAAGCCAGTAAGGATTGAAATGTTTATCCGGACTCTAGGGGCTTTGAGGTTCCTGAGATCGGGCTCTCGAGGCCTGCGCAGACATGACTCTCATCCAGGTACTTAAAGGATCATGGGACTTAGTAACTGGGGTGTTAACTGGGGTAACTATACTTATATCTACTTATAACCCCAGTTCAGGTACTTATAACCTTACTTACTAAGTCCGACGATCCTCCAAGTAAGCAGGTGCCGAATCGGCTCCGCCTCAGGTGTGCAGAGTTTCGGGATTTATGAGGATTCATGACCGTACACCCCAAAGCGCCCTGGGCACAGGTTCTTCGCGCGCTGCAGGCTTCAGACAAGGAGTGATTTCAGCCGAAGCTTGACCCCCAACCCACGCACGCGCGTGAGCAACTTGATAAACAACTGACGGACCAACAAACCAGCAGCTTCGCGCACTGAGAACCTAGAATGCATCGTGCTCCACCTCGCAAGAACAAGAGTAAGCTACAGCGGAAAGCTTGAACCTGAAACGGTTTCTGACTCTCCCAGAGGCTTTAGGACTGTAGAAAGTCAGATCAACCAGCTGCCATGGTGAATGCGGAGGAGGCTGAGGAGCAGGCGGGGGCCAATAGTGTACCTACATCCGCTTGGAGCCCGCGTTACCTTGTAGTCTTCTTACAAGCTAACCGTTGATGTTAGGGGAGCTATACGGAGCCAGGGATGATGATAATCCCAACCGAATAAGGAGCTAAGAAGCCAAGGGAACCCCCCAAAACCACTGGATAGTAAGAGTTCAAGGGTTCTATAATAAAGCGTTTTAACGGCTGCACATTATAGGTTTCTATAAGTACAAGTTTCACAGGTCTACAACGTAGATTCCTGAGTCATGCGTACTCTGAGGCTCACCCAGGGAATCTAGGGTTTACGGAACATATAACCCACTATAAAGGGAGCTGGACTTCTAGATTAATTGGTGCTTTGGGTGTCCTTTCAGGGTTCTGAATTTCCGGTTTGGTCTCTAGAACTACCTTGACCCCAAATAACCTACCCTTTTAAGGACTTATATAGAAGGAAACCATAACAGGGAACCCTACTTAAAGGATCATGGGACTTAGTAACTGGGTTTATAGTTAGGGTAACTATACTTATAACATATAACATATAACCCCAGTCAAGTTGAAGGTACTTATAACCTTACTTACTAAGTCCCATGATCCTCCAAGTAAGAAGGTAGGTTCTTTAGGGTCCAGGTAAGGCCTAAGGCTGAAGGTCTTGGGTTTAGGTTTTTGCTTTCCTTAGTAGCTGAGTTGGGAACTTTCAACCTCTTAGGGTTGATATAATCCCACCATAGTTGAAAAAGTTACCCTTTTTTGGGCTAGGGTACTCAGCCCCTAAGCCCTAAACCCTAAACCCCCTAAACCCCTCAACCTATACCCTAAACAACCCCTAAACCCACTAAACCTGTGCCCAGGGTACTCAGCCCCTAAGCTTTTGACGTAAGGGTTTCTGGCATAGGATGCAGCACCTAGGCTGTGTTTCGTAGGTCTGGAGGCTGAAGGCGAGCCGCTATCTACTCAACACCTCCGGGGAGTTTCAGGGTTCAGGGGTTAGGGGTCAGGGTTTAGGGTTTAGGGGTTCCGGGTTTAGGGGTTTAGGGTTTAGGGGTGAAGACTGAGTCTCGGGTTCAGAGGAGATTGGTTCGTCAGATTCAGTGATGTTGACCTCTTATTAATAACCTCCCCCCTTGATTGATTTGGCGCCCGGGGTAGGGGGGATTGGCTATTGAGGGGGGGGTCAAGCAGTGCCAGTAGCTGCAGTTTCTCTCTCTTTCTCTCTCTCTCACAAGACAGAACAACAAGTACCTAATTCGGGCATTTGGGCCGGGGGGTTTTGTAATTGAGGGGGGGTTTATAATTGAGTTCTGGTGGTGGGGTTTTGTAATTGAGGGGGGTTTATAACTATGAGGTTAACATTATACGGGCCTCAAGAATTCGACTAGGGTTTTGATGGTATTACCAAGCCTATACGAGAAATCGAAATGACTCAAAACTCTGACGGCTTGGTGAGACCCCGAGACTAGACTCCCGTGCAAGGGTGCATGGTGGTTGAGGGTCGTGGGATTCTTCCCAGTAGTAGAGCAGATAACCTTAAACTTTCTGGGGGTACTATAATCCCTACATAATCCTAGATAACCTTAAACCTTCTTGGGTACTATAATCCCTATATATTCCCAAAGCTTAGCCTTAAGTTCCCCTAGGAGCTTTGAATCTCGGGTCAATGGTATAAGGTTTAAGGTCCCCAATATAGTACCCTCTAAATGGTAGGATGTTTTTTTACAAGGACCTTAAAATGGGGTAGGATTGGTCATTGAACAGTGAAATGAAAAGGTTTCATGGTGGCCAGTGTAGGTAGGGATTTTAGGAGTCATGATCTGTTCAGAGTTTTGGGGTCTAGTGTTTAGGGGCTAGACTGCTCGAGGGGTCCTTGCAGTAGGAATGCTTGTGACAAGCTACCTGTTCCTTTCTGGTCGCTTCCTCGTGGACCCTGGCCATGTATTGCCAATATCCCTCAATTAAGGAATACACTTTAAACCGTCGTATTAAACCCTTCGTATCCTTGTTATACCACCATAATCTTAGGCAAATCAAGGGGCATTTGGAAGGTCCGGGTATGATAAGCGCCTCACCATTATTTCCTTGCTTGCCTTACCAGGCCCTTAAGCGATCCAATCAAACCTCTAAACCCTCAAACGGAAAGCTAAAGAGTTTAGGGTTTAGGGTTTTGCCCAAGCGCCGAAACAAGCACAGCTTAACAACACTAGAAACGAAGCAGGCCCGGAAAGATATGAACTGAAGAAAGTACAAACCCATTGAAGCAAATAAACCGGCGTATGAATCTCGAATCCCAAACAAAATGACTCAAGACGACCCTACTTTACATACCAACAGTTTAAGAAGACCTCAACCCGCCTAAACCCTAAAGGGCCTACATAAAACAACAAAGATTGAAGAAACCGTAAACCCTCAACCCAAAACCCCAGCCCCAAACCCAAGCCCCATAAACCCACCCTGCTTAAGAATCTAACGGAGACCCAACAAGAGAAAATGCCCCTAAACCCTAAAGCCCCAATGCCCTAAAGCCCTCAGCCCTAAAACCCTCATTAAGGCACCTATACTAAACCCTTAATGTTGCCTTTTCAGTACGGTAGCCCTTTTCGACCCCTTTTAAAGGAACCCCTGTTCTAATAGAATAGGTAATTATGAAGGCCCCTATCTTATAGAACACGACTATAGATCCCTCATAGAGCCCTTTAAGGAACCCTTTAAATAGAACTCTAAGCCCTAAAGCCTAAAACCCCAAACCCCAAGCCCTAAAGCCCCTAGACCCTTGTAATGAATGTCTTGGGAAAGATCTTGGAAGACCTTAGACCCAGAGCAGTGTTCATGTCTGGCGGGTCAGAGGCTGACAGAAAGAAAGCTTTTGAGCAGTTGATCGAGTGTCAGCTTGAGGAAATGGTGGAGAATTCCAATTTTGCCCTTGCTGATGCTCAGGCCGCAGTCCTCCTCACATCAGGACATGCCGTTCCGTGTGTTCGAAAGAGCACTTGCAGTCGTTGTTTCAGAATGGCTGACGAAACAGATTGCAGGGGAGGATGTGCCCGGACCTGACGAAGGTATCAGAGCACAAGCTTTGGAGAAGGTTCTTAACAGGCATGCAGGAGGGACGCACTTTGTGACAAGAGAGACGCCTAGCGACGGAAACTGCCTCCTTGCTGCTCTGTTCATGGCCAACAAAATCACCTCAACTCTGAATGCCCTGAAGAGGTACTGTATGTCAAGCGGTCTGGCGGGTAGGTCCCTTGTAGAGGAGCCCCTATTCTAAACCCCTAAACCCTAACCCCGAAACCCTAGAACCCCCAAACCCTAAACCCCAAACCCCTAAACCCCTAAACCCTCAAACCCTAAAGTCATCAAAGAGCTGAGACCTTCAAATCCTAAACCCCAAACCCCTAAACCCCCAAACCCTATAAACCCTAGAGCCATCAAAGAGCTAGGGCCCAGCCCCTTGAACCACCTGAACCTCCCTAAACCCTAAACCCTAAACCCTTACCACTAAACCCTAAACCCCTAAAACCCTAAACCTTAAAGCTCGAAAAGAGCTAAGACCCGCGAAAGACCTAAACCCTAAACCCTAAACAGACCCCCAAAAGAGACAAAGAGTCCTTCGAGGCTCCGGCCAGCAGCGACTCGGTGAGCTCCCGCCCAGCGCCCCGGGAGCTGTTTTGCTTTAGGGCTTTAGGGTTTAGGGTTCCCTTAAAAGGGTGCTGGAGGGGTTCCTTCTTTTAGGGGTCAAGGGCTGAGGGGTGTAGGGGTGTAGGGGTGCAGGGTTATAAGACTCTTTTTGTTGGTGGATCGGGGGGTTTGGATTTAGGGTTGGGGGGGAGGTGGTGGTGCTTTTGGTTCTGGGGTTTGGTGCTAGGCTTTGTAGTTTTCGGTTTTGTTGGTGGGTCGGGGGCAATTGTTCAGACGCGGTTGTGGAACAGGTAGGGCTAGGTTCTGCGCAGTCTGTACACATGCTCACATATGCATGCTCTCGTTTGTCAAGCATGTCGAACAGCTTTCAGTGCTAAAGAACCTTGATGGGCGCTGTTGTCTACCGGGGTCGTGTATGCTGACCTGTTCGCCACGGAACTCTTTTGCCACCTAACTTAGGTGACCTAAGTCCTAAACCCTATCCAGACCTCAAGCCCAAAGTCCAAAACCTTCGTGGGGATTTGGGGTTTGGGTTCGTTAGATGAGAGTTTAGGGTGTACTGCAAGGCCGCAGGATTTGTTCTGATTACAGGGCCTCGATTTCGAGCACTTTTGTGGGATCTGTATCTGGGGGCAGAGAGACCTACATTGGCAAACGCTGCAGATGCTATTTAAAGTTAAGTATCAGAGATGGTTGCCTAAACCACACTTTACTAATTAACAAGGGGCAATTGACATCTACTAACCAATACATTACTGCACTCGCCTCAGAAGCAGAGGTTCGCACGCGACGCGAAGGGATGCTGCTGGCGCAGCTTCATTCCGGGTTCGCACGCAGCTGCAAGGTGAAGTGCCGCAACATGCGGCAACAGAACCCTGCTCTGTTTGCATTTCCCTTGCTCAGCACGGTGCCAGGTAAGCACCCGATTGAAGGTGTTGACGCGTATTGGGAGGAGTGCATTCCAGCGAGCTCGATCGAGGTCGGGTGTGGGTGGTGTTGAAGAGCTGCCAGGTGCCACGGCTGCTCAGATGAGTGGTGTCTGGTACGGTCGTGACCGATGGCAGTTGGCCAAGCTTACAAGTTCGGGCCCTCAAGCTCATTGCACCGGAAGAGCAAGGAAGAACTGCTTGCATTCTGCATCGAAGTGGAAGCATGGCACGCTGCGGAAGCTGAAGAGCCTCAGCTTGACAAGGAAGAGTTCTTGGCCTTCGCTGCCTCAACCCTGAACCTGCACGTCCCAAATCCCTAATTGTTGATATAATGCTAGTGGTACTAGGCGCACAGCCCTCCAACGCTGAACACCGGTCCAAGTAGTGAAGGCCCTGCAGCAACCACATCACTGCAAACGCGTTGGAAGCGCGATGAATGCCTGTCAAGAACTAGGATGCCCAGTAGGATGCCCAGTAGCACCCCTATTCCCTTTTGTAGTCCTAGGCTCCTTATAAAGTTACCCAATACCAAAAAGGGAGCCCTGTTTATTCCTAGGTTACTGGGCATCCTAGAGAGTCAATAAATCCTTCAGTCCTTAAGCCCCAACCCCCGACTTCGTAGCCCTTAAGCCTGAAAGCCCTACACCCTAAACTCCCCTAGAAGCTCTGCGACCTCCCTAAACCTTAAACCCAGGAAAAACAATTTAGCGCCTTCTAAACCCTTAAGCCCTATGAGCTTTTAAAACCCTCAAAACCCCCAACCCTACTTGGAGGGTCATGGGACTTAGTAAGTAGGGTTATAAGTGCCTTACTTGGGGTTTAGAAGTACTTATAAGTATAGTTACCTTACTTATAATAACCCCACTTCCTAAGACCCATGATCCTTCAAGTAGCCCCTAAACCCTAAACCCTAAACCCTATAGATCCACTTAAGGAACCCCTATAGATCCCTTTAAGGAGCCCTTTAAAGGAACCCCAGCTACTAAGTCCCATGATCCTTTAAGTAGCCCCTAAACCCTAAACCCTATAGATCCCCTTAAGGAAGCCCTATAGATCCCTTTAAGGAGCCCTTTAAAGGAACCCCACCTACTAAGTCCCATGATCCTTTAAGTAGCCCCTAAACCCTAAACCCTATAGATCCCCTTAAGGAAGCCCTATAGATCCCTTTAAGAAGCCCTTTGAAGGAACCCCACCTACTACGTCCCATGATCCTTTAAGTAGACCCTAAACCTTAAACCTTATAGATCCCCTTTAGGAAACCCTATAGATCCCTTTAAGGAGCCCATTAAAAGAACCCCACCTACTAAGGCCCGTGATCCTTTAAGTAGCCCTTAAACCCTAAACCCTATAGATCCCCTTAAGGAAGCCCTATAGATCCCTTTAAGGAGCCCTTTAAAGGAACCCCACCTACTAAGTCCCATGATCCTTAAAGTAGCCCCTAAACCCTAAACCCTATAGATCCCCTGAAGGAAGCCCTATAGATCCCTTTAAGGAGCCCTTTAAAGGAACCCCACCTACTAAGTCCCATGATCCTTTAAGTAGACCCTAAACCCTAAACCCTATAGATCCCCTGAAGGAAACCCTATAGATCCCTTTAAGGAGCCCTTTAAAAGAACCCCACCTACTAAGTCCCATGATCCTTTAAGTAGCCCTTAAACCTTAAACCTCATAGATCCCCGTAAGGAAGCCCTATAGATCCCTTTAAGGAGCCCTTTAAAGGAACCCCACCTACTAAGTCCCATGATCCTTTAAGTAGCCCTTAAACCTTAAACCCTATAGATCCCCTTAACGAAGCCCTATGGAGCCCTTTAAAGGAACCCCACCTACTAAGTCCCATGATCCTTTAAGTAGACCTTAAACCCTAAACTCTATAGATCCCCTTAAGGAACCCCTAGAGATCCCGTTTAGGAGCCCTTTAAAGGAACCCTTTCTTGCTAAGTCCCATGATCCTTTAAGTAGACCTTAAACCCTAAACCCTATAGATCCCCTTAAGGAAGCCCTATAGATCCCTTTAAGGAGCCCTTTAAAGGAACCCCACCTACTAAGTCCCATGATCCTTTAAGTAGCCCTTAAACCTTAAACCCTATAGATCCCCTTAACGAAGCCCTATGGAGCCCTTTAAAGGAACCCCACCTACTAAGTCCCATGATCCTTTAAGTAGACCTTAAACCCTAAACTCTATAGATCCCCTTAAGGAACCCCTAGAGATCCCGTTTAGGAGCCCTTTAAAGGAACCCTTTCTTGCTAAGTCCCATGATCCTTTAAGTAGACCCTAAACCCTAAACCCTATAGATCCCCTTAAGGAACCCCTAGAGATCCCGTTTAGGAGCCCTTTAAAGGAACCCTTTCTTGCTAAGTCCCATGATCCTTTAAGTAGACCTTAAACCCTAAACCCTATAGATCCCCTTAAGGAAGCCCTATAGATCCCTTTAAGGAGCCCTTTAAAGGAACCCCACCTACTAAGTCCCATGATCCTTTAAGTAGCCCTTAAACCCTAAACCCTATAGATCCCTTTAAGGAACCCCTAGAGATCCCTTTAAGGAGCCCTTTAAAGGAACCCCACCTACTAAGTCCCATGATCCTTTAAGTAGACCCTAAACCCTAAACCCTATAGATCCCCTTTAGGAAACCCTATAGATCGCTTTAAGGAGCCCTTTAAAAGAACCCCACTTACTAAGTCCCCATGATCCTTTAAGTAGCCCTTAAACCCCAAACCCTATAGATCCCCTTAACGAAGCCCTATAGATCCCTTTAAGGAGCCCTTTAAAGGAACCCCACCTACTAAGTCCCATGATCCTTTAAGTAGACCCTAAACCCTAAACTCTATAGATCCCCTTAAGGAACCCTTAGAGATCCCGTTTAGGAGCCCTTTAAAGGAACCCTTTCTTGCTAAGTCCCATGATCCTTTAAGTAGACCTTAAACCCTAAACCCTATAGATCCCCTTAAGGAAGCCCTATAGATCCCTTTAAGGAGCCCTTTAAAGGAACCCCACCTACTAAGTCCCATGATCCTTTAAGTAGCCCCTAAACCCTAAACCCTATAGTTCCCCTTTAGGAACCCCTATAGATCCCTTTAAGGAGCCCTTTAAAGGAACCCCACCTACTAAGTCCCATGATCCTTTAAGTAGACCCTAAACCCTAAACCCTATAGATCCCCTTAAGGAAGCCCTATAGATCCCTTTAAGGAGCCCTTTAAAGGAACCCCACCTACTAAGTCCCATGATCCTTTAAGTAGACTCTATACCCTAAACCCTATAGATCCCCTGAAGGAACCCCTAGAGATCCCTTTTAGGAGCCCGTTAAAGGAACCCGACTTACTAAGTCCCATGATCCTTTAAGTAGACCCTAAGCTCTAAACCCTTATAGTACCCCTATAGATCCCTTAAAGGGACCCCTTAAGGACCCCAATTACTAAGTCCCATGATCCTTTAAATTAAACCTAACGAGGCCTTCCGCCCCAGCTCAATCGACTTCCAGCTGATAAGTTGGTGAAGGCAGCCTCTTCTTGCTTTTTGAATTCAGAGTTTAGGGTTTAAGAATGCAGGGTTTCGGGTACAAGAATGCAGGGTTTCGGGTTTAAAAATTCAGGGTTTCGGGTTTAAGAATCCAGGGTTTCGGTTTTAGGCTTTGTAGGGTTTAGTGTTTATAGGGCTTTTAGGGCTATAGGGTTTAGGGTTTCTATGGTTTGGGGTTTAGGGTTGAGGGTTTAGGTATGATGTTTAAGGATTTAGGTTTACAGGGTGTAAGGTTTTCTGGCTTGAGGTTCTGGAGATATAGGCCTCGGGGATTCAGAGTTTAAGGTTCAGGGGTTTCGGGGTTTGGGGATGTCGGGCTTAGGAAGTTCTGCGCGGGTTCGGCCGGGCTTTTGGAATTATGGGACATGTTTGGTTTACGGACCATGGGTATCCCATGCAGGGCCCCGTTTTTTAAAGTCCACTTATGTACTAAGATAACCGTGCAAGCTTGCAAGTTTGGACAATTGAGCACCGAATCCTTCTACATCTCGGTAGCATAACCTAGTAGTAGAGTAGGTGACCTTTAACCTTTTTGGGGTACCATAATCTCTATACAAATAATCACAATCTCAAGGTTAACCTTTAGTTCTCCTTCGAACTGGACGAGTAAGCTGAAAAGACATGGTCGGTGGAAGATGGATTAATTCCACCGAAGATTTGAAGCATGCAGGGTTCAGGGTTTATGTAGGCCTTTAAGGTTACAGCTTGCTTTATCTTTGGACGTCATCTCAGAAAGTTTCGCAATGTCCCATGGCAGCTTTGGGAGCAAAGCTACAAGGTTGGAAGCCCCTGGCCCTGAAATGCCAATCGCTGTAGCCAGCACCGGTGATAGACAAAAAGAACCGACAGATGGACCCGACAAGTCCTGAACCTGACACCTCCAGCCCTAGCCGGGCCTCTACGATCTTGGAGCCGAAGCCATGAACCCTTAATATAGGAGCCTTAAGAATAATAATGACCTCTACCATCTTGGTGGGCTCCTTATTATTTTTATTTATTCATGGGCCCCCCCCCAAAGCCCCAAACCCTATTCTAATTGTGAAGGCCCGTATACCATAGTACCCTTATAGATCCCTTATAGTAACCCTTATAGACCCCTTTTAAAGGAACCCTATTCTAATCATGGTCTGGATAGAATCCTTCCGGATCAGCGCAGCCGATGACGCCAGGTGCATGAGGCTCTTGGCACCCTGAAGGAAGCCGGTCTTACCGATGTCAAGGACGACCCAGGGGCGGTAGATACCCAATACCTAGCCTTTAAACTTGTTGGGCTCTTATAGTTTAGTGGGACTCGGAAAGTATAAAAACCTTGTATTTCTGTGGCTTATTGGGGAAGTAGTAGGGTGGTAGATACCCTTGTGAGCATTTCTGTTGCTCATCTCCTATAGCTGCTTAAGGAGTCTGCGGTAGTTGAAGATCTGAACCCCCACCCCAAACCGTAAATGGTCGGCAGTCCTTGTCAAGTTGCAGTTGATGGCTTTACTCTCAGGACGGCAAGCGTAATCGATGCAAAGCTTGTTCATCCCGCTGACCAAGGCGAGCGACACGCTGAAGCCTGCATGCCCTTGCGAAGATACGTTTGTGAAATTAGGACGAAGGGCTTGCCGTAGTTTGCAGCCCCTAGACCCGGGATCCTGCTGAAACTGTATTAGGGTCGCTTGTATTCCGAAATCTCCCAAACCACCTCCCGTGGGGAGGACTTGGCGGCGCTGTCGGAATGCGCCGCTTGTTTGGAAAGTGGGATTGAGCCGCTTAGAGGTGCACAGCTGAATTGCACCCCGAAGCCTTCAGATGTCAGAGCATCAGGTGTTCTGGGATAGTAGCTGGGTGGACAACGGAATTCTCATATAGCTACCCGTAGGCCCCGTAGTAGTGCCTTTGTACGATGGGGCCTATAGCTACAGTAAACACGCCATGGTTGGTACATGGAGTGATGGTGATTGCAGCAGGGATTTCCGATTCCCGAATTATAATACTTCCATCATAGGGACCCTTAATTGGGGTAAGGATGGGGGGGGGGGGGGGGGTAATAAGGACCTAATAAGGTTTATTGAAGGAAATATAGTCCCCTACCCCCCTCCCCCCTACCCCCGTAAGGGTCCCTATGATTCCAAGGGCGTAAGGATAATAAGGTTGCAGCTGTTTGACCTTTGCATCTTTATCAAAGTCAATCTGTCCACAAGTTTTCCAACAGTTCGATTCCATCTACTTCTCCATGGTAAACACTGCATCGTAAACCGAAGCCCTAAACCTTAGGACTAAGCGGCCAGCTGATTCCGAGTCTTCCGAAACGCAGAAGTTGCCAAGCATTGCGATTTCCTGGTGGGTGGGTGGGTGGGGAGAGGGAACAGAATAACCTGGAGTTGAAACTCAATTGTGGATTAGTTTGTGCACCGAAAAGCAGTGAAATGGCTGAAGTTCATTCAAGTCTGTGCGTGGCTGAGGTAAAGGCCAATACCAGCAGTGCAGGCAATGCGCGAATGCCTTCCGAGGAGTCTTGCCGTCTCTCCACGTTTGATCCGATGGAGATGTCTTAAACCCCAGACCCTAAACGCTAAACCCCCCCAATCCCGAAACCAACAGCTAAATAATTAAGTGACTAAGTCCATAGACTCCATAGAACTCTCGGCAAGCTACGGGCTTGTTGGGCCACTTCAAGTGGTTTTGAGGAGCACGGCATAGGGGTCAGAATGATCATCTTCATTAACGTTATTCAATACCGTTATTCATTAGGTTTCCTCTTCCAGTCATTTTGCATAGAATAAACCCCCAGCCCCTATTCGTTTCAAGGCCCCGATATTGCTGCACGAGATCTCGAGTCCCAGTCCAGGTAGCTTCTGTGGCTGTGCGGTTTGGGGTTTAGGGTTTAGGGTTTAGGGCTTAGGGTTTAGGGTTTAGGGTTTAGGGTTCCCTGCGGGATTACACATAATATGAGTCACTACACCTGCAATCGACAAGTACTCGTGAATGTTCAGAAGCTACATGGAGCTGTGCACGTGCATGTACCTACCTACATACATACATACATACCTACGTGCATACATACATGCATGCATATATCCATATGTACGTACGTACATACATAACTACCAGACGTAAAAGACACGCAGCACATACGCCACATACCGTGCATACACAACTTTCTTACAATGCACTACATTGTTACATCTGTACATGCATACTTACTTACCTGCATACAAGCATGCATATATCAATGCATGCATGCACTGATCACTGATCCAGACTTACAGTACGATAGCAGAACAGTGCAATGCAAGGCGGTACAATGCACTATACTATAACGGAAAGTAATGTATTGCAGCGGAGAGTGGAGCGGAACGGAACGTAAGGTACGCTTTCAAGAATCAGAGGGCTCCAATGGTGGCAGGAAGGTAGGTGGGGTAGTCCCGAAAGAAGAGTCTTCATATAGGGGATCCTTAATCCTACCTACCTTCATCCCACCTGGGAGTTTCCGAAAATCAGGGGTACCTTATTTTGGGTCGTTATAATCAGGATCCTACTATTTAGGGTACTACATTAGGGTCCCATATGTTCGGGAAGTCCCAGATTTGAATCGAGCGCCTCCAAACGAAGCCACGACTCCCGGAGGACCTGACGAGCGAGTACATGGGAGCCAACCTCTGGGTGCCTGGGAGCCGGTTTAGGGTTTCAGGTTTAGGGTTTAGGGTATACCTTAACCCCGAATAACCTACCTTTTCAAGGACTTATATAAAGAAATCATAATAAGGAACCCTAAAAAGGTAGGTTTTTCAGGGTTAATGTAGTCCCTATATAACCAAAAAGGTTAACCTTCAGTTCCCCATGATGCCCGACAAGTTAGGGTTTCATTCGGGTTCTGACTTTCGTTCAGCTTGGTGGCTTAGGTCTCAGGGGTCTTATAAGGGTTGCTATAAGGGACCTATAAGGGAAGAATAGGGTTTGGCGTATGCTATACTATAACTATAATTTGAAGCCTTCAAAATAGTGTTGGTAGTTATCGAGGCCCCTATATTAATTAAGCGGTTTACGAAGCCAGATCTCCCGGTGAGCGGTTTTCCCCTTCGTGGTCGTAGCTTCCTGCTGCAACTACTTAGTACCAAAAAGCAGAGTTGTTCCTAGGTTACTAGGGAGTAAATTTAGGGCCTCAGTGAGTGGTTGAGGGCTTAGGACCCCAACACGCAGCTTTTGATCTTGCGGCTTATGTGCAGGGTTGACAGTTCGGGGTCAGGGTGTAGAGACTTAGTGAAGCCCCAAACCCCAAGCCCAAGCCCCGAGGCACAAAACACGACGCTACCCTACTTGGAGGATCATGGGACTTAGTAAGTAAGGTCATAGGTTAAAATTGAAAGTTATAAGTGCCTTGTTTGGGGTTATGAGTAATTACTCAGAAGTATGGTTACCTTCCTTGTAACTTATTAAGCCCCATGATCCTCCAAGTACCAAGCATCCTCGGTGTTTGAGCCATCTCCAAATCCACCTTAAAACTTCGGGCCTTCAGCCCTGCCGACGGATACCTCGCGGTATTGTAAAAGGGGTCATAAGCATTAACCTCCTCGTAAGGAGTTCCGCTTCAGCGTTTCGTTGGTTTTGCCTCTTGAACCAATTATTTCGAGGGTTCTGAGAAAGTTCGTAGTAGTATCGGAAGGGACCAGGACGCTGTCCCGACCCTCACGCCCGGTAGAGAGGCTCAAAGCCTTGGCTCAAGTGAGGGGCCGAATTCTGAAGCCGTACCTCGCCACCTGTGACCCGGCGCGATGCCGCATAAAGGAGGCGGCAACAAGTCGAACCCGCGAAAGGCCGCCCCAAGCAAGGGCCACCGACACCGAAATGCCAAAAAAGGAAGCAGAAGCAGGCACTGTCAAAGCTTCAGCGTCGCCAACTGCCGAGGACGCGCCCAGGGCTGGCGTCGCCCCCCCCCCCCCCTTGCATTCTCCATGGTATACCCCAGACTGTATTTCACTGGGTAAGGCTTCTGCATTACTTTCAAGGATAACCCTAAGGCCCAGCAACCTCGCAACGCCTGCCTCCCAGGCCTTGCCTCAGTACAAAAGCCATGCCGGTTAGGGTTTAGGGTTTAGATAAGGAAATTGTCTTTCCTTTGGTTAGTAGGGCATGGAGGAATGGGGTACAATCATAACCACTATTACTACCATTCTTCCATTCCCTACTAACCAAAGGTAAGTTGTAAGAGGGCCTAAGAGGACAGGCTGGGTTTGTTCAGGGTTCAGGTGAGCTGTGTTTGTTCAGGGTTCAGGTGAGCTGTGAGTTTGAGGATGCTTCTGTGGCCTTACGCCGTTAATGCTGGCAGTCCTTATCTGGATTTTATCACCACCAAAACATAGGCTGTCAAACTCGGGCATGGATTTCCAAATCTTTAACCCTAAACCCCTAGACCCAAAAAAAACCTAAGCCCTGAAGCCCTAACCCCCCCCACCTCCTTTTCGGCCCCTCGTCCCTGAGACTTAACCCTAACACAACAAAAGCTGGAAACCTGCAAGCCGCCAAAGATAAATTTGATATGACGCAAGGAACGCAATATAGGGGTCGAAATAATCACCAATACTATTTTTTTGTGGGCTCCTTTCTAGAAGCATAGTGGGATATACCCCAAAAACCCTATTCCAATTATTAAAGCCCCTACATTACAGCAAGCTGCAGCTGGCTAACAAAGCCCGCCGGAAGGATAACCTTCAAAGTAGAGTATGGGTATTGGGTTTAGGGTTTAGGATATGGATATTGTCTCGTCCAAAGTATCGCTGCGCTTCCTGATGAGACCCAATAGCCTTACCCTCCCTGCAGCATCAAACCCTGGGCGCGACCTCCAACACCACATGGGACTTTCCGAAAACTAGGGGTACCTTATTTTGGGGTCCTTATAATAAGGATCCTACTATTTCGGGTACTATGTTAAGGTCCCCCATTTTCGGAAACTCCCACATTTATCAACCCTACTAGACCCTAAGCAATAAACCCTAAACCGTAAGACCCTAAATCGAAACCTTAAGCCCTAGCCCTAGACCCTAACCTTAGACCCTAAACCCTAAGCCCTAAATACTCAGCTTGTAAACCCTAAAACCCTAAATCCCTAAACCCTAAGCCCCAACACCCCGAGCCTTTATAAATCGTAAACCTTGAACCCTAAAACCCTAACACCCTAAACCCCAAAACCCTAAACCCCTTCTCTGAGCTGGAAAAGAGGTGCTTCAAACAAAAAAGACTTACACTTGAAACCCGCAACTTCAGGCTTGGACTCCCAAAAGATGGTTCGAGAGCATCCAGGCGAGCAGCGACGAGGTTTAGGCATCTTTCCGTGGGGATCGAAATAGCACAAAAGCCTTATATAGTATGGTCTTTGGGCCCAAAAGCCTTAATATATGAGTGCTTAGATCCCTAGGGTTTTACGGGTCAAGGATCGAGGGGTTTCAGGTTTAGGGTTTAAGGCTGTTGCTTAGGGTTTGGGGCTAGGGTTTAGGGTTTATGGTTCCGTTGAGGGTTCCTGTCAGGGCTCAGTCGAGAACTCTTTTCATTCAAATACAGCGAGTTGAGCTTGCTTTGCGTTCGCAGGCAGTTTGGGATCGGGGATAGAGGGGGGTAAGCTTGCGTTTCGGCTGCAGAAAGGGTTTAGCGTTCGGGGTGCTGGGGCTAGGACCGGCTTTAATTCAGGGCTTGACGTATTGGGTTTCCGGGTCTGGGATTTTAGTGTTTTGGGGGTGCGTTTTCGGTATTTCGGTTTGGAGTTTGTTTTTCCTAATTTGAAACGCTGCGCGTCGTCCGCCTCGGCCCGGCTGTACGCGCATGCGGCGAGTGGCTACTATCTGCAGCAAGCTCTTGTAGGAAAAAAGTAACAGTTGGAATCGGACTTATAGTAAAAGTAATGTTCATAGCAACACGAAGCAGGATGATTGTGAGTAGTATTAGTAGTGGTAGTATCAGTACGAATTATGGTGTCGTCATTCCGAAACACTGGATACCAAGACTCTCGCAAGCGGCGGGATGCCTTAAGTATGGGCCGTTGAGGCTGTGGATTTCGTGGGCGTCTTGGCTTAGGGAAGCATCACAGCCTTTTCAACCACGTTACTCCGCCTATCCCAACGAAAGGGCGTCTAAAACAAGCCTGAGACGCAAAGCCATCAATTCGATACCAACATAGGGGCCCAAACAATGATTAAGACCCTGCTGGGGTTTTTTTGATAGAGTTAAAGTATATTGAAGTCATTAAGGCCTTGCAAGAAATAGAGACGGCAGCCATGCATGGCCACTGGGCGCCACCGGAGCCGGTGGTGCAGCCTTAAAGGCGAGCCCCAACACATAAAGATGCTACAGTGGGAGGGAAAGCGAAGAAAATTGGGTGGGACTGCCTACAGAAAGCCAAAATCCACTGGAGGAGGCGAAAATTCACCGCCGGACCTTGGGGCTCATCGACACGTTTCCATTTTTTTTTGGGGGGGGCACGATTTTGGGGGTGGGGCCACTAAGAAGGGGATTAAGAGGTGGGGAATAGAGGAAATCCGAATAGGACTACAAGTTGGGATTAGTTCTAGAGTTTGTTCTGGTCCCGGACGGTTCAAGCGTTCCGGATGACGACTGAGAACGGCCGCAGGCCTGCTCCTGTGGTGCTGTTGGTTTTCAATCTTTATACGATTGCGGCCTAAATAATGAAATATGCTATTCAGGGGTTCCTTATTGTAAGTATAGTATGATAGGCCCCAAAGCCCCATTCTAATTATTAAGGCCCCTATAGTAAGGTTTTTTACGTGCATGCCCCAGTCATTGCTCGTACGCAGGGTCCGGCCTGCTCATTGGTAACTCCCCAGACCTTCCATAATCCCATAATTAAGGAATATACCATAAATTATAATAGGATCCCTAATATGAATTAAGGTATATTCCTTAATTAAGGGATATTGGAAGGTCTGGGTCTCGCCAAACCCGAAGTCTTACAAGACCCGGAATCCCAAAACTAAAATCCCGAGGCCAAAAACACCAAAACCCTGAACCCCAAAAGCTCAAAGTGCAAAGCTACACCGTGCTAAACCCTAAACCCTAAAGCCTACAGGGACCCTTTGTGTAGCTTTTGGGGATACCTGCGAGCAGCTTGGAACGGGCCCTTAAAAAGAAAGCCTAACCCCCGAACCCCAAAAAATATATAACCTATAAACCCTATAACCCTATAAACCCTATAAACCCTAAATCCTATAAACCCTACCCCCTAAAAACCCTATAAAACCCATAAGCCCTAAATCCTACAAAGCCTAAGCCCTAAACCCTATAAACCCCAGGCCCTAAATAACCCTATAAACCCTATAAACCCTAAATCCTACAAAGCCTAAGCCCTAAACCCTATAAACCCCAGGCCCTAAATAAACCTATAAACCCTATAAGCCCTGAATCCTACAAAGCCTGGCCCTAAACCCTTTCAGCCCTAAATCCTACAAAGCCTAAACCCAGAACCCCAAAGCAGGCTCAAGGCGCCCCAGCCGGAGCCAAGAGTGAGGAGGCCGGCAATGGCAACGAGGCGTCCGAGGTGCCTTGGGCTGAATTTGAAAGAGAGACGGTTTAGTGTCTAGGGTTTAGGGGTTAGGGACTACTACTACTACTACTGCTACTACTGCTGCCACTACTATAATAAAGTTACAAATTACAAATAGTCTACGCGAAACGTACCGCGGAACATACCTGCGAAACATACCCCTTTCCCAACACTCCGGGAAAGGCTCCTCCTTTTCTGACGAACCCGCATTTTGCCAGGCGTATCCGAAGCTCCAAACATCTGATATGTTAGGTGTTCGACCCGTGTACTTGCGGGTCCATGACCCACGTTGGGCAAGGTTTGGCGGCTTCATGCCTCGAGTCGCGAGAACAAGACTGCACCTAATCCTCGGAACACAAATTAAATGCCAGTCCCAAACCCCAAGCTGTCTGAAGTGGCTTGATTGTAAGATATGTCATACGGTCTTCCCCAACCACCCAGGATCAGTTGCCACCCATTCCGGCGAACTTGCAGGACGCGTTTAGGGGCGGGCTTCAAGTGGAATTCGGAGTATGCATGACATTCAAAGGTTTGCAACCGTTTGAGACAGAGATAGGTTTGCATAGGAATTGTCGCTCTTGCCGATGGCAAAAGTGGCGCTTCAGCGGTGGAGTTTGGCTCGCAGAGAAAGGCTACTTTGCCGTTTTTTTGTTTCCAAGCCCTATGAACCCCATAAATGTGCCCAAGTGGACGAGTGTTCGCTGTGGGTGACGTGCTCCTCCGATGAGATGTCGGCCTGAGCCGACTTCATGTGTGGGCAGTCCCTCAAGTGTGGGGAGTCCCTCAAGTGTAAACCATGTATATAATGTTCAGGTGCCTGGATCCTCAGAAATTCGGAATATGCGTTAAACGTCTCTGAATCCAAGCCTTCCAGCCCTACTCCCTTGAAGCTCGAAGAAAACTGCAGCACCTTCCCACAACATCCCCAACGCCTGGGACTACTCCAGCGGTTCGTGTTTGTTGTGTTTAGATACTCAGGCCCCTCTGCTTGAAGCTAGGATTCTTGCTACGCATTGGGGTTCCGGTGAAGCATGGGTCAAGGGATGAGGCACCTTCAGCAATTTATGTTCAGTTGTGTTATGGATTCTACCCAATTACGCCCTGGACCCCAACCTCCCCAAAGCCGTGCACTGCATACAGAAAAACTGCTTCCCGATCAGGGGGCGTAGCAAAGTTAGAATTGATGTGACCGCAGTTGTTGATTCGGTCATATGGGTGGTTGTCAAAACTATGGTCCCTTATTTGGGTCCTTGATAATACGGCACCTACTATTTTTACGGTACCCAAAAAGAGACCCTAATTTTGACAACCGCCCATATGTGGTAATAACAAGGCCAAAAGGTCCTCGGTGGTGTTGTGCGGGAAATACTTAGACTCTTAGGACCCAAGGTAATTATTCGTAACTCTAGTTACCCTAAGCGCTTAACCCTTGATCCATCTTGACCCGATCCCCTAAGTAGATCCCATCCTTCATTCCGGGAGACTCTCAGCCCTCAATCCCAAAATGAGCATTCGTCAAAACTTCCGTAATTGTAGTTAAGAGTAGGGTGACCGGGACCGTGGAATGTCGGATTTTGTCAATTTCCGTGGAAAGCGATAGGACCCCCCAAAAGCGATACGATTAACGAGGACCTGCGGTATTTGTGCCTAGATTTTGCGTGTGATATATTGCTAGGCAATCGATGCCCTAATCGATACCCAATCGATACCCTAATCGATACCTACTAGATCGTTTTATGAGCCACTGCCCCACAGGGCAAGCTACGAGTAGGATCAGTGAGTCTGATGGTCTTCTCATTTTCACAAGAGCAAAGCGATACCTCACAGAAACATGTGACGGAATCCTTGTAAAGCGATAGGACCCCCCCCCCCAAATCATCCATGGCCCAGCCATGAAAAAGAAGTTTTGACAAACGCTCAAATAGTGTCAATAATTTTGGGTGCTTTCAATGTCATAAAGGACGTTTTCAGATTGTTGAAATAGTCGGCATATCAGAAGCTAGAAGTCAAGACCATATACCCCAGCCCGCCAAAAACCGCCGTTGCAGGAGAGGTTTGACCGACATTTGGCCAAGATGACTCAGCGGAAGGAGGTGCGCGCCTTGATTCCAAGGGTAAAAGGAGGGACCCTTAATAAGGACCCCTAGGTATATACCTTTAATATAGCGCATTATATAGCCCATTCTGGGCTAGGGGTCCCCATTAAGGGTCCCTCCTTTTCCCCTTTGATTGATGTTCCGAAAGCTCGGGGCTTCTGGTGGAAGCTTCGAGGTCCCACGACAAGGTTTAGGGTATGGGTTTTAAGGATTATAAGCTATATAGGATGTAGGTCCAATTTAGGTCTCAGGGTTGAAGGTTTATAGGGTTCAAGGAATTTAAGGTTCAGGGTTGAAGGTTTATAGGGTTCAAGGAATTTAAGGTTCAGGGTTGAAGGTTTATAGGGTTTACGGAATTTAAGGTTCAGGGTTTCAGGTTCAGGGTTTCAGGTTTAAGGTTCAGGGCTTGAGGTTTAGGGCTTCAGGCGTAAGGTTCAGGGGTTAGGGTCGACGATAGTTTGTAAGGTTTCGGCTATACGGCAGCGATCCGGTTTAGGGCTTTAGGGTTTAGGGTTGAAGATAGCATGGCATTGCGACTAACGTCCACACTGCCCCGCAAGAATGGCGCAATAACTGTTCACATGATGCTTGCTGCGTCGACTTCGTAGTGAAGCGAGATCAATGTGAAACCGTCGGGGGAGGGCTGGCGCCTCTCCGCCCGGAAGCAGCATTTTGGACTTGAGATGTTTCCGGGTGAAGACAAACATATTCGGGGTCTGGCTGTCGGGATCCAGGGTACTTGAAGGGATATAAATAAGGCAACTATACTTATAACTACTTATAACCACAATTAAGGTACTTATAACCTTACTCACTAAGCTTCATGACCCTTTAAGTATCCTAGAAACAAAGCGCGTATCTTGCCGGGGCTTGCCAATAGCATGCTCAATCAAGGGCGTTCGATCTGTCTGGGCAGGCAAGGCGTTCTAGTTACACAATTTTCCCTTTGTCCTAGTTGGGTAACATTTTGAGTTTTTATGGGTACTTAAGCCCAATAAGGAATAGAAATTTAAATTTTTGATCCTATCCCATCCATGAACTAGAATGGTACATTAAAGTTCCTTGATACGAACCTTGACATGGCAGGTACCCTTTCCGTACTTGGGCAGTTTTTCCCTAACTCAGGCTTCAGGGCTTCAGGGCTTTGGGGGGCGGGGTTCAGGCTTTATGGTGGGGTTGGCAGCTCCAGTACCCACATCTTGCCAATGCACCTTGTGGAACATGTTTTGAAATTCTTTTAGGGTCCCTAACATGATTGAGGGTGTACTGTATTCCTTAGTTGGGTCACATCAGAAGATCTGTAGCATGAAAACTACACTGAACGGCCCAAAGCCCAAAATCCTAAAACTCTAAACCCCAAATACTACTGCCGTGGGTTTAATCGCGTCGAGACATACGAGGCATTTCAGACTTTAGGCACTTCGGGTCTAGGACTGTGAGGCTTCAAGCGATCGTATCAGATATGGGCCGTAATAAAAAACACAGCGTTTCGCGGTATTTGCATAATTACTTTATAGCCAAATACAGGGACTTTCTTGGGGGAACCGGATGACATTCTGAACAATGCCAAGACGTTTGCTCGGTTGCAACAGAAGCCCGAAACGGTCAACCGGCCGACTCAAGACGTTCACTTAGCTCCAGCTATGCCTGCGGGTTCGTCTTTGCATTGGGTTCCTGCTCATGGACGCCACGATAATTGGGTTTCACAGCTGCCTTCGGTCTCCACGCAGGAGGCCCCTGCTTTGAATGCTCGAGCCGATCTCTCGGCATGTGCTGCTACACAGCCTCTGAAAGCCACGTTTTCTGCCGACCAGCGCGCTTGCAAGGCTTCGGCGGAGTGGGCAGAGCTCTCTGTCATGAGGCAGTCGCGCTTGACGCACGACTAGCACGAGACCGTTGCAGAGCAGGCCAAAGCACTTGGGCGCTTGCGTGACCTTTGAATGCCTTGACCGGCTGTTATCCCAGCTTCGGGGCAGGGTGCAGCCACGCCATACATACATACATACATACATACTCCAGCTATGCATAAACATGATGGTGCATGCATGCATTCGGTTAGCAACTCTCATAAGCAAGAATCTTCTAGTAGACTAGGTAATGAATCGATGAACCCTGTGTTGCCAAAGTAGCTCGGCAAGTAAGCAACAAGCTGGGCATGTCTCTTCCGATCGTCTCTCCACCACTTGGAGGCCCTCTTGACTTAGTAAGTCTACTTAGTATCCCCTACAAACCCCATTATAATCCCCGTAACCCACCTTAATAACCCTACTTACTAAGTCAAAAGGGCCTCCAAGTAAGAAACCCTAAACCCTATAGATCCCTTTAAGGAACCCCTATAGATCCCTTTTAGGACCCCTTTAAAGGAACCCTTACTTACTAAGTCAAAAGGGCCTCCAAGCAGAACCTTCAGAAGCGCGTTGCTCAGTCCCTGGGCGCGGCTTGGGCAGATGGTAAGTTCAGGGTTTGGGTTCCCGGGTATCCCTGCAGAACCCCAGACCTTCCAAAATCCCTTACTTAAGGAATATACCTTAAATTTTATAATAGGAGGCCGAATATGAATTAAGGTATATTCCTTAATTAAGGGATTTTGGAAGGTCTGGGACCCTAAGCCCTAAACAACACAGCGAGCCCTAAACCAAAACATTCACGGCGACCAGGCGTCGGCGGATTCGATCGAAGAAGCGACGGCCCAATTCAACGAATGGTTTTCGCGCATGATGCAGGCCTCTTACACGGCTCAATCTTATATAGAGGGAGGAAGCCCCAAAACTGATAAACTCGAAGGCCAAAAACCTAAACCCTATACCTGAATCAAAGCCCGTTTGTTTAGGCCCTAGGCCACAACTTTCTACAGCTCTTATCCCAAAGCTCAGTCAGAATCCCCCGGGTTGATCTTTGATGCTCTACCCAGAGAGCCCAATATCCCTTAATTAAGGAATATAGCTTAAATCATATTACGAAGCCCCTTATTTTAATTTAAGCCATATTCCTTAAGGGGTATTGGGCTCTGTGGCCCCTATACCCTAAACCCTAAACCCTAAACTTATGGGTATGCCCTCGCCTTTGGGGCGCATGAATGGTGAGCTTCGGTCTGCTGAAAGGATTAGATAGAACTCTCCCAGTCAGGAGAGGGGGTTTTGGGGTTTAGGGGTTTAGGGGTTTAGGGTTCAGGGGTTTAGGATTCGGGGTTGAGGGGTTTAGGGAGGAAGATAAAGCGCAAGAGATGCATCAGGATTTGCAGTATGCATCGATCCAATGTCATCTGGTGCAATGTTATGTCATGTAAACTAGCGCCATGTAACGTCATGTGTACATGCGCTTGCAGCTGCCCGTATGTATGTGTATGTGTATGTCGTGTTTCCACTCCCTTAATACATGTATATGTGATATGTATATATATATATATATATATGTGTGTGTATATATATATATGTTGTACACACATGTTAGATTAAGCAAAAACAAACATACATGACTATGCATGTCTACATGTATGTATACCCGTGTGCTTTGTAGCCTTGGCAAAGTATGCCCGCACTTGCGATACCGATCTGACTTTGGCCAGAACGACGCGGAGATCCGTTCACTGGCCACCATGGATCGCGAAAGCATGCCGTATCTCGTCTTGTTTAGTGGTTCCCCGGCTCGCCCGGATTCTATTGATTCGATCAGGCTAGCTGTTGCGACTGTGTTGTGGTGACTGGTTGTTGTCGTTGTCGTTGTTGTTGATGACTATTCATCATGGTTGTGGTTGTTGGCTTGACTTATGTTTCTTCTACCGAACAGTCCAGGCATTGGGTTGGGTATAGGTTTGAGGCTTATTAGTGCGGCAGCTGAGGTTCCCACGGGTGAGTCCTTGAGGTCCTTGCAAGTACCCTCTCAAACGGTACGCCCCTTTTTCGTTGTAGCCAATTTTGTCTACGTGTAAAGCTACATGTTTTGTACTTTCATATTTTTCGGGGCCTTAGCAAGCAGTTCATGGATTCGATTTGTGCCTCTTGAACTCCTGAACCGTCTAACCAGGTGAAACACAAAGTACAGCCTTAGTCAACAGCTGCGAAACGAAAGCGAGCCAATGCAGAACCCTGCCCAGAGTGTTAAGGGTTTACGGGTTCAGTAGCAATGCTATACCTGAGTTTTCCTCATTGTGCCCATGATATACCTCAAAACCTTAGTCTAATTGTGAAGGCCCCCCTATTTCACACAGGGAGCAGCAAAGAAAGCCCTAAACCCGAACCCAAAGGCAACCAATCTGTCTATGTACCTACACTTCCATCTGCATGTAATATGTGCATATTGTGGTCCGCTTTTTCTGAAACATCCAAGTCCCTGGAAAATCATACTATCATATGCCCCTCCCCAGGACCCTTGTCAACCGATTACCGCAAGGGTCCAGGTGCCTTAATAGCCGAAACTCAAGCCTTAAAGAGGTTCCGAAACAGTGCCCTAGGGGCAACGGTTCTACTGTGCAGATACATGAACCCTTCAAGGCTAATGCAGATCCTTGATGAATCAAGAGGCCTCCAGCAAGGCCCCTTAACCCCAAACCCTAAACCCCCTACACTGCCCAGAAGCCCTAAACCCGAAACCCCTTCGGATCCTTTCAGCCGTCATACCTTATGTAGTTGATCCACAAGTGATTCGCTTCTGGATTGTCCCAGGACTGCCTGCATAAACCCTAAACCCCAAGCCCTTTAGCCGCACTTGGAGGCCCTTTTTACTTAGTAAGTCTACTTAGTATCCCCTAGAAACCCTATTATAATCCCCATAACCCACCTTACTAACCCTACTTACTAAGTCAAAAGAGCCTGCAAGCAGGATCCAGAAGGGAGATGGCGCGGGAGTGTGGTTCGACCCCATCAAGACAGTGCCCTCTTTGGCAGTGGCAGGCTTAAGGTTCGGCTTAGGGTTTAGGGTTTAGGGCTGGGTGTAACCCTGGGCCTGCAATCCCAAACTTGTAGGACCCATATTAATGAAGGAACTCTGATAAAGGCCCAAGGTCTCTTAATCAGGTTCCTACATTACACACTGTACCTGCAATTACAACGACGTCATAGCCTTCTATTTCGTATGTTTGGGGCTACAGGTAAGCCACTAGTTCATCTAGAAACACCTGTGAGCTTGTGGGTTTAGGGTGTGCGAACGTTGTGTTCTTTTTTTGTGTTTTCTTGTTGGGTTTGGGGTTCATGGTACGGTTTGGGGCCGTGCTTAAGATCGTGTGGGTTAAGACTCACCCTATCCGAGACCCCAGCACTCCGAAGCTCTAAGCCTTAAAACGTAAAACCGAGGTCCTGAATATAGCAGCCGGCATACTTAGTAATTGATACTGTTTGTTAGGGTTCCTCTGGTACATATTCTGTGCTATACCCCAAAATCCCTGTTCCATCTGTTCAGGTCCCCGCACAGCCCTGCAAAACCTTTTTTTGAAATTCTGTGGACCCCTTGAGCCCTTTAACGGAGCCCTCTGTTAGTTACCAGCGCCGCCAAATTACGTTAGAGCAACAAACCCTCAACAGCTAAACCCCTATAGGACGACTTCTAGAGTTCTTACTAACCCTGTTTTTACAACATATCTCATACTAAGCCCTAAACTCTTCAATACTAGCCGTATACTTATATATAACAGCCCTTACTAAAACTTAAATCCGGAAGATCCCTTTGTACTTATAATGTATCCCCTACCAAACCCTAGCAAGCCTCAAGCCTAAGCCCCGAAACCCTAAACCCTACAGAACCCTTTATACCTGTACTATAGCCCTTTATTACGACACCCTACAAAGCCTAGATCCTAAACCCCTAAACCCTAAACTCCTAAACCCTAAACCCACTATACCTAGGGTACTCAGCCCCTCTGTCAAAAAATGAGGGGTACCTTAGTTTCGGGGTCCTTATCAGGATCCTACTATTTGGGGTGCTATAGTACCAAAACCCTATACCGAGCGTACTCAGCCCCTCAGCCAAAGAGCCATTTTACTTATAATACAGCCCTTACTACACCCTCAACCCTATATAGCCTAAACCCGAAACCCTAAACCCCTAAACCCTAAAGAGCCCTACAACAAGGCACCTGCCGGTCGCAAAGTCCTCGGCAAGGTCAACTTGCAGTCCAGCGACTCGGACAACTAATGCTGTCACCTAAAGTTCGTTCAGAGTTCAGGGTTCACTGCATATCTTATGTCATATGAGAGCAGGTTATGTTTTGTCATCAGTTAATATTTCATGGCTCGTTTCGATTATGGTAGTTCATCGTCGCATATTACAGTAGAATATAGTACATTATAATGCTTTATAGTCGAAGAGTTCCTTCTACTGTAGGGTTCTACAGGGGCTGGGGCATAAGGATCAGTCTCGGGCAGGTTCAGGGTTTGGAGTTTAGGAAGTTTTGGACTTTGGGTTTAGGGTTTCGGGCTTGGGGTTCAGGGGTTGAGCGTTCAGGATTTTGGGCCGTGGGGTCTTTGGTTCGGTGTTCAGGGTTGCACGGTGCAGGGTTGAGGGTTTCGAGTTTAGGGTCCATGATTTTGGGGTTGAAGGTTTCAGGGTTCAGGGTTTGTGGTGCGGAGGTTTTGCTTGAATTCTAAAACTCATGGTTTGGGTGCACAGTGGCTTTGCATGGGGGTGTAGTGTCTCAAAACGCCTGAAGCTGGTTAAAGTTTGGGGTTCAGGTTTGCTTGATATGTTAAAAAAACCCGAAAGCCCAGTTGACTCCGCAAAATGCACGCTAGCGGTACAGAAAACCCCTCAACTTGAAAACTTCTTGAGAACCCGCAACAGCGCTCTAGGTTTAGACAACCACCCATATCACCTTAGCAGCTTTTGCGTCTGCGAGTAGAGTTCCGCAAACACCGAGCAGCTACCCTATAGAAATGCTTGATGACCCTCTGTGCTTTGGCCCGACGTTGCTCCCGACAGTATATGTGAAGCCCGAACCTGAACCCTTACTCCTCGTACTCCCGTCGTACACGGAAGGATCTACTGTCCTTCCGAAGACCTTGAATGCCTAAACGCAATTAAGGCCTAAGGCGAAATCCCATTGATTCCCAAAAACAAGCCCGTCTCCCCAGAGTCCAACATACTCGTAGAGGGTGGGAGCGCTACTGATAGTATTTTCGTATCATCCGTATATACGTACTATACTACAATATACCACCCAAAATAGAATACTACTGTAATCAGAATCATTAAAGCAATTATAGACACCGATCGAATGTCTTAATATCCCTATATTAGGCCACTGTCTGAGGCCTCTATATGGGCGTTTCCGAAAATTAGGGGTACCTTCTGTGGGGGTCCTTATGATAAGGATCCTGCTATTTAGGGTACTGTACTAAAGTCCCATGATTTTCGGAAACTCCCAAAGGTGGTCGAAATTTCAGCAAATTAGCTGTTCGTTGGACTTTGCTTTTGCACCCCAAACCCTGAAGTCACACAGAAGGGTTCTAACACCAAAAGCTCGAAATCCTAGACTCTGTAGCGCCCTAAACCCTTACAGTAACCCAAGACCCCAAACCAGGAGCTTCAAATTTTAAGCTCCCTTAACCCAAGACCCTAAACCAGGATCTCTAAATCTTAGCTCCACAGCACCTGGATCCTCAGAAGACATTGGCTGGATCGGCGGCAAGTTCACGGGCGACAATAAGCCAGCAAAGGCGAACGTGACCTGATGGAATTGGCGTCTCTTTTGGGGCCTAGGAACCTCTTGAAGGGCTCCTTAAAGGGATCTATAGGTTCCTTAAAGGGATCTATGGGGTTTAGGGTTTTAGGGTCTACTTGGAGGGGCAGGGGACTTAGTAAGTACGCTATAAGTAGGGTTATAATTGGGGTAACTCCATATACCATCTTGATGTTAGGGAATTAAGCCCCGGGAGTCTGGGAAAACGGGCATCAAGTCCGACATCAACACCATCTTACACGGCAGCCGGAGGCTTCAATTTACCGCACCCCCTTAAGGCCCTAAACCCTAAACCCATAACCCTAAACTCCTAAATCCCTAAACCCCAAACCTAAACGGTCTAACTTAAGAGCTGAAGCTTAAAGCTGGACTTGGGTTTCTCGTAGCCCTCGAACGTGGAACTTCCAGACACCACGACTGAGGCTCCATGTACCTATATAGTGTATACTTAGGCCCTAAAGTACCTGTATAGGGACCCCTTTAAGGCTTAAGTATTTACTATAAAGGTACATGGAGCCTTTGGGCACGACTGAGGTCGCTCCTTCTGTGATTTCTCTCCACCTCGGCGCTGAGGGTGGGGACAGCGGTGCTGCCTGCTGGAAGAGGCGTGGTGGCGAGTTCTGCATGACAAGATGATTCCGAAAAAGCTTCAGGTAAAGGCAACATGCATTAAACATGTACAAGGAGACACCAGTACAAAGAACAACAGCATCAACGATTTTGGGAGCATTAATATCCTGATGTTTACTTGCACTAGCCGTTATTCTAATTGTAATTCTAACAGTTGTAACACTTGTAATTATGGTTGTTGCTGTTGCTGTTGTTGTCGTGCAACTAGAGCAACCGTAAAAATCGAATGTCATATAGTATGACTAGTAGCAACAGCAGTAAGCATGCCTCGTTCTGGGCGCGTCGGTTGTCGGATCTACGAGTGGATCCTGTCATCAGACCCGAATCCAAAACCTTGGTTGATTAAGCAGGGTTTAGGATTTAGGGTTGGGGGCCTTGCCATCTGGCACGTCAGCAGCATGGCGAAAGGGGAACTAGATTGATGAATATGCACTTATACTCTGTCCAATCAAGATGCCTAGAACCATACTACGCCCCCGGATTGTACATGCCGGTACAGCTTGGACCAGGAGCTAGGCACTAGCTGGTCGTTGCGCCTCAGCTTATCTTTGTCGCGAGACATGCCGTCGGAACAGTGACAGTTGCCGTGGCTCTCCTCCTGCTCATCGCCTCCTTCGTTGTCATCGTCGTGGTAGAGGTAACACCCGAAGAACAGTGCCGGGAGAATCGTAACGGTGGTATTAAACAAACTGCGAATTCAGCATCGCAGCTGGTGGTGCCAGTGGTCGAATTGGAGAAGGGTTATCGACAGGCTGAGAGTTTTACCGTCCCTCATCCTGAGGATGGCATGGAACGAATCCACACATTCTTGATATGATTTAAAAATGCACAAATAATCAAAAGATCTCGGTGAATGAAATGCCAGTCCTCAAGTAACCATCTCAAGAGGAATGTATGTGGATGTTAGGGCTGAGGAATATGCTACAACGAGTTACAACCTGGATTACCAAACCAGGCTACCCAAAGCCTTCTTATGACAATCGTCATTGATGGGTTCCATATCTTGAATCATGGTATGGAACACTCCCAAACTATATTCTGCAAACCAGGCATAATGCATTGAGTTTAAGGCCTGGAGTTTAGGTCTCCTTAAAGGGAACTCCAGAAAGTTGGAATATGGATTAATGGTAGGATCCCCGGTAATTTACCTTAAAGGGGTTACGATAATGATATTCCAACTTTCTGGCTTCTACTGGTAAAAGCCAGAAAGTTGGAATATGATTATCCTCACCCTTCTATGGTAAATTATAGGGTATCCTACCATGAAACCATATTCCAACTTTCTGGAGTTCCCTGTAATCCCTAAACCCCTAAACCCTAAGATCCCTTTAAGGAACCCCTTGGGATCCCTTTAAGGAGCCCTTTAAAGGAGCCCAAACCCTAAGGGCCCTAGGCTCATCCATGTCCAGGCTGATGGAGGAACATTGCTTGGACGGGAATGGCCGGCCGACTGAAGGAGCTGACAGGGACCCTTAATGGGGACCCCTACCCTATAATGGGGCTATATAATGGGTATATAATAGCTATATTAAGGGTATATACCTAGACGCTGCCTTTTCTCTTGCGCTTTCTTGATATTTCTGTAGCGCGAGCCTTTCCGTTGAGGAGCGTACATGCGTAGTTCAAACCTGCATGCATACTGGATTTTAAAAAACCGCTGTAAGAGTCAGTACACCTGTACACACATTTGAACTTATAACTGTGCTTACACCGCATAAGTCCACACATATGTTTCTGTAATCTTGTGACTACCATGCACACACAGGCACAGACAGATACGGATAGGTTGATACGTGTGTACACATTCAACATTCATTACTATTTCATTCTTTCCTTCATACTTGCCAGCATTCGCTCATTTATTCACTCATTCGTTGCTTGATTCATTCATACGCTCTTGCAGTACTGGGTGCACACAATCGCACATACCACAAGCTCCGACAATCGCTGTGAGCATCCGCATCGTTACACTTTAGTAGACTGACCCTCAACCTCTCAAGCCCTCGTTCTGAGCCCAAGCACCGGCACTCGCCTAGCCGACTGCAGCTGCCGCTATGCTACGACTACTACTACTACTACTACTACTACTACTACTACTACTACTACTACTACTACTACTACTACTACTACTACTACTACTACTACTACTACTACTACTACTACTACTACTACTACTACTACTACTACTACTACTACTACTACTACTACTACTACTACTACTACTACTACTACTACTACTACTACTACTACTACTACTACTACTACTACTACTACTACTACTACTACTACTACTACTACTACTACTACTACTACTACTACTACTACTACTACTTCTACTACTACTACTACTACTACTACTACTACTACTACTACTACTACTACTACTACTACTACTACTACTACTACTGACTACTACTACTCCTGCTGCTGCTACTACTACTACTACTACTACTACTTCTACTAGTACTGCTACACTTTTTCGAGCGACGACGACAACCACGACTGCTAACTACTACACTGTTGCTACGACACGAGTGCTGTTTCCACTGCGACTCCTGCTGCTTCTGGCCATACTAAATCTGCATGACTGGTCATGTAGCAGGAAGGCAGCCTTTAGCAAGCATGGCATACAAATCCCGATTCCTGATCCATCTCGACAATGTTCTTTGCACAGGACCGAAATACAGGGGCAGCTATGTCATCTCTCACCCACGGGCATAAGCTGTAAATGCAGCCCTGGCGAAGTCCCGAGGGCAGGGAAGCAGTTGTGACAGTTCGCAGTTACCAGCCATTTAATCGGCCCAAGCATTCTGCTTCTGTAGTATTTCGCATCTTGATCGTTCTCTACCGGAGATGCTTCGCATCATCTTCGCATTTATCGCAGTTGCTGCCGCAGAGGCCTCGTGCACCGGTGAGGCGTGCCCCTCTCGTGGAGACTTAGATGCCCAATACCTGGCCTTTAAACTCTTATAGTTTAGTAGGAATGGGAAAGTTTAACCTTGTATTCCTGTGGCTTATTGGTGTAGTAAGTAGTATAAAAGCCCCCAAGGCCCTATTCTAACAATTAAAGCCCCTATACTAAGCCCTTATAGTGTACAGCCCTTATAGTAACCTTATAGAGCCTGTTCAAAGGAGCCCTTTAAAGGAACCCTCGTCTACTTATTGAGGCCCCTACACTAACCCGTATAGAAGGCTTTCTGGGGTAGTACTTGGAGGATCATGGGACTTAGTAAGTAAGGTTATAAGGTCATTAATTGGGGCCATAAGTACTTACAAGTATAGTTACCTTATTTATAAGCCCACTTACTAACTCCCTGATCCTTCAACTAGACCCTAAACCCTAAACCCTATAGATCCCTTTAAGGAAACCCCCATAGATCCCTTTAAGGAGCCCCTTTAAAGGACCCCCCCCACTTACTAAGTCCCATGATCTTTTAAGGAGATGCCCTGCTCCAGCACCAAGTTGCCCATGAGAGGGTTCAGACCGGCGGCTATGAGCTCCTAGGTTCCTCTAAGGGTTCCTCTACTTGGAGGATCATGGGACTTAGTAAGTAGGGTTATATGTACCTTAATTGGGATTATAAGTAATTATAAGTATTGTTACCTTATTTATAACCCCACTTCCTAAGTCCCATGATCCTTTAAGTAAGGGTTCTTGTAAAGGTTCCATTATAAGGGATCTATTGGGTTTAGGGCTTCTGAGTAGTACCCTTTTGCCCTTTTTGTTTTAGGGCTCTCCTTATTTAAACCCAATAGTAGGAAAAAAGGGGGCTGCTCAACTCAGAAACCTAGGCTCGGAGGGGACAACACCCAAAGCTGCAGCTACCAGCGGGAGCGCCTCGATACCCCCGCGGAGTGCAGGGACGCAGCAGCGGTTCTCGGTCTTACCTATGGCTACACCGGCTCCTACAGCAGATGGCCACGATACTGCTTCACCTACCGTGACCTAGTCTACTTCAACGAGGACGCTAGGCAGATTTGAGACTTGCGTGTCACAGAAAGACGCAGAGTCCAGAAAGGTCATAAGGAGCCGGAAGGTTAAGTTCCACTTGTTAGGTCATGTTCGACCTATGGTCGCTCGTGACTTCTCACACACACACACATGTATGTATGTATGTATGTATGTATGTATGTATGTACGTATGTATGTATGTATGTATGTATGTATGTAACATACACACACATACATAGATAGATAGATAGATACAGTACCGGCTTAAAACCCCCTAAAACCCAGACCATACGTGCTAAAAACCCTAAACTCTGTACTATAAAACTCCAAACCCCGAAAGCTAAAACCCCCACCCTGAACCCCCAAACTGCTCACCCCAGAAAAGTGGCGCTTCGTGCGAGGGCGCGAGTCGAGATTCAAAAAATCTTATAACTCCTATACCTAAAACCCTACCAGACCCTGGAGGTTCATAGATCCTATACCTAAAACTCCATCAAACTCTAGAGGTTCATAGATCTGACACCCAAGACCCCGAACCTTACATCGAAGCTCATGCTAGGACGCGGTCAACTCCGCCGGTCGACACGATGCCCGTTTGGTCTGCAAGCGCGTGGAGCCCACAACAACCACCACCACGACCACCATCCTTTACGACAACGTGCCGGTTTAGGGTTTAGGGACCCTAAACCCTAAACCGGGGGCCTGGTCCCAGGTTTACAGTATTTAGAGGGTCATAGCCTACCCCTTTGGATAGGATACCTGGTCAGGATTCTTTAAACAGAAAAATCTCGAATGAAGGGGTGGTCCCTATAGGTGGGGTTCATAGGGTTTAGGGGTTAGAGTGGTTGTGCGTCTTTGGCATGCTTGGTTGGCCTTAACTTCATCGTTCTTTGGGCCCTGAGGTGGTGAGCTACGTGATCGGTGCCCCAGGCTTCGATTGTGCGGAAGGTCATGTGGTCGCCACGCACGGGGAGTGCGCAAGCAGTGAACTGATCACCCAGACTGGGATCCATTTCTCAAACTGGGCTTCCACAAACCAAATGCAGTTCGGCTGCTTGTACTCCAGTACCCTGCATGCTCTGTTCTTCAACTACTTCGAGGGCGGCAGCGTCGACTACGACTACTCTCCGGTTTGCAAGACCGAGACGAATCTTGGAGTTTGAAGTGGCTCTGAACCCTAAACCCTGAAACCCTAAGGACCTAACCTAAACCCTAAGCCCTACTAAACCTCTAACCGTAAACGTATAAAGGGCCCCAAAACCCTAATCTACTTCGAAGAGCCGCTATATTACTCTATAGGGTTTCGTAAAAAGGGTGCTGCAATAGGGTGTCTTTGAGGGCTCCTTTAAGAGTTCCTGTAAAGGAAGAGAATCTGAAGCCTGAAGCCCTATACTCCCCTAAACCGTATGCACTGCAACATGTTCTTAGATCCCCAAAACCTAACCTTGAAACTTTTCGGGTTCTTATAGTTTAGTAGGAATCGGAAAGTTAAACCTTGTATTTCTGTGGCTTATTGGGGTAGTAAGTGTATTCAGTCCCAAGGAACCCAATCGTTCGCCACTTCGACATGGGCGACTTCGACACCAACTCTTGTCGCCACGGGCAGCCCATTGATGATTCAGAACCTCGGCAGTACACTTTGGGATTGCCAGGCAGCCCGTAGATGATTCGGAGCTTCAGCATTTTGAGAAGTAGAAAATCCAGTGAGTCGCCTCTGTAAGAACATATAGGTTTCCCGGTTTTGGCTGTATGGGTGAAAGCCCCCCTGCACATCGAAGGAGCTTTGCCGAGAGTCTGCTGCGTCTTTTGGCGAGGTGGCTCAGTCCGAGGTCGGTAATGAATTATAAACCCGGCAACCCCTAAACCCCAGACCCCAAAGCATCCCTAAGTTTCATAAAGGCACCTGCTGGATTAATATAGGGGCCTTAATAGTTAGATAGGGTTTGGGGGCCCATTAGTTTATAATTCTAATAAGGAACCCCCAAAATAGCATTGAATATCATCAAAGCCCCTATAGTACTCAAACGGGCTGTAGCGAAATGCGAGAGAGGGATCCATTTTCTCGTCCTCTGATCTAGCCATGGTGCGGCGGCGTTCAACGAAGGGTTTCAAATTCAATCTCTAACCCCCAAAATAGTAGGAGTCATATAAGGAACCCTAAAAAAAGCCCAAGGTTTCTTAATCAGGTTCCTACATTAGTACCCGTTTGCTCTTTTTTACGTTTGGGTTACCTTATTGAAACTGGATATTGGCTAAACAGGGTACCATTATTATCTAGGCCGTACCCCGGAGCCTAGATTTTTATATCCAGTGTTTGGACGGCAAGTGTCCCCATGCATTGGAGTGCGCGTTTGTGGCAAGTTTTTATGCGGTTATGGCACGGAAGTATGAAAACATGAACCCGCATGCCACCAACTACTATACTGAGTTTGCAAGACCGAAACGCAAAACCCTAAGAGTTACTTGGTTTCTCTTCTGCGCCCAGGTATTCTCCACAAGCGGAAGCTATTCTGGCTACCCCATGGGCTGCTTCAAGTTTCTGAATGGTAACTCAGCAGTAGAATAGGGTTTAGGGCTAGGGTTCAGGGATGGTAACTAAGGTTATAGGCAACCCTTAACTTCTTTTGAGGTAGTAGAATCTATAAGGGAGTTTCCGCAAATTAGGGGCACCTTGTTTAGGGGTCCTTATAGTAAGGGTCCTACAATTTACGATTCTATATTCGGGTCTCCCATTTTCGGAAACTCCCATAAAGGGCGCCTTATTTAGGGGTCCTTATAGTAAGGATCCTACATTTTACGATGCTATATTCGGGTCTCCTATTTTCGGAAACTCCCATAAAGTGCTAAAACGAAAAGGTAAACCTTACGTTCGACCGGGCAGCTGGACAAGTAAGGCGACATCTACTTCAACAGACACGAGGGTAACCATCCAAGCCCCAATGCCGCGCCCATTTGCATCATGGGATGAGCCGGTCGGCTGTCTGCGATGTTATATTTTTCAAGCAGCCGTTCCAAGGGGTAAGGATGTGATGAGTCCGAACACTCATTACCCATCTACCACCCTGAAGTGAGTGTAGAGTTACCACTCCTGTTTCAAGAGCTGCGAAGTCCTTGTAGCAAAGGCATCTGACGTTCCCGCCTATTTCAAGATTCAAGAGCTGCGAAGCCCTGGCAGCACCGCATGCGGTCAACGCCCATCGGAGGGGTGGATCCAAGAAAAGTGTGTCCCCAGCGCTGAGATTTAGTAGCTGAGTAGGTAACCTTTAAGCTCTTGCGGTTTGTGTTATCCCACCATAATCGAAAACAGCCCCTAGGGACTTTGGGGTATATAAGGGGATATACGGGGCGAGGAATTCAGCCGTCCTTTCTCGAGCTTGTGTTGGACAGCCCCTTCAAGATTCTCAATGCGTCAGTGCGTCCTCCAAGTCCAAGCGTGCGGCCTTGTCTAGAAAGTAGCCAACAGCTTGGAGACAGGATCACCCCCTGACATAGTTTATTCTCGGTCCTCTATTGACCTTCCCTGGTTACTGTATAGGCAAGCACTAAACCTGAAAGGTTTGGTATGACTAACTACAGGACATTTCTACGGCAGCAGCACCCCGTTCTTCGCGGAGAGCACTGCGGGAAGGTATGTCGCTTGGCCTTGGTGTATGGACCAGGTTACCATTGACAGGTCCATTGACGCACACACACACACACACACACACACACACACACACACGCGCGCGCACGGTTCACGGGTTTAGGGTTCATAATCAGCTATCGAATCGGAGAGTTTCAAGGGTCCAGCATACAGGACCTCGCAAGTGCCGGAGTACCAAAGCTTTGGGCGTAGGGCCATCATACTTGACTAAAGACTAGCACCGACAAATAGGTAAACGAATAGCCCACAAAAGGCTGTTATTCAACGCCCCTTACAGGTCCAGGTAAACCCTAAGCAGCACGGTTAGCTTTCCCGGCGACAAATCGTGCCCTATGCCCTAAATCGATCACCACGATCTCGAAGCCTTGCCCAGAAAGCTCCGAAACTTCCCCGAGGTGCAATCATACATATGTACATAAGAATGTGCATGCTTACATACATACATACATACACATATACCTACTGTCACTCAAATACCTCTTACACATGTGTGTACATATATACTTATGTATGCATAAACACATGCTCACATATGTGTACTCGGTTCATCGTAGTTGTGTACAACGTCTACTTGTATGTATATGTATATGTTCGTTTGTATTTACAATCAAAGGTAGTCTAGGCATATATATATATACACATATATATTATATATGTATTCATCTGCATATTCAGCTATAGGTGGCCATGTACAACTACATTTAAGTATATTACGCTGTACATCGTTCTATAGGTTTTTACACTTTTGACGAATACAGATAATATACTTGCGTGTAGGTGTATAATTTCTGATATTTTTTGCTCTATGTACTTACATCCAACTGTAACATATGCAAACCTACATAGTTATATGCAATAAACCAGATATAAGTACAGAAATATCACTACCGTAACACGCCCTTATGTAATTTTAATGCTAAGTGCGACTTTAATGCTAAGATACAAAACTATGTACATACATATATGTACATATACATTTATATCTATGTACATACATGTACTAAATTGAGAAGAATTGCTTTATATGTTTACATAAGTCTATGGGTATGTATATATACATATTTGTGTGATCGTATATACAGTCATATACAGTTATTTGAGCATACTTTTGTGTGTAAACACATATTTATACACTCATATATATATATATATACAAAGAGAGAGAGAGAGAGAGAGAGAGAGAGAGAGAGAGAGAGAGAGAGAGAGAGAGAGAGAGAGAGAGAGAGAGAGAGAGAGAGAGAAGGGTATCTAGTTTGGTGTGCAGGTTTGTAGAAAACCTACAGGCCTGCGTATTCCTGGGGTAACCAAAAGATTTGGATAGCCCCCTTGGAGTTTTTAGGGTGCTCGTCGTGTATATATCGCTTCAGAAAAAATTTGCGTTGTTCTTGGCTTAGGATCCGGCCCTAGACCCCAAGCCTAAACCTGAAACCGTGAGCCCTAAACTATTAGGATCTGGCCGGCTGCACTTAGGTTCCAAGAGCGATTGTGGCGGGCTACGATGCGGACAGGCATGCCACCGTCGGGGTTTAAAATGGAAGCTTGCATGATTGGTCACATTGCTGGCTCCTTTTGGGGGTTTAGCGGTTCAGGCTGTGAAAGTTGATAAAACACTGTACAAGGCCCTCTATTCAGTTTTACTGCAGGGCTTAACTTGTGGTATTCCCTGAACCTTAGGCCCTTCAAGGCTTGGCTAACGATGCCTTTGTTGAGGGATCGCCAACATTTCAGCTGCAGGTGTTTGGCTTTTCTGCTTAAAGCCTGAACTCTAATCCCTAAACCTTGTTGTTGAGTCAAGCATTTATTGGGTTTACGGGCTGGTGGGCTTTTGCTTGCAACTTGGATCGGGGTGCCTTTTCAGATTGTGCGTTGAACAACACACCTCCGGCTTTGGTTCCATGGGGGCCTCTTTTTGCAACCCACCTTGGAATCCCTACGCCACTCAGTGCCACTCAGTGGGCATCTGGAGCAATGCAGTCGTAGAAAAGCGATCTACCCCACACCTTCAACTCCGAACTCTAAGCTCCCTTCTGTTTGCCGCTGCTTTTCAAACGGCGTCCTGTCCATCGTTGTGGTTGAGGGTCCGGGACGTGTCTGACGGATCAGGAGGACTTTGGGCGAAAGGATATACGTGTTGGGCTGTTCAGAGCCTTATTGTTGGGGTCATGCGCTCATAAGGTGCATCCTCTCCAAGGCACCAGGTTGGATGACTCAAATGAAGACCCGCGACCACCGGAGACTTGTCCTGAGCTTTGCTGGCGGTGTGCACCCTGCTTCGGAACAACGCCGTGTACCCAAACGCTGAAATACTGCCTTCGTCGTTAGTGCCTTGGTGCAGTCGTCGCCGTGGTTCTCGTCCGATTCGCAGGCTGAACTCTCTCGCAGCGACCGGGCAATTTGCGCCAACCTCCGTGCTAGTGTCTTGGCATGAAAGCAGTCTCTCTCGTCGGAACTGCTATATAAGTAAAGCCGCACACTCCTGCAGCAGTGATGCCCATTCTCTCACAGAAATCGTGCCTTCACACCCCCCCAAGATGAGCATTTAGGTTTTAGGGGTCAGGGTTGCAAGTCCTGTGTAGTTTTGCCCTGAATCTTGGAACCGTATTGTTTGTTGATGACAGAAAGCAACATTTACAAGATCCAACTCAGAGGAAGAAGTCGCCACCCTGGAGGGTTTAGGGCTTACGTGGAGTTTAGAGAGTTCGGTACAGACCAGACCCCATCAACACAAAGGTTGGTGGCAACGTGGGTTCCGAGTTCGCGAGTGGTGAGGATGACAACGGCTATAGGGAGGAGATCATGGAAGGTTCCTCTTTCGGGTGGTTTACGGTTAAGGGGGTGTTTTGTTTATTTTAATTTTAGGGTTAGAGTTGTTTGGGGTTTAGCCGTTGAAAGGCTTTTCTCTTAAGAAGGCTATGCGGGTTCAGAGGGGTTTTACGAAGGAGGGATGTTGCTAGTCCTATGGACATTTTAGAAGGCTCCGTCAGGGTTTCAAAGGATTTACAGAGAGCTACATGTAGTTCCTCTTGGTTTGCTACAACTACCTTCTTTTGTTGTTCGCGGACCTGATCCACAAAGAGATATGTCCCAAGCAAGTAACGCATTTAAGTGTTTACCCAGAGGCTCCATGGTGGTTCCTTTTTGGGATTACCTTATAGGATTCTAAATATGAACCCCAAAAAGGAACTACTATGGAGCCCTGCTCCCGTGCAACACCAGTGTTTAGGGTTTAGGATTTTGGGTTTTGGGTTTATGTCCTTTGCCCATATCGAAGCCGTTAAAACCCAGCCCTTGAGCTATGTGGGTAGTTCTGTAAATTAGGGCGTCTGTTTACGCCCCATACATATTACGACACCCTCATAAACAGATCGAACAGGACCCTACAAGGTAACCTAATCTGGAGAACTGCCAAGGGACCCAATATTTGGGTACTCGGTTTTAGGATAGTAGTTATGTATAGGTTATTATTTTGGAGAGTATATATGATAATTAGGTACTTGGACCCTTAAAACAAGCCTACTGGGCCAATATACATCCTAGAACCCAAGCTTTCCCCCTAAACCCTAAACCCTTACCCTAAACCCTAAACCCGAAAGCCTTTCCTTCAGGGACGCTCAGATCTAGGTCGCGAGGGCTACGCGTTAACATGTCATGAACTCCCCAAAATCTGGAGCTACCTGGACTCTAAAGAACCTACCTTTTTACTGGGTTCCCCTATTGTTATAGTTTCGTTTTATTGTAAGTCCCTAAAAGGTAGGGTTACTTGGGGTCAAGGTAAACCCTAAATTAAACGCTGGGAGATTAGACTTCGTGGGGTTTTGAGCTCCATGGCGGAATTGTTCATGAGGAGCTTACGGTTTAAGGTTTAGGGGTTTAGGGTTTAGGGATTAGAGGTCGGCTGAAGAGAAGTAGAACAGCAAAACCCCAAAGCACACATGAGTACGGAAATACGCATAGCTCTATAGGCTTCCTTATGATGACCTGGCTTGTGTCAGTCAGTAGGGTAAGGTAAACCCAACATTAACCTGCGGTATGCTAATGACAATGTCGGGTTCGCCGAGGCTCGAATCCGCACCCAGCGCTTGAAAACCAAAAGCCTTCACTAGCTACGGCTGATGATAAAAATCCTGCATTACCTTAATGGCCCTTAACTTTGGGATTTATGGTGTGTTCCTTATTATGGGTAATGCAGGATTTATACCATCAACCGTAGTACTCGTAGGGACTGCACAGCGTTAAGCCTGAAGCCCCAGTAATAGGCTTCGTAGGGTTTCCAATATATACCCTAAATCCTAGTTTAGGGTTTAACAACCGTATCAACACGGAAATAGCTCTTACTCCCAAATCCCTGAACTCTAAACTCCAAAGCAGCCCCAAGCCCTGCCAGGCATCCGCCAGCAGATGGAGAAAGCTGACTTCGTCGAGGGATTTCTGCTGACAAACGGTTCGGGCGAAGGCCCGTGAGCTTTCAGGTCAGGCAGGCATCGACAGACTTTTCTTAGGGCTCTTGCGGGGTAGGGCAGAGGGTTTAGGGGAAGGGTTTCTGGTCTGCTGTTTAGGGTTGGCGTTGAGAAAGGCCTGAGACGATCTGAACCTCTTGGAACCTAGAATAGGGCGCCTTGTGCTGGTGTTCGTCAAGTACTAAACGCGTCAGGTTTTGCAGGGCATACCCCTAAAGACTCGATTTCGTAGTTAAGGGGTGAGTTGTTGTTTAGCCGGTTGCCTCGACAAAGGGCGTTACCGGTTCATGATGTAGCTCTTTGGTCCTTCGGCGCAGGCAGTGCAGCTGGTTCTGTTAGTGCATTCTTACAGGAAAATAAGAGAGAGAGAGAGAGAGAGACTCAGAGAGAGAGAGAGAGAGAGAGACAGACAGAAACAGTGCCGGACCTGCGTACATCTCTCTCTCTCTCTCTCTCTCTCTCTCTCTCTCTCTCTCTCTCTCTCTCTCTCTCTGTACACATATATATATATATATATACATGTATCTACACACACACACAGAGGCCCTAAACCCTATAGAGCCCTAAATCTTCGGCAGGTTTGGCCACGAGCGGAATGGCCAGCAAGCTTTTAGCAGACCTCAGCTGCTCGCCAGGGCCCAAGTTGCCACTGCCACCTGTAGCCCATATATATATATATATATGTATATATATGTATATATATATATATGTGTATATATATATATAAAATATATATATATATATATATATATATATATATATGCATATCTATATATAGTTGTTTATATGTATAAAGATGTGTAGAGTTTAGGATTTAGAGTAGGCGCCTAAATAATGATATTATTCATTATGCTTCTTAGTACAGTTATACTATAATAAAGGAGCCCGAAACCCTATTGTTGTTATTAAGACCTCTAAATTTCCGAGGGTTTAGTTTTTAGCAGTCACCATTAACCTCTCAACCACCCTCTATCAAAGACCATAAAGGTTTCTATTCAAGGGCACTTGGCGCTTGCGGCAGGGCTTTCGGTTTAGGGTTATACCTCTGACTCACACCCTGACTATCCGTAGTCTGCTGTTGTGTTGATCCGTGCCCTCGGAACAGAGTGCTGCAGGGAGTTGCCTACATCTTCAGCTTTGCCATACAAGGAAGCTACCTCAAAGGTTTCATGAAATGGGACTTTCCGAAAATGGGGGTACCTTATTTTGGGGTCCTTACAATGAGGATCCTACTATGTCGGGTATTATATTAGGGTCCCCTATTTTCGGAAACACCCAAGTACTACTTGAGGGGGGGGGCTTCCAGGTTCCAAGGTCTCAGGGCTTAGGCTCAAGGGGAAAACCTGGGTTCTATGAGGGTTGACTTGAGGGTGTACCTAGAGGCTCATATCCGACCCTTTTTTAGGATACCTAGTTTTATGGTAGTAGAAGACACCCTTAAAAAGGGGGTAGGGTATGAGCCTCTAGTTACACCTTAGGGAAACTCCCAAGACTTCTCCGCCTTGAGTCAGAATTGTAGCTCCCGATGAGCCATCCGCTGAGCCCCATAAGCTTAAACGTGCCTGAAGTCTGCCCTAGATCCCCAATGGTGAAGTCCTAATGTTGAGCAGGTCGTAGCATGCTGTGAAAGCGTGAAATGCGAAATGCATCTTGTATTCATGGTACAGGACCCGTGTTTTTTTTACGGGACTTTCCAAATTCGGAAGTCTGCACCACTGCCAAGGTATGGGAAGCAAGCAAAGATGACCTTCACGTGCACACCCGATCTGCAGGACCGGGCTCCACCGAAAAATGTGTCGAGTTGGGCGTACACGAACCATGTCGGGATAAGAACCCAGACTTACAAGGACATACAGTCCCCTGGCATAGTAAGAACCCAGACGTTTAGTCCCCTGAATAATATACATGAAAGCCGAAGTTCTTGGAGTGTAGAGTGAATTCAGAAGAGGCCTTCTCGAGCTTTCAGCCTTCCCGCCCAAGTCTCGTGACAGCTTAATCCCAAAGCCCGAAATGGCAACACTTCAAGAGGAACGTAATTCGTAAAGATACCGCTTGTTATTTGAATGATATTCGCGGCACTACGCCCTCACCCCATAGGCTCCGTGTGTTTTAATATGGACAGCAACACTAAACCCTAAACCGGCATCTGACCATGTTAGTGGTAACCCTAAACCCAAAACCCTAATTTTCAATGATATATAATAGCACCGCTCGAGCCAGGGGGAGAAGATGCCTCTCGTGAGCTCGGCGCTGCTTTGCCCATCGCTTCTGGAGTTTACGGAACTCGCGGCTCGGACTTGTTCAAGAAAACTGCGGAATTTAGGGGTCCTTCAGAAGTAGAATATGGTTGGGGGTTATATAACAGTATAGTATAGCTTTCAGCGAACGATGGAAGCGGCGTAGTCTAGGGGTCCTTATAAGAAGTAGAACAGGGTTTTGGGGTATATAACAGTATAGTATAGCTGTAAGGGAACGAGAAGCCGATCTGACCAGAAATTTGTCCGACCTCAATGTCATCCAGGTGCTTCGATCAGGGTGTTTGGGCTAGAGGGCTTTCCAGGGATATTGTGGCATGTTTTAGCGGGATGCACCATGGCTTGTCGGGGTTTTACAGGGTGTGGAGAGACCCCAATGCCGCTTTAGCAAGGAGTTCCAGGTTTTGTTTGAAGCATAACCTTATGAGAATTATGGGAGGTCTTGTGTGCTCTACCCCAGGAGAGCTCTCGACTTCAAACCTAAACCCTGAGATCCCGACAATTTTTTACTATAATATCCCATGGCTATGTACCTTAACTATCGATGTTTTTTTTGTTTTTGTTTTTTTGGGGTGGGGGCGGGGGGCAGGGCATTGGCGTTGTAGGGTGAAGTGGAACAGTCGCCTCGGCAGGTCAACTTCTACGACCTTGCCGCGCTGCATGCGGCCATGAAGCCATCTGCTCCTTTGGCATTCATGAGGGGGTACCTATAGGGGCCTAAATAATTAGCTATACCATTTTGGGGGGGTTCCTTATTATAAGTATGGGATATGGGCTCCACCTACAGCCCCTATGGTAAAGTGTAGGGTTTTGCAGGGCTCTCCAGCTTTGATGATATCACGCCCTGTCAAGAAACGGGGAGGGCTTCAGTCTAAACACTGATAAGTAGGATCCCTAAACCCTAAACCCTAAACCCGAAATGAAGGTAAAGGCTGAAATAGTCGAAACCCGATGCGCTGTCGGGCCTCATTGTTAGGACCGTTTGTTGAACTTTTTGTTCCACCTTCTGGTGGTGTTCTTGTGTAGGAGTGTCGGCTGGTTAACCCCAGAACCTTTGTAAATCCCTTACCCAGAGGGCCAACCAGACCAATTACCATTATGGCAATAGGCGCCCTAAGACCACTCTAATCATGGTTTTGGGGGATGTAACGCTGTGTGTGGGGGCGGGGGCTTCTTGGTTATCGGTCAGTTACGTATGTATAAGGAACCTTTATATAATTGAAACCTGACACAGACCAGGAATCCTTGGGCGATGAGTTGGCTTTCAGACGACTTAAATCCACAATGCAGTATGATGAATCGGGAGATGTTAATCAAAGCTATAACGACAGTCATTCTATGAAGATAACACACCCTAGGACTCCAGCTGCTTGAATAGTAGGTTACTGGGGTACGTAGTATATGGCTAGTTACCTACTATTTAGGTAAGTGGAGCCCTCGACAAAGATGTCAGTTCACAACAATCCTAACAACACTTGGATGTTGGTAGTGAGTAACAACAATTAGGACAGGGTTTCGGGCAGCTCGATGAGGATATGCAGAGGCCCCCACAGTTTCAGCTTTCACTAAGCCCCATGACCCTCTAAGTATGGTTTAGGGCTTGGGCTTTAGGGTTCAAGGATCTGGGTTTAGGGTTTGGGGGTTGCGCGGGTAAGGGTTTTCATCATGAACTAGCAAGTTGAGGCTCACTTCATTTGAGGACTGTCATATCCGAACCTCAACCATTATGAAGCTTTTTAGGGGAGTGGGTCTGGGAATCAGGCAGACCGCGTGAATGCTAATCCGCTGAAAAAATCTTTGAACCCGTCGCCCTGAACCCTGATTCAGATTCAGTTTGTCACCATGCGCCTGCGCCATCTTTCTCATTTCCTTTGCCCCCAAGCCCTCCCTACATGCAGACTCCAAGACAAGTCTCGATTTTATGAGATCAGGGTTATGATTTTCTTTTCTTCTTCCCCGATTTTTTGGTGGGGCTAGAGGTTAATTAGCCCCATAAGCCCGAGAGTTGGCACTGAAAGGAACAGCCCTTGGGTGTGCTGGCCCGAGTCTTCAGATGCCCGGCATGAAGAAAGGGTAGGGTTGGTCTTGAGCCCGTTTCAGGGTTTGGAGTTTGATTTCAGTGTATGTAGGTTGTCTTTAGGGTGTATTTTTCATGCGTATGCATTTGCGAGCTGTTGAGACTGTATTATACGGCTTTGAGTGGTCTTGCAAGTGTTTTCGCAGGGCTTTGTGCATCTTGCATGGCCTCTTTGTTTTTGGGGTGGCCCCTTAAAATCTAAGCCCGTTGTTAGCGTTTAGGGACCACCCACGTTTAGGCATCTGTAGCACCTAGCCTTGCCGCAACCTAAAAATGCCGACGCTGTACCTGTGGCTCGGAACACCTGCTAGTTGTAGGGCCGTACCCTTTCATGAAGGGTCCTAACTACCATAGATTCATACCCTTACACCCAGACTGAAGCCGTGGCTGCACAAAGCCTCCCACACAACCCCCAGGGTAATATCCATAAGCCGCATCACTGGCCCTCCCTAAGCCCTAAATTCCTCAATCCTGCTTACTCACTTCAATCCACAGCCGACATTGCAAGGCCTCGCGAATGCTTCTTCAGTATAGAACTAACAATATCATGAGAGCAATAGTGATAGTATCCCTCGTAGTAGAGTAGGTAACCTTTAACCTTTTTTGGGTGGTATAGTCCCTATATAACCACAAAGGTTAACCTTTAGTTCTGCATGATACCCAGCAGTAGGACTCTTAAAGCTATAGCTTCGACTCGCAAGCCCTGTCAGCTACAGTCATGACCCGGAACAGGGACGGAAGCAGCGACACCAAAGCCCTTTCATCAAGGACGATGAGCTCTAGAACCCTGAGCCCATATAACACCCTGAAGTCGATCCCCGTATACATCCCCAATCCCAGAACTCTTAAACCCGTTTCATCCCGAACCCTTCAATTCCGAGGTGGCATGACGGGCCCGATGCGCTTTGGGAGGCCACTTTGCAGCTTTCCGAGCTTGGTTTCTAGTCTGGGCTTTGGAGTACCATAATTTTTTCTTAGTGGAACCATTATGAAATAAAAGTTTATACTTTTTTCTCCCTGGTTACTTAAAAGCCCAGTAGTCTCTCACGTTGAATTCCCCGTTCAGCATTTGTTGGTGCACCACATTCGCAGGCCAGCTGCAATTGCACGTGCAGACTCGCTGCTTCTGGGGTTTATGCATAAACAAGCCCCTACATGTTTAGTGTCAAAAAAAGGTTACAGGGTCCTACAATTCTAATCGACCAAGAAGGGTTCCAACCGATAACCCTCGACCTTGCCCTCAACCTCAAAATCACTGCATTTCCGATGTGTCTTCGAAGGTCAGTCTCAGCTTACCAGGGCTCTCGCCTGGCCTCTTTGAACGCCATCCAGGCACACCGTGTTCAGGGTTTAATTAGGGCTTTAGGGTTTGAGGTTTAGGGTTTAGGCTAGAACCCGAAGCACCCAAAGCATTGTTGAACGCATTTAATAAAGTGAGAAGCCGAGCCCTGAGAAAGCCTTTCACGAACACACTCTGAGGGGTTTTAGGGTTCGCCTTTTCCCATGCATCAGCCCGGTTCCAGTTGTCGATATCGTTTCTGGTAATGCCAACGCAGTTCCTTACGAAGAGCAGACACAAACCCTTATACAACCCCTATAAACCATGCGAAAGCCATGCAGAACTCTACATCAGTTTATTAAGACGCATGGTCCGCTAGATCAGGTCAACCTCGTCTGCTACCCTCGAATACACTTTGCTCTGCCGGGTATTGCCTGTGCGCTCTGGCCAGCAAACCGCTGGGGGTTCAGGGTTGCGGCGCTTGGCTGCCTTGTCCGGAACTTCTATCCTTAGGCTGCAAAGTAGTCCCTTTTTGGGATTACCTTATAGGATGCTAAATATAATCCGCAGAAAGGAACCACTATGGAGCCATGGAGCCTATGGGTAGAGCACCCTAAACCCTAAACCCCAACAGGCCTGGATAGTGCGGGAGTTACTACCTTAATAATTGCCTATACTATTTTGAGGGTTCCTTATTATAAGTACCTTAATCCTTAAGGACTTATATAAAGAAATCAGATCAAGGAACCCTAAAAAGGCAGGTTCCTTAGGGTCCAGGTATAGTATAACGGGCCCAAAACCCTTTTCCCTATTCTCAGGTTTAAGGCCCCTATAATTACTATAGTACCCTTATAGATCCCTTTTAGTAGCCCTTATAGACCCCCTTTTAAAGGAACCCTATTTCTGCTTATTAAGGCCCCTATTCTCATGTCTAAGGCTCCTATATGACTCAACCATGGGTGTAGGAATCCAGATGAGGAGCCTCTCCTCTGGGCTCATGTTCATGGGCCTAAATTTAGGGCCTAGGGTCCCTTTAAAGGGATCTATAAGTGTTCCTTTAAGGGCGCTATAAGGGTTTAGGAGTTAAGGAATTTAGTTTAACTTAGATCCCCAATACCCAACCTTTAAACTTCTTGGGTCTTATGGTTGAGTAGGAATCGGAAAGTTTAAGCTTCTATTTCTGTGGCTTATTGGGGTAGCAAGAAATGCTAAGCTGCTGGTGAGGCGACCTTCTGCCTCTTTGGGACATACTTACCACAAGTTTGACAGATTCAGGTTTTTTGGGCTAGGATACTCAGCGCGCCAGATTGTCTTTTCTCGGCATCAGCACGAAGTAGGAGCGGTAGCTCAACAAAGTCCCAGACAACTAGCCTTAAACGCTGAATCCTCCTTTGATTCAGGCCCTTAGTATGAGAGTCCAAATCACGAGACCCTGCAATCAACAACGGAAGCCCAAGCCCTCAAACCCAAACCCCTAAACTCCCAGACGACTGAACCCAAAACAAAAATCCCTGAGGCGGAATCTCCCTGCGACGACCCGTTCTGGCAATTACTGTCCTCATGCCTCAAAAGCAAATCACAGGGCATACGAGCATGAATTATCTCTGTTTCTGTTGTTCATAGCTCTACGCTGTGTGGTTTGGGGTTTTAGTTTTCTCTTGACAACTTCAAGGAGTATACCCTAAACCCTATTCCGGGTTTAGGTTTTTTTTTAGGGTTTTGGGTTGTGGAATTGTCATCTGCTCAGGGCAGCAGCGAGGATGGTGGCTATGGCGCTGCAGCAAAGGCACTGACGGCTCCTCTGTGCAGTGTCGAGCGGCTCTGCCGGCATCCACGGATGTTGTGGATTCAATTATCCAGGATTCCTGGGTCCGGTGGTGTTCCTTTAAGGATTCCTGGGTCCGGCGGCTGCTCTTTAATGCTTCGTGGGTCTGGGGGGGTATTGGCTTCAGGTTTGTGGGCTGAAGACTTGGCGTGAAGTGAGAGCCTTGACTAAATGGGCAAAGGAGATTAGGAAGGCACAGTGCTGAATAAAGGTGGCTCCCCGTGCCTTACGTGAGGTTATGGGTGCCTTAATTCGGATCATAAGGTAACTAGAAGTATTATATTATAGAGTTACCTTACCTGCATCCTTATTTCCTAAGTTTCGTGATCCTCCAAGTAGTACATTGCCAGGTCCTAGTAGTAGAGTAGGTAACCTTGAACTTTTTTTTGGGTAGTATAGTCCCTATACAATCCCTGTATAACCAAAAAAGTTACATAACCTTTAGTTCCCCATGATACCCGACAAGTTTAGGGTACCTTGCCAAGAAGAAGCAGAGGGCGCTCAGACGCCGCAGCACCTCGGGGGCTGTATTCCTGAGGAGCACTGATAGGTGTGCGTAGGATCATCTGTGTTGTCACATGGGCTTGATGCAGCGGCGAAAAAAGAGGGTGATGTGCGTTACGCAGTTCCTGGTCGCGGTCAGGACAAAGTCAATGGTCCGTTCGAGAAGAACTGCATGGCGCTCAGTCCGAACGGCTACATGAACACCGAACTGGCCGAAGGTGACTTGGAGTGTGTGCTAGCAAAGTTCTGCAGCTACAGCCTGCAGTTGTGAGTTTTGAAATACGCGTATGCAACAAGTGTCAGGCGACTTGGACGGCGATGAGAACGAGCTCATAAAGCAGAAAGAAATGGTGAAATTCCTAATTTTCACGCAGAAGTTTGTCGATAAGCGAAACTGGGAGACCAGGCTTTTTCTAGGCGGTGCTAGTGTGCCAGAATCCTTTTTTGCTCAGCAGGAGATCAAAGAAGAGGCGCTCGCAAACTTGACGCAGGTTCACACTAAGTGGCCCCCGAGTCAGAGCCGCAGCGGTTTGACTGCAACTATCTTGGATTTTGAGGTTGGTTGGTGGGAAAGAACAAGAACTCAGCAAGTCTGACATTAGGTCTGATGTTCGAGCGCTTCTCACTGGCCCTGGAGAGCCGGTCTGCTCGTGGCCTTGTGTCGAACATGAGCTTCCAGGCCACGACGTATGCACTGATGAACAAGGAGAGCTCTTGGGTGTGACTCGGTGTGACTTGTCTTGTGAGTGGTTTGTGTCTGTGACGTTTGTCACGCCAGGACGACAAGGTGGCTACCAAGACTGCCCTCATTATGCAGGCCCTTGCGCGCAAAGCAGCGGGTTTTGAAGTGAGAGTGGCTTTTGTGGTTACGTGCTTTAGGAGTTCCAGCAGCTGGTGCGAATCGTTAAGGTCACAGACTGTCCGAAGATCTACCCAGTCAAGGCCTACCTGGAGCACTGCAGGGATATGTGCAATGCGCCGGGGGCCGACGACACTCTCCCAGTCTACATGGTCGGGGGCTTAGCGCTGTCTCACTGTCCGGTTGTGCTCTGGGGGCATGGCTTAGTCCAGGTGGAGAGTTTGCTGGCGAGCCAGTTTAGCACGGCAGCCCTCTGCTTCAACCAGGACGCAGCCAAGAAACGGTTCGCTGCTGGGCGTGCGTGCAGAGTTTGTTCATTACGGCTGCGTTCCACGGGCGTTTGTTTTTTAGCTTGCGCCCAGGCTGAAGTGGCAACGAAGATGGGGCTCGTAACCAGGGGGCAGGTCTGGTTCCCAAGACAGAAAATCGTCTTGGGGCCAGACTGTGCCTGCCATGTCCTCGACATCTTGCGCAAGACCAGGCGTGCTGTGTTCTCGTGTGTTTGCGTGGGTGCTGTGAGAGTTCGTGTGTTTTTCCTTGTTCATGTTGCGTTTGGTTCTTCTTTCTTTTGCTTCTCTTTCTGGCTTTGCCCTCGCAGGTTTATAGGATTTAGGGGTTTAGGGCTTAGGGTAGACCCAAAGACCCTAAACGCCCCCAGAATGTGGGTAGCTGTAAAAATTATAGTCCCTTTTTGGGTGCCCTAAAAATTAGGTGCCGTAGTATATTAGGGACCCAAAGACCCTAAAAACCCCCAAACATGTAAACATTGAACCCTATACTACCCTAAACACCTAAAGCACTGATTAAGCCTGTAGTCGACAGTGAAGGCAGTAACATAACACAAGAGTAACCAGAAAAAAAATGTGTATATATACACACACGTATGTTTCATTGTTTAACTTGTGTTTATAGTTACAAAACCATATGAAGAATGGGTGAAACAACCGAGGCAGCGCAAGAGCATCGCTTTCGCCCTGATGGGCCGCGGTGCCGAGCAGTCCTGCCTGATTTCCCGGGCAGCCACGCGGCAGAGCCTTAACAAATCTTCTGCCTCAAAGGGTTTCTTCAAGGCTTCCCGCAAAGGGTTCCGTTATAAAGGCTTCAATTCTTTCGAGGGAGGGTTACTATAAGGTTTCCGTGAAGGCTTCCTACCAGGGTTCTAGAGGGATGCTTCGTGTTTCAGGCCCCTTGTTTTGGGGTGTCTATGAAGCAGCATCAGGGTATTACGGGGGCTTAGGGGTATGTGCAGGCTAGGATTGAGGGCTTAGTAGTTTAGGAACGCGGACTCGTGAAAGACACTGGGCCTCAATGTATGACGCTCGGCTCGACCCTGATATAGAGTGATGCGGGTACCCAGAGAGCCTTCCATCCAGGAACTCGCAAAATTTTATATCCGGCGCTATTGGGGTACATGCTGCAGTCCTTCGAAATTCTACAACTCCATGTACTATAAGTGCTATGTACGTATATATGGCTTTATACTGATGCCGGAGTGTCTAACGGAAGGCGGTTTAGGGTTTAGGGCCTGCACGCCGGAGATCGTACGTGCTAGTAGCACGGCTGAGGCTGCATACAAGCTGAGCAAGGAGTGCGACTTCGTGGCCCGGTTCGATTACTGCTATTGCGAGCAATTTCCTAGTACCTACTAGTAGGGTAGGCAACCTTTACCCTGTTTTGGGTAGGATAGTTCCTCTATAACCCCATGATACCCGACAAGTAGGGTTTGGGCACTGTCTCAAGATTCGATAGTTTCGCCTTTTATGTTTAGGGCTCGAGGAACCCAAGCCTCTAAATATCCATTACACTCCCCTCTTAACCTGAATCCTAAACCCTTAACTGTACACCTGGAGCACTTGATACCCAACAGGCCTCTCAGCATGCGTTTCAAAACTGCGGCTTCAGCGTGACTTACTCTACGGCTCTAAGGACTCATATGTTAAGGCTTTTGGTTCCAAAGACCATACCATAAAAGGCTTTTGGGCTATTTTGAGCCTTGGGGTTAGAAAAGCCAGGATGCGCCCTAAACCCTAAGCCGTTCAGGGTTTTGCGAACTCGATGACTGGTAATTTAGGGGCTTAGGGTTCTGGGGTTTGCTATACTATACATATATTAAAGGAACCACCAACATACGATATGTAACTATTAAGGGCCCTATTCTAAACCCTTACAGTAGCCCTTATGGTAGCCCTTATAGACCCTTTAGAAGGAACCCCTAATTCTCATTGTTAAGGCCCTTATAGTATACTCAGGCCAGGTGATCCCAGCACCTTCTGTTTTTTTCTTTTTTTCCTAACGGTCCAGCGGTCCTGGGATTTATGATTTAAAACCTTAAACTATGACCCAGAGTAAATGCATGTAAGCCCTTATTCACTTTTTTAGGGGTTCAGGTTCCCTAATATACACACCTTTTTCAATCAAAGAAGCACCCTTTTGATGCCTAGGTTACTCTTAGGTCTAGTAAAGCCTTTAACCGGAAATTCTCCAAACTCCAAAGCCCCTGCAGTAGAATGCCAAAAGCTGGAAACCCAATACCCTCAATCCCTAAGAGTAATTTTTAGGGAATCCCAGCACGACTTGTCCTTGATCTGGTTTCCAACTTTCTGGGGTTTACTGGCAAGCCGTGGAGTTTTCAGAAGTTGATATGGGAGTTTCAAAAAATAGGGGACCCTAATATGGTACCCTAGATAGAGGGCTCCTTATCAAAAGGACCCCAAGACAAGGTACCCTTAATTTTCGGAAATTCCCATATTGCATAGCAGGGCTCATGTCAGGCGATCTCAAGTCCAATCATCTTCAACACCCTTTCGGCTTTAGGGGTTTGGGTTTTAGGTACCTCGGACGCTTCCCCCCAAAAATCTCTGAGAGGCCTGAGATCTTACAGAGAGAGTCAGGGGCACTGAAGCCCTGAAACGCCGAATCTTCCCTCAAACCCTATATGAGTGGGTTCCGAACACCCCTTTTGTTAAGGTATTTGGGGTTCGGGTTTTGAGCTTAGGGGGATTTAGGGGTTTAGGGTTTAGGGAGTGAGGAGTCTAGGCTTCGACGATGACCGAGGTCGACTATTGCCCAACAGGGTTTGCCATCAGCACCTTCAAGGCACCTTGTGGAGTTTCATACCGGCGCCGTCTGAGTCTGACATGAATGTTTACGGCTTACCTGGATCTTAGGGGTACTTAGAAATAATTTTTGATTTTTGGTTATTACAATCCCTAAGAAACAGCAAAAATTATGATTTTTCTAGGGTTCTAAGTCCAGTATAGAGGATCCCAAGAGACCTACATGTGCAGAGTTCCTTAATTCCAAGGGTAAAAGGAGGGACCCTTAATAAGGACCCCTAGGTATATACCCTCAATATATCTATTATATACACATTATATAGCCCATTATAGGGTAGGGGTCCCCATTAAGGGTCCCTCCTTTTCCCCTTGTGATAAATTGCTGAAATGTCCTTTTCATACGTATCTTGGGGGTTGCGGTAGGCTACTTGTAGTAGAGCTGTGGATCTTTCGGACTTTACACTGTAAGTTCTTGGCGTTTGGGACTGCCGGGTTTCATGGCTTTGGCTTGCTTAGGGCCTTCCCGTCGGGCTCCGACGGCAATTTTCGGCCCTGGGTGCTTTCAATGTAGGCCACGCAGTACCATTCATCGCTGGCGCGAAACCCCACCTACCTAAACCCTAAACCTTAAACCCTACTATCAATCGTGCGGCTTCGGGGCCCAAACCTCAAACCCATGTACCCTCTAGCTGACCTTATAAAACCGCCTCAGGTCCCCGCATGCCACAGCCCTTATGGACCCTTCTACCCCGAAGGTTTAAGTTAAGGGTTCCGTAGGTGTCCTACAAGGTACTATATGGTGCTATACGGGTTCTGGAAAGGTACCGCGACTAGACGTGTACTAGAAGTGAGTAGGTTGAATACCAAAAAATCTTACGCTGCCCTGAGACCCTCGATCCGGCATCCCTAACCCTAAACCCAAACCCGATAAGCCTTGAGCAGGAAGTGTCAAGTATCCCAGATCCTTTAAAAAGCCCGAACCTCCACAACACTGAAGCCCGTGAACTTGCATCCCCAAGCCCTTGAACCCGGAATCACTACGCAACCAGAGAGGCCTGAATCATATAGTGCCCATGATCGTACTACCCAGACGACCGTCCAAAATCCCTTAATTAAGGAATATACCTTAAATTATAATAGGATCCCTAATATGAATTAAGGTATATTCCCTAATTAAGGGATTTTGGAAGGTCTTGGTACAGTACACCCTACCCCAAAGCGTTTCTGTTTCACGCTCCTATATCAAACTCTCTCAGACAAACCGTGCCCAGGAGCCTATAACAGCAAGCTTTAGAAACCGACAAGCCCAACTCTAGTTCCTAATTCAAGCACAGAACCATCCGGACCCAAAAGCCATCCCTATAAACCATAATCCCTAAACCCCTAAACCCTAAACCCTGAACCCTAATCATTGAACCCAAAACTTCAGGACGAGAAGAGCACGGAGGCCGAAATCACGGCCCTTCACAACACCACGGCCGTGGGCCAGGCATGCGATCCTTTTAGTTTTTCGTTTGAGCGCCATAGGTTTCGGGTTCGGGTTATGAGTAAGTTATGAGTTCTTGCGATCTCGGTTTTTGTTGACACTTGAGAGTAAATAAGGAATGCATTGTGGTAGTACTTCGAAGAACATTGTACATTCGGTCCTGCCCCCACTCTGTAACAGTAGGATAGTATTGCAGACATAATTCTACATGGGAGTTTCAGAAAATAGGGACCCTCATATAGTACCCTAACTAGTAGGATCCTTCTTATAAGGACCCCAGAATAAGCCAGCCTTAGTTTTCGGAAACCCCCACATAGCCCTTATTTCGACTATTTACCGTCGCCTGTTGCAGCGAGGGGGCTAGACCCAAACCATACGGGTCGAAAATCGTGTACCGATGCCGATCCCCTAGCTTCTTTCCCAGGTAGAATTAGCCCAGAGATGCCAATATCCCCTAGTTTAAGGAATATACCTTGAATTAGATTATAGTAGGATCCCTAATGTGATTTGAGGAATATTCCTTAATAAAGGGATATTGGAGTCTCTGGGAGGGAGATCCCTTAACGGAGACCCTTTCTTAACCCTGCTTCCTGCTCTCTGAGAAGGGGATCATTAAGAGGGTCTTTATACCCCGGGGTCCCCATTAATCTTGACTGCTACCCTATAAGTAGCAAGCCGAGGGCTGAACCGCGTCGTGGCATGCGCTGGGCGGTACCTAGAGTATGCAAGGTACGTTAAAAAGTGTAAACTTGCCCACTTTTGAGGGTCACATCCATTTTTTGAAGGTACACTGGCCACTCTACGTGGATTCAATGAAGATCATTTGGAGCAGCTGTTGGTTTCGACCCTGCTGCTTCTTACAACTTCCCAAGCCCTACAAAGAGCCCTGAAAACTTCAGTCCTGAGACCCAAAAACCCTGAAACCCTAATACCGAACGAACTACAGAGCCTGTTTACATCACCATGTGGACTGCATTTCAGAGTTTAGGGGTGTAAGGGTTTACCTTGACCCCAAATTAGCCTACCTCTTTTAAGGACTTATATAAGGAACTCATAGTGAGGAGCCCTAAAAAGGTAGGTTCTTTAGGATCCAGATAGGGTTTATTACAGAGTTCAGCTGGAGCCTCGGAGTTGTTCAGGAGCCCTCTCTACTTAAAGCATCATGGGGCTTAGTAACTGGGGTTATAGTTAGGTTAACTATACTTATAACTACTTAAAACCCCAGTTAAGGTTCTTATAACCTTACTTTCTAAGTCCCATGGTCCTCCAAGTACAGCCGACGCAGGTCTTTCAGAAGATGCTTCATGACGGCTTAGTGGCCAGGTGGCATGTTCGGAGCGGACCCGGTCCTCTCTCTCTCTCTCTCTCGCTCCTTGTTTCTGCGTGCTTTGCAATCAATCAAGTTTCTGGGAAAGTGCAGAAAAGACAGGTTTGCTTTTGTTTCGTGAACGTCTGCCAAGACCCCAGTTACAGCCTAAACCAGACGAAACCTGTTAAAGTCTGTTGTAAGTCATAAGAGATGAGCCCGTCTACTTAGGATCACCGTAACACTATTAATTTCCTAAGTCTATGCGCCTAAACCTAGAGGACTCCAAACCCTATAGCCCCAAAAGTCCGAGGATGGCTACAAGTCACCAGACTACAATGCAGAGCGCCTTGCTTGCACTAATCCTTCAGCTTCTGAGGGGGGGTGCAAGACCATGGTAGCTACCGGTGCACATCCTTTCGCCTGTTGGAGTGTGTGTGTGTGTATATATATATGTATATATATATATACACATAACGCTACCAAAACTGCAAGATAAGCCTTTGAAGCTAGGTGCAATTGTTCAATACAGGGGACCCGAAGGATAACCATTACCTGGTGTCCCTAGTGTCCCTCACAGACCTGGAATTCTGTTTTGGGTTAGCCTACTCGCTTGTCAAAGGATCCACCCATTGACTGGTTTCAAGTTTAGGGGCTCTATAGGGTGAAGGGTTTACCATAAAGAACCTACATTGGAGGATCTGTTGGAAGGTGTAGGCACCGAGCAGCAGTAAATAAGCCCTAGACCTAACCTAGACCCGCCATGTACCCTTTAATATAACCCAAATACCCACAGGGGCCCGTAGGGGGACTTGGAAGAAATTTCACTTGAAACTTACAGCCTTCGGGCGCGGTCGACTGGAAGTTTCAATGTTCCTCAGTACGGTTTACGCTTGGTTTAGGTTTTAGGGTCCAAGTATTCCTTAGTCCTTAGTATTGGATTCTTGGGGCCTTGTAGGTTCCAAAAAACCCATAAATAAGGACTTGCACCCTTAGGGTCTCCCAACTGGCTACATGCCCAGAGACTCCAATATCTCTTAATTAGGGAATGTACCTTAAATTATAGTAGGATCCCTAAGATGGTTTAAGGAATATTCCTTGATTAAGGGATGTTGGAGTCAGGAGTCTCTGGTTAGTTTTTTACCGAAATTTGGCGTCGAGTGTTGTTTATGGGCTCGTAGTTCTTTCCATAGTCTTTCTAAATGTCAGTCAGTGCTACTATTACTGGAACGGTTCGAATCTGCTTACTACTTACTACTGTTGTGATTATCACATGTTTTGCAGGTTCAATGGTTTCGAGCTTTGTGTTGCATGCGAATTTGGGTTTTTGTGCGAGCCATGTTATCATGCTTGCTTGTACTGCACTGCACGTGGCTGCGGTTGATAAAATTCCGTTCATGTCAACGTGCCGTCTCTGCCACTTTTGGTTGTGTATTCTATACGGGTCTGGGGATTTGCGATTGGGGTAAAGGGGCTGATACGGGGTTGTAGGGACCTTCTAACAGCCTAAGCCCTCAAACCGTGTACGATGCCGTAAGTGCAGCCCGGCTGACAAACTCCTAGCACAGAGCGAGATTAACCTGGAGTCTCGCCCCCCATCACCTAGTATAGTATAATAGTAGAGTAGGTAACCTTCAACCTTTTTGGGTAGTATAGTCCCTATATAGTCCCGAGATAACCAAAACTTTTTGTTGCCCCATGATACCCGACAAGTACCCAGAGAGCCAAATACACCTCAATTAAGGAATAGAGCTTAAATCATAATATGAAGCCCTTTATATTTTGAGCCATATTCCTTAACTAAGAGGTATTGGGCTCTCTGGGTAGGATCAACAATCTCGCAGCTCTTCCCTGAGCCGAGGAGCATGGTCCATGAGACACGCGAGAACCTGGCTGTGCGCGGCTGAGCGTGTCTAGGGTTTAGGGGGTTTATAGGGTTTAGGGTTTATAGGGTTTATAGGGTTTATTAGGGTTTACAGGTTAATAGGGCTTATAGGGTTTATAGGGTTTATAGGATTTAGGGTTTATAGGGTTTTTAGGGCTTATTATAGGGTTTAGATGGCGCTCTTGGTCATTGGTTGGCCGTATTCGCGTTTGTCCTTATGTGCGTACCCTATATAACAACTAACCCGGGAACCTCAATTCCAATCGTTAAGGCTCCAATTTATAAGCGATACATGTGAAGTCGAAAACGTGAGGCTCGCGTTGTGTGACCCGGCGAGAATCCGTGGAAGATAGCACGAGGGTTCTACACTGACATGTGCATCTTGCTAGATGAAGAGAACCTGTTTCAGGGTTAGTTAGTGATTAGAATCGAGCAGAGCAGAATACAAAACGTAGTATACCATAACTTATAATTTAATACGGTATGTTTGTCCATTGAAAAGCCATTGGGCTCTCTCACGGCTTCCCTTCGTTGGTGCAGAAGTGCCTCTTTTTCAAACCGTCGGAAAAGCCGCACACTTCCCTGCACGAAAGCAGCCGTTAATATAGCAGCATGATTTTCAAGGCATCATGCCATTCCAGCCTTTGCGTAGCGAAGTCTAGTTACAACAGGGAAGGCTTGAGGGCTCAACTAAAACCCTAAGCTAAGCCAAATCAGAAGTACTTCATTACCTTGAAAACAAAAACCCTAAACTCTAAATCCTGCCCTTTTGGTTAGGCCTTAATGGTACCCACGACAGATGTCTTGAACCTAGAATCCTTAAACCCTCTTCGGAAGTGTCCAACATCGTCTATACGTTGGCCCAAGGCTCACTGTTGTGGGAGTCCGCTTAGCGGCCTCAGTGTATGCCCTCTGCGCACATGGAGCCTTAGGGTTTTATCGTCATTGCTTACAACGCCATGTTCTCAAAAAAACCATAGGCTCTGAACCATGTAACCCCCCCAAACTCTAAACTTCCTAACCCTACCTGACATTTGCACTCCGGGCCGTTGCCCTCGTAACAGGGAGCCGAAAAAAGCAGAACAAAGATCCCCGTACAGTCCCTATAGTATGCTGGTTATCGTATGCCCCACAGCCCTCTGATAAGTGTTAAGGCCCCTCTTAGCCTCACAACACTTTCCTAAACAATTTAGAATATCCCAGCAGAACCCCTCTGACACCCATACTACCGAGGCTCCATCTTGTGTAGTAAGGGCCTACTGCTCACCCAGTGATGTGTTTATCAGAAACCCTACCCCCTAAACCCCTAAACCCTAAACCCCTCAACCCTAAACCCCTCAACCCTAATCCCCTCAACCTCTAAAACCCTAAACCCCTAAAACCTAAAACCCTCAAACCGAAGGCGCTGATGTCGGATTACGATGAGATCGCTGAGGTCTACAAGCCTCCGGACCGGCGCAGGGTTGCGTTTTTACCTGGCCCCAAAGGCAGAAAAATAGCATTCCTTTAAAGAACCCAGAGACTCCAATATCCCTTAATTAAGGAATATCCTTTAACTCATATTAGGGATCCTACTATAATAGAAGGTATATTCCTAGGGGTCCCTATTTTCGGAAACTCCCATGTGGTCCACTGTAGGGGCCTTAATATAGGGTTCCTTTAAAAAGTTCCCTTCAAACGGGTCTATAAGGGTTACTATAAGCGCAACTATTCAGGGTTTAGTACAGGGGCCTTGTTAAGGCCCCAGAGGTGTAGAACAGTAGCCAATGCCGGAGTTCAAGGTCAACCTGAGGGGATATCATGACATCGCTCCACTTACTGGATACCCTTTAATACACCGACACATTGAAGGTTTTATTCTGGATCTGAAGGGACTTGGGATTAGGGAGCTCCGCTGCTGGGCCAGACTGCCCATGGTTAGATCGCACTTCCGGCACGAGAAGCTGTAGGGCTCAGTGTTGAAATTTATGTTTCATGTCTTGCGAGGCTCTTTCGGTAATTCAAAGGGATCACACGGGTTTGTAAAAGGTTCCTATATCGAGTTGTCTTGCTGGTTCGCGGTTCGCGTGTAGGAATACGAGGTAGCTTTTTGTAGCCTGGTGCGTTTCAAGCCCTTACGGTACGGCGCCAATCCAGCAGCAAAGCTCGCGAAGCAAGCTCGCTCTCTCTGAGGAGTACGAGGACGACGAGGAGTTTGAGGAGTAGGCCGTCGTGAGCACTAGTCCCACCTAGTAGGCTCAGAGTTTAGGCTAAGCCCTAACTGACCTAAACACCACTACCAGAACCCCAACCTTCCCTAACCGTGTCAAAGACACTGCCTTCCTGCTACCAGCTGCGAAGCGAAGCATCGCAGCTTGTGGCCACGCTTGCGCTGAATCCTGACGAGGGTTCAGGCCTTGAAAACAAGTATCTAATTTGTCTTAAAAGTATGGTTTGTGTTGCCTTAAAGAGCCGCCAGAACAGATTGTACTTTTCGAGTTTGTCGATCTGGATCGTGCGGGATATTTCCACTTTTTCCCGTTTGCCCTTGTGCTTCGTTCAACATGCCCTAAAGCCCCTAAACCGTTAGGGCTTAGGGTTTAGGGGTTTCATGAAAGCCTTGAACCCTCCGAACGGTTCTCGGCGCCACGTGAGCCCCACCTCGGAGTTTCCAGAGCACTCCTTGCTTCCCACTGGAGCAGTGTGACATAATATAGGGATGATTAAGTACCTATACTATTCATTTTGTTGGGTGACATATATAGGGAATTACTAATTACCTATATTTGTTTTGGTGGTGCCTTATTACAACTATATATAGTATTAACCACCCCCCAAACCCTATTCCAATTATTAAGGCACCTACCTTTGAGGGGCACTGAAGGCGTATTCACAGTCTGAGTTTAAGGTTCCTTACTGTAGTGATAGTATAGTATCCCCCCGCCCCCCCCCTTTTTCCTCGAACTCGAAGTTTCCTCGGCTTTAATCAGGGCCGATTCTATTCCATGAAGGCAAGGGAAAGTTCCTAGCATTCTAGAGTCCTTTCGGCTGGTGAGAATAGGGGTACCTTACTCTGGGCTGCTTATGATAAGGATCCTACTATTTAGGGTACTATATTAGAGGAGTTTGTGGATGCAAGATGATGGTTTGGGTGGCAGTGTGAAGTTCATGCTTCCCCAAGTGGTTAGTATGCAGAGAAGCTCAACAGTAGATTGCTTTCACTGTGGTATAGTTGTTCTTAGTAGCAATAACGTTTCATCAGCAAAGTATGAAAGTACTGATATCATTAGCCGTTCGAATAGCCATGACAGTTGTAGATATAGCACGATTGGCAACAGTATAAACTGCTGCTAATATAGTAAGTACTCGCAGTAGAAGTATTGTTTGTACGAATATTCGTAATAAGAAAATTTGAGTCATACCAGCAGGTTAATCTTGACAACGTTTCTAGAACTAATGAGGTTAGTATTGTGAAGGAGGTGCTCAGAAACCCGTGTCGCACATTGAGTTATTCATAGGGACCCTTAGACTTCCTTAGCCTTATGAGGTCCTTTTTCTGGGCATTAAGGCCCCCCTCCCCCTAAACCCGAAACCCTAAACCCGAAACCCTAAACCCGAAACCCTAAACCCTAAACCCCTAAACCCTAGCCCCCCTAACCGGGTCCCTATGTGTTATGATCGTGGCTCACCCCACGCAGACCCCAAGAAGCCTCGAGCAGACTAGTTGGGCCTCGAATTTTAGGGTTTAGGCTTTACCTGGACCCTGAGGAACCTGCCTGTTTAGGGTTCCCTAATCTGATTTCTTTATAATTCTAAGTCCTTAAAAAGGTAGGTTCCTTGGGGTTAAGGTAGGGGTATAAGATATGGGAGTTTCCGAAAGTTAGGGCACCTTATTTAGGGGTCCTTCTTCTGAGGATCCTACTATTTAGGATACTATATTGGGATGCCCTATTTGCGGAAACTCCCATTTGGTCCACTGTCGGGACCTTAATATAATAAAGAGTTGCTTTAACGGGTTCCTTTTAAAGGGATCCATAAGGGTTGCTATAAGGGCTAGGGGATTTAGAATAGGGGCCTGAATAATTACCTGTTGGGAGGGGTCCTTACTATAGTTATAGTATAATGAGCCCCTGTATTACCTGCACCTCAAATCACCTGCGTTTTTTAATGATGTGTAGAAAGCACACATATTGCGCAACCCTAAAAGGTAGGTGTTGCAGGGTCCAGGTAGGGTATAGGGCTGAGGGGTCTGTCTCGGAAGCATGTTGTTGTCGTTTCGGATACACACCGGATTACTCAGTATGTCTAGTCAATTTTGGTTCCTGAGGGGCTGAGTTATGATATAGGCAGGAGACGCAAACTCCAGCTGCTTGAGTGACTACACCTATCGGTTTTGTCAGGTATGAGAGATCACCACCAGAAACACTGTCATCACAACAACGAGTCAGTGCTATGAGTTCATGGCTATTGTTGCAAGTGCCAGGGATAGCAACATCACAGCAGATTGCCTTCGGTAGTCATAGTCCCACCGGGGGACTGTGCCATATTGTTACTGTCGTTTTTGATGCTGGTCGTCCTTGTCGTCCGGTGGCTGGCTTTTGATGATGTTGACTCGATATGCACAGCAGCATTATTGCCTCCGCGGTGCTGGTCTTGTTGTCATTGTTGCTGCTAGCTTTTGTGGTGTTCGTCGTCGTCTGGTAGGTCAGGTGTCAGATAGCCACTTGGAAAGCCAGCGTCTTTTTGCTGTTCTTTATCCTTGCAGATCTTTCTTCTTTGTTTTCGTGTTAGTATCATTATTACTGGTATAGATGTTCTTCCTATTATTGTTGTTGAACCCGCCTTGGGGCTTCTACGGAAGTGAAACTCTGGCAACGCCGATATCCCTCGTTTGTAAGGCAATACGTCTCCACCTTCCCCAGATCCTTCATCCGAAGCCCAGCATCCGCATCCTAGAGTTTAAGATGTCGACTAAACTCCCAAATCCTAGAACCCTGAATCCCAAAACCCCAGCCACGAGAAGAGCATTAAACTCCCTAAGCCCTAAACCCAAATCCCTAAACCCTAAACTCCCTAAACCTTAATCCTTAAGCCCTAAACCAAATCCCCAAACCAGGAAGTGTATGCAACACCGGGAGTATCTCGGAATCTGCGACGGTTCGGCTCAGCCCGAAGTTGGCGAGCCAGTTAGGCTCACGTCGGGGCTTACTGGACGCACCAGGAGGCGGTTTAGGGCTTATAGGGCTTAGGGGTTTGGAGCTTTAGGGGTTTGGGGTTTAGGGGCTTAGGGGGTTTAGGGCTTGGGGCTTGCAGCTCTGGGTTTCTTGGACGCACCTTTATAGGGCTTACTTTAGGGGTTTGGGGTTTAGGGTTTAGGGGCCTTATAGTAGCCCTTGTAGTAACCCTTATAGACACCCCTTAAAAGGAACCTTCTAAGAGAACCCTATTCTAACTATCAAGGCCCTACAGTACGCCCTTCCTTCCATCGGTAAGTCCCAAGACCCTACTTGGAGGCCCTTTTGACTTAGTATGTCTACTTAGTATCCCCTAGAAACCCTATTATAATCCCCATAACCCACCTTACTAACCCTACTTACTAAGTCAAAAGGGCCTCCAAGTAAGAAACCCTAAACCCTATAGATCCCTTTAAGGAACCCCTATAGATCCCTTTTAGGACCCCTTTAAAGGAACCCTTACTTACTAAGTCAAAAGGGCCTCCAAGTAAGCTCGACCATAAAGCCACAAACAGCTCTGGATCGATCGACGGGGCTGCTTCGGTTGCTGGTATAAATCCTAGGGTTCCTTTAAAGGGATCTATAAGTGTACCTTTAAGGGATCTATAGGGGTTTTAGGGTTTAGGGTTTAGGGATATAAATCCTGCATTACCCACAAGAAGGACTATTCCATAACTCCCATAGTTTAGGGTGTTTAAGGTAATGCAGGATTTATATCATCAAGAGTAGTAAGGGGTCCGAGTGAGGCATTTATGTTTTAGAGGCGATGGGTTGAGTAGCATGCAACTTTGAAAGAGGGCCCTGGCCGAGAACACCGTCCGGCATGGCTCCGACAAGATCAGCCGATGTTGTGATGCGAGCAGTAGAAAAGATGCAAGAGGCTGGGGTTTCCGTTGATTAGGGTTTAGGCTTAGGGTTATGGTGAAGGTTTAGGGCTGATGTTATGGCCTGGAACAACGGATCCACTTGTACTAGCAGCCAGTAGAATGCTTTCCTTCAGCAGAGCCATCGCAGTGAGCAGTGCTACATGCCAGCATTGGGCGCATCGTATGACCACATTCGACGAATAAAGAGGGTCCTGTGCTGGCTGATTCCTTGAACACTCGGATCCCTGATATGAGTGATGCTCAGTGATGCAGGTGTATTTCAAGATCTGGGCCTGTTGTCGGAGTAGTCAGTAAGACATGTCGGAGTTTCCGAATATGGTGGGTACCTTGTTTCGGGGTCCTTATACTAAGGATCCTTCTATTTAGGGTACGACTATATTTGGGTCCCCTGTTTTCGGAAACCCCATGTGTCGTATGTAGACTGTCCTAAAGCGTCTGGAAACCAAAGCCAAAGCCTCAAAGCCAGCCCGCGAGGGTGCTAGGGTTGAGGTTTTAGGGACTTTGGGTTTGGGGTTCTTGGTTTTAGGGTTATAGGGGATACTTCCCCAAAGCAGAATAGTAAGTCCAAATATAGAAACCCTGCATTCTGCGATATAGGAACTATGGACCCTTTGGGAGCCAACGCTGAGGTTATATCGAGGGCCGAAGCTACCTTTCAGATCGCAGTGGGCTTGAAACCCACTTGCCACTCTGTGACGGAGTTGTTACATACCAGGCAGACAGGGAGTTCTTTCGGGCAAAGACGAGCACATAGCTTCGTTTCTAGGTCCTTTCACTGTGTGTCGCAGAGGCTTTCTCGGACTGAGAGAGAAGAAGCTTAAATAATTACCAACACTGTTTGGAGGTTCCATATTCTAGTTATGGTATGATGGGCCCCAAAATTGTATTCTACTTATTAAGGCCCCTTTCTTTACCCTGAGCCATCAGAGTAAATTGTGGCCGGCGGCCAGCACAATATGAAATCAGCTTGCAGCTTGCAGTATAGGTAGGAGCAGCACTTGAAGCTGCAACAGTAGCAGCACCCCCGAGAGTCTGCACATGCCTTTTTGTTCTGTGTGTTCTTCCCTACGCTAGACCCCGAGTAACGCTAACTGAGCCCTCCAACCCTCAAACCTCTAACCCTTACACTTCTTAGTTATACCCTCACCCTCCAAGCCTCAACCGTGAAGCCTTAAACCCTGTACAAGAAAGTCTCATCTCCATCTTGGGCTCTCAGCGACTCCTGTTCCAGTTGCTTCCCTTTCTCTCTCCAGCGACCCAGCGCAAGCGTCATGACCAGGACACCGGCCCCATATAAACTCTCCAAAACCCAAACAGCCTCGCCTTCCAAAAACAACACGTGACTTGAAACAACGATCCTTGGGACCTCTTCAATCCTAAACAGCAAAGGTCCTCAGAACCCTGCGCCCTGAGCCGTGAGTCTTTTCCTTTGAAGCTTTTCCGGAAGGATCGTCGCCCGAGTTCGTTTCAGTTTCCTGGAGTTCTTCGAGGAGGCTGAGGACGGAGTTGCCGCCGGCTCAAGGACAGCGGTCGGGGGTCGATATTTGGGTGGTTTGTAATTCTAGAGGTTTGAACGATCGACAAGGGTATTCCATGGTATTCCCTTTAAGTTCTGCACTGGAAGTCCCACATGACTAAGACTCACTAACCGACCTCCCAGGACCCCAAAACCCTCAAGCTTACAGCCTCAACCCTAAACCCCAAGTGAGTGGTTGTCAAAATTAGGGTCTTTTTCTGGGTACCGTAAATATTAGGTGGCGTATTTATAACAGAGACACCAAAAGGGACCAAAATGTTGACAACCACCCAGTTACTAATCTTACTCCAGAGCTTATAGAGCGCTTTAAAGGGACCCTTCTAGTATCCTTATAGAGCCCTTTAAAGGAACCCTTATAGTACCCGTACCCTCATACAACCACCCCAAGTGTCAATCCCCAGAACTTGCGGAACCCGACCTCCGAAAGACAGCTTGGAATCCTGAAACCTGTTGCTGAGGTTTCCTTAGATCCCTTTAAAGGGATCTATAAGGGTTCCTTTAAGGGAGCTATAAGGGTTTAGGGGTTAAGGAATTTAGTTTAACTTAGAGATCCCCAATACCTAACCTTTAAACTTTTTGGGCTCTTATAGTTTAGTAGGAATGGGAAAGTTCAACCTTGTACTTGTGTGGCTTGTTGCTGAGGTTTCACCTGAAGGTTCATGGCTAGTTAAAACGTGAGAGTTTTTGGGTTCAGGTTTCAGGGATTTGGATTTTTGGGGTTTGGGCGGTTTAGGTACCTGTCAAAACTGCCCTACTTAAATCCCGATTTAGGCTACCCATCAACTTTTGATTCCCCAAGAGCCTTGTGAACTGTTTGCAAAAATCCTTGCAAGACTGTGAACAGAGCTAGTAAAGTAGAGCGTCGGGTGTACTTTCAGGATCGCATGGAGACCGGTACTTAGGTTACTATACCGCCTCCCCTCGACTCACATATGCATTATCTGTGGCATAAGTCCCCAGAGGCTCTGGAAATAATATCCTAGTCTAGGATGCCCAGTAGTACCCTTATTCCCTTTTTGTAGTCCTAGGTTCCTTATAAAGTTACCCAATACCAAAAAGAGAGGCCTTTTTATTCTTAGGTTACTGGGTATCCTAGTTAGTAGTAGAGTAGGTAACCTTCAACCTTTTTTGGGTAGTATAGTCCCGTTATAGTCCCTATATAACCAAGAAGGTTAACCTTCAGTTCCCCAGGATAAACCCCAAACCCTCAACCCATACCCTCTTCCCAAGTGGTCCGGTCCCTTTATTCGACACCTTGCACAACAAAATCCGATTCTAAGGGCCCTTACGCTAAAAGTCTCAACTCCTTAAAGCCGCTGTGCATCCCGAAGATGACCCCAAACGCTCAACCCTAAACCCTATACCCTAGAAAGTTGGAATATGGTTTCAGGGTAGGATACCCTATAATTTACCATAAAGGGTTTAGGATAATCATATTCCAACTTTCCGGCTTTTACCCTATACGCAAAACCATTGTTAAAGAATCTTCCAGCAGGACTCGAGCTTTCAGTGCACCGCCGCTCCGATCTGCGACTTTGCTTTCTTGCGCGGAGGTACCCAGACTTCCGGAGTAGGGTTGAGGGCTTTATGCGATGAGGGTTATAGGTTGAGGGTGTTGGGTTGAGTGTTTGGGCGTTTAGGGTTGAGGGTTTTATGGGATGAGGGTTGAGGGTTTGAGGGTCATGGGTTGAGGGTGTTGGGTTTGAGTGTTTGGGGTTTAGGGTTGAGGGCTTTATGGGATGATGGTTTAGGGTTTGAGGGTTATGGGTGTTGAGTTTGAGGATTTGGGGGTGTATGAGTTTAGGGTTGAGGATTTATGGGCTGAAAGTTTAGGGTTTCAGGGGTTATGGGTTGAGGGTGTTGGGTTTAGGGGCTTAGCTGGGCCCTGGTGTATGGGGGGGTAGGTAGGATAGCCTCTCGCTTGTAATCGTTGCCATCATGCGGCGTTGGTAAAGATGATGTTCGAGACAGCGGTTCCCCAAGCCCGAAACTTAACTCCACGTCATCGTTAAAATCTTCTGCATCAGCAGCATTATCAACCGTATCATTGTGGCCCCCATCGCTACAACCCGCATCATGACCTAGATTGTGGCGACCCCTGTTGCCATCCCAGCATGTGTAAGCATGCAAATGCAAAGAGCAATAGACAAGTAAACATGTAGATATACATGCATACATGCATACATACGTATCTACCTGAACATTTATAATTACATACATACGTACATACATACATGTCTATAGATATACACACGCAGCCACATATGCGAAGTTTTCTAATTGAAGCACCTGGAAACTACATGGCCCATGTTAGTGTAGAGTTCTTAGCAAAAAACCCACAGGTGCAGCGTCCAATCTAGAATCCATTGAATGTTTCAGCTTTCAGCATATCAAACGACCCGACTGGCAGAACTAGTTCGTCTAAAAGGCCGGGGCCCACGGATAAAACTGATGTAGCCATACTTGGAAGATTGTTGGACTTAGTAAGTAAGGTTATAGGTTATAAGTTATAAGTACCTTACCTGTGGTTATAAGTAATAAAAGTATAGTTACCTGATAACCCTACTCCACGTACTGGTGACTGGCGGTGCTCAGAAGCACCGCAAGTTAAGCACAGACCGCAAGGGCACAGGGATTCCACCTTGCTCCCTGGGCTCTTGAAATGCAGCCGAATACTATAATACTATAATACTATAATACCAGAATACCATAGTACCATAATACTAGTACCAAAATACCATAGTACCATAGTATCATAATACCATACTACCATAATACCCCATGCCAGGAGCCGATGCTGCTAGATCCCGCGAAGGAGTCAAAGGAGTCGACTGAGCTGGCAGCTTGGTGATTGAATTGGCAGTTGTTTTCAAAGTTGGGGTTTCGGGGGTTTAGGGTTTAGGAGCGACCTGTTAGGTTTTGATATCGTTGCTTCTGGAGCTGGGTTGCTTTTTGAAAGACAGCTCGTCGGAAGAATGCTATACAGCTGGACACAGCTAGACCCCAAGCTGGACGTTTGGTGGGGCTGGGCATCGGAAGTTCGGCATTTATGCTAATCACGGTTAGTTGGAAGTACGTCTTTGTGCTTTATAAATAAGCAACAGCAAAAGCAGCACATGCCCCGAGCTCAAAAAAACAAACTGCAGCCACAGCATGTTCTGTGTTGCTGTTGGTGCTTCTTTGCTGTTGTTGCATGTGTTTGTGTGTGGCCGCGGGTGCATGTGTGTGTGTGTTTTGTATATATGTTTGTGTTGCCGTGGTGCCTGGGGGGTGGGTGGGTGTGAGGGGGTGTGTTTCGTTTTGCTAGCTGCGAGACAACATTCTAATAGTATTAAGCAAAAATTATCAAGCACAAAACCACCCCCCACTGCACCAAGCGCAACAATAACCCACCCCCTCCCACGCTATCTCGTGCGCCGACCACTGCTGCTGCTGCTGACTTCATCATGGTGATACAGGTGGTAGTAGTAGTAGTAGTAGTAGTAGTAGTAGTAGTAGTAGTAGTAGTAGTAGTAGTAGTAGTAGTAGTAGTAGTAGTAATAGTAGTAGTAGTAGTAGTAGTAGTAGTAGTAGTAGTAGTAGTTGTTGTTGTAATTCAACCAAAGGTACGCAATCGTGGTAGCGAAGGGCATCCGTTCTTCTGCGCTCGCCCTTGCATCCGCTATCACGCCTCCGGCACCTGCCAGCTTGGCAGCTTGACAGCAGTTTTGGGGGAGTACCTGTGGCACCCATCACCTGCTACTTTCAGGGTTGTACTACTGACTGTGCATTATGTTCACGGGGTCATAACATACCTTGTCGCATGGTCTGTCGCTACAGGTATTGCCTGAAGGTTTTTGGACCAGAGGTCAAGTTGTGTTGTTAAGCATCCAGGCGTTTCAGGGTTTAGGGACAAGGTTAACTGTAGGAATCCCAGTTGTAGGGGGAAGGGACCCGCATAGCACAGGGGTTTCTTGTATGTTGGGATATTTGTCTTAGGGATCTTGTTTCTACACTGATTGTTCAGGGTGGTGTGTCACCTCAGTTTCGATCTTTTTGCTGTCAGTTAAGGTGTTCAAGTTTTCGGGGTTGGGGGTTGGAGTATATGCCGCAATCAGAAACCCTACAGCCCGAACTTTCCCGATGGTTCAGGTTCCAGCTGCGGCTTCTGCCATCACGTGCACGAGCCCGAAATCAAGCTGGACAAGAGGCACCGTGCGGCTGTGTGCCTAGGCTCCAGACAGGTCATGGCCCCTCAATGGCCCGAGTTTAAACCCCAAACCTAAACGCTACAAATGCAAGGTCGGCTCATGGTTGCAGGTATTTCACCCTTACAGCTTTGGGAGCTTGTTGAGTTGTTCGGGAGTCTAGGCCTACACTAAAACTTGCAAAGCTTAGGCACACGATGCCCTTGCCGGAGCTGTTCGAGATCATGTGGCCCTTGCTTGAGCGTCGTGCCCGGGATGCCGGCGTTTCGGAGGCTGACATCCAAGAGATGTATCAGGTCCCTTGCCTTAGTGTACTTACCTGGACCCTATGGAACCTACCTTTTTAGGGCCCCCTAATATGATTTCTTTATATAAGTCCCTAAAAAGGTAGGTTCCTTAGGGTCCAGGTAGACATTATGTAATTGTTTTCTGTTTGGATTTTTAAGCAAATTTCAACGGATCGGTTGAAACCATTATGTTTATTATGGTTCTCAGGATTGAGGCTTAAGCTTAGAGAGGAAACGACCCTCTAATCCTACCATGACGGTTTAGGACTTGGTGTGTCCTCCTTAAAAACCCTAAAATGGAACTGAGCCAACCCTCAACCATGGAACTGGGCCATGCATCACGATTCCTGAATCCTAGACGCGATCCTAGATCTCACTCCCTGAATCATAAACCCCTTCATGACCTAATCTCTATAAACCCTTAATCCGAAGTGTCCGAGTACCTAATAATCATATACTCTCCAATACTATCCTACAAAACTACTATCCTAAGACCGAGTACCCAATTATTGGGTCTTTTGGACCCTCAGGGTAACATGATCCTTCAGGTCCTCAGCAACGAAAGCCAACCTTCTGTCAATGCGCGCACGATGACGAGCAGGGCCAAGCAGAACTTCCGGCAGATGCTTCGGTCGCTTGGTTCCTGAGTATTGTCCTTCTGCCCTTTTTTTGGGGTTCTCCTATTGAAACCCAATAGTAAGAAAAAAGGTTACCCTATTTATAACGGGGCTACACAGGAACCTAGTTGTGGTACTATAGTTCTTATACAGCCCCATAAGTTTAACCCTTGCTTCACTCAAGACATTGGGCAATTAAGGTCAACCAACAAGAAGATGTCGATGCTGCTCTCGATGATCGCAGGACGATGCTCCGCGGATGGTCAAGAGCAGCTCCTGGACGTGCTTCGTCGCTTGCGCAGTCGCGACTAAAATCGCCTGCAGAACAGGTGTTCTTGCAGCGCCTATGTTCGGAACGAACTTGGAATGCTGCAAGCTACTGAAAGATGGCTGTAGGGCAGGCCCTCACCTCTCTCGCAGTGGTCGGAAAGTCAGACGGAGTCCCTTTCCAGCAGTGGTCTACGGGAGTCATAGCATGTCCCGGAATCTGGCTTGACCTTAGCAGATCCAGGCCGTGTTACTCCCAGACAAGTTTTCTTTCCGTTGCGGAAAAGGCGCGGAGCGTCTGAAGCAAGCCTGTACCAGGCCCCCTTTTGCCGTCTGGCTGGCCTAGCCTCGAAACCGAGGAAGTTCCCCTGTTTAAATATGGGACGACCGACCTATAATTACTTGAGCTGCAGGGCATGAAGCCCTCTTGGGCTTTCTAAGGTCTGAGTTTAAGCCTGGATTCATCACTTTTACTAGTGACAGGCAACTTACGAACACACGTGAAACCGGCACACTGAACCACTTGATGAGTGGCCTATATACATCAAGGGCCAGAGAAGTGAGTATACACAACAAAACTGCGCGCATCCCGTTACTGGGACGGCAGCCCGAAGCAGGAATCGGTATTCTCTTTGCACTAAACCCTGACGTCAAACAGCCCCAGACCCCAAACCGAAAATCCGACAACTTGAGGGGGGGTTTTAGGAGAGGTGGTTTCCGGTCCCGGCAGGGGGTGATGATGGTTTATAGAGGTTTGAGTTCAGAAGCTTATTGTCGTCTTGCGGAGGCCTACCTAGTAGTAGAGTAGGTAACCTTTAACCTTTTTGGGGTTAGTATATTCCCTATATTATCCCTGTATAACCAAAAGGTTTAACCTTTACTTAGTTCCCCATGATGCCCGACAAGTAGGCTTAAACTCGACGACTTTCTCATCGACGGAATTCGACACCGAGGGTCTCCCACCGAGTCATTGGGTTTCTGCCTTTCAATCGGGGCGTGCTGCCTGAAACTGGCGCACAGACCCTGAGCTTTGGAGTACCATACTTGAATACTTGTCTCTTAAAGGAACCACGTTGAAACATAAGATTATACTTTATTCTCCCTCCTTACTTAAAAGCCCCGGTCCAAAACGATGACCATGGGAGTGTCATACTTATTGGCTGTAAACTCCACTTTTCATCTTTTGATGGCTCTTATAAGGTAGTCGATTCTGAAGTTATATAATTGGTTTTGGGCCAGTGAGCATAAAGTCAGGGACCCGATCCTTGTTCTACTGACCCCTAAACAATAAACCCTGAACCCTACATCTCGTTTCCTAGCTCTGAAAGTGTCCGACCGGATGCTGAAACCCTGAGGGGCATCTGGGAGTCACGTGTGCATGCCCGCCCACAAATGTGAAAGTATACATTTACAAGCAGCTCCTGTCGGAAGCAGTTCCCACGCAGCCACAACTGCGGGGTCTCAGAACAATGACGATCCATGCTTTGGGATGCACAAGACGGGTCTTACAATTAGAGGGTTTATGTCTTGGTGGGCTGTCCGAAACCCCTACAAAGATGGATGCTGGCAAAGAGAAGCAAGATCAGATCCAGAGAGGGAAAGCTCAGCACCCCAAAACCCCGAAACCTGAAACCCTAAACCCGAAACATGAAACTCAACCCAGCAACCCTAAACACGACACTCCCCCCCAAAACCCTAAACCCCCGCAGTTTGGAGCCCTAGCCGCCCGAAGCCCGGAGAGAACAGGTTGCTATAGGGGCCTTAATGATTACTATAGAGGCCTGACTGGTTAATACTCACCTGGGTTCCCTTTAAAGGGATCCTTAAGGGGATCTATAATAGGCTTCTATATTAGGGGCTTGAACACTTACCTATACTATTTTGAGGGTTCCTTATTATTATTAGTATTGTTTGTTCGGCCCCCAAGCCCTATTCTAATGATTACGGCCCCAACATTACCTAACCCCCGAAACCCTCAAGCCTAAATTCGAGGGTTTCAGGGTCCCAACGTCCTGAAGCCGAATCTCGGGGCTTGTGGATCCGAAATCCGAAAACACTACAGTGAACCCCAGAAAGTTGGAACATGGATTTAGGATGATTTGTGCTAGGGCTGCTAGGATTCCCTCTGCTTTACCTTAGGGTCATGAGGATACTGATGTTCCAACCTTCTTGTGTCTACTACTGCACAAACCACGTAAGCCCTATGTACTTGAAGCCGCCCAAAAGTAGGTAAAACAGTGGCCCAATGTACCTAGAACAGGCAGTTGTTCTTCATGTTGTCGGGGCCAAACCCTAAACCCTAAACCCAAGTCAAGAAGTCTTTCGTCAGAGGATGGGTCGGGGATTTTGCGGACAGCACTTCCTCGTCGTCACGTGTTTTGACGACGCCTAGTCGATTCCACCCCCAACCGGCCCCAAAATCTTCAGGCCTCAACAGTGGGAGAGATATGGAGCCTTCCAAGACTCAGCACCGTCTTGAATTTAGAGTTTTCGCATTTTGAGGGGCTCCGAGGGAATGTTTCGGGCCGGAAGGGCTACGAGTAGGGACCCTGTGGATCGGCAACCGACGGAGCTCAGCTGATTGCTTATGACTCGCAGGGAGAGACGCTGACACCGGCTCCGGGAACACCGCGAGCTTGGCCGGATGGCGGCCTTTTCTTTTGGCTTCTTAGGGATACTTGCTTATATACGGTTATCTTATATAGGGTTATGCCGTAGAACTTATGAAGCCTTCTGGCATTCAATCTTGCACTGCTATTTGGCCCTATCCGTCCGCCCGATTTGCTGCGGCGTTGTGTAAAGAGTAGATTCTTCCGCCGCGGCATGGTTTCTGTCACAGCTGGGTTTTGGGGCATTGGTGCCCGCCTGGCTTGTCTTTTGTGCACTTAGTGCAGTCCCTCCGCGACCTTGCCAGCCTTCCTAGAAGGCCTCTTCCCAAAGAGTCCTATAGGACCTTACTTGGAGGCCCTTTTGACTTAGTATGTCTACTTAGTATCCCCCAGAAACCCTATTATAATTCCCATAACCCACCTTACTAACCCTACTTACTAAGTCAAAAGGGCCTCCAAGTATGGGCTACGAGACTTGCACGTCGTTCCACGAAAGGCAGCATTGCCGACATCCATGCGGCGGCAATTGCGCCTGGGGGAGCTGTCCTTGGGAGACCAAGTTAGCCTACCAAAGACTTCCTGGTAGTAGCCCCGAAATGCTAAACCCTATAGTAGCCCCGAAATGCTAAACCCTACAGTACATCTCAACCCCCCAAACCCAAGCCCTAAACCCTGAAAGCAGCCTCTTTTCAGGTCCCTGCACCCTCAACCCCCTAAACCTTAAACCCCAAAGAACCCTAAAACCCTAAACTCTGAAAGCACACTCTTTTCAGGGCTTGTTCCTCCTTGAAACTTGCTCCCGGCATCCGCGGCTCCAAGGGGAGCCCAGGGTCTCTCCTTTCTCAGCTCTTTAGGCTTTAAAGGGTATTCTAGTAGTAGAGTAGGTACCCTTTAACCTTTCTTTGGGTAGTGTAGTCCCTATATGATCCCTATATAGCCAAAAAGGTTAACCTTCAGCTCCCCATGATACCCGACAAGCAGGTTAAAGGGTATCTAGCGTTTAGGGTTGAGGATATATGCTACCGTATGGGCTTTAACGTTTAAGGTTCGTTAGGGTTGAGGTATATAGTTTAGAATTTAGGGTTCTTGGCCCTATATCAGGGTCAAAGTACCAATAATTATGGGCCCCTCTACTACCCGGCCGCATGACTGCTATCCCGAACTCAACCTACTTGTTGGCAACGCTTATGCGCAGGCCGTGTGCGCAAAGCCACAACACTTGCATCACAAATTCAAAGCCCTACAACCGAAGGCGTGTGACCTGAATCCCTAAACTTTGCTCCTAAACACTCTAAACCCTTTAAATAATACGAGGCTGTTGTAGACTACCTTGAAATTGTTGATTCTAAAATTCTCCATAACCCTCCAAGACTCATCTGAGAACGGAGCCACGAGAATTCTTGGAATTAACCGAGTGCCGCCACGCAAATCCGACTCCCGGGCTGGGCCTTTTTCCGTTTGGAGCTTAACGGTAGGTTCTATACCTGGGGCCTTAAACACGTACCTTTTGTGGGGTACCCTAATAGCCCTAATATGATTTCTTTATATAAGTCCTTACAGAGGTAGGTTACTTGGGGTTACGGTAAAGCATGTGCCAGATTCCAGACGCTATGTTGTCAAGGTCGCTTTTGTAAATATCCGGCCCCGTGGGTTGCAGGACATTTGTGTAGACATATGTCCTATGAATGTATATACACTTGTTCAATACATCAGGCGTGTGTATATATATATATATATATATACATATGTATGGGATTGTATGGGTGTATGTGTGTATGTCTGCATGTACATGTATGTGTGTGTGTGTGTGTGCATGTACACATATGTGTATATAGTGCGCAAGAGCTACCGCCTACCTAACCGACAATTGCTAAGTCCAGGGAGCATTCAAGCGATTCAACTGCTGTTCTCTTCGATACCTGGCATTGCGATTTGCAGGTTCTGTAGTAGTAAGTTTTGCAATGATGCGGATCCAGAGCTCCTTTTGATGTCATGATATACACGTATACACATTCCAGGACTATCACGACCGCCAGTAGCTGCCATGGCACTGCCATGGCTCGAAGTATTAATGTTTGTTTCTGCGAAAGCTGTATGATTGGGGATGCCCTTCTCCGATGTGTGCTGCCACTAGTTTTGTCCTGATGCTACGATTTACGTCTCGCTTGTTGTACCAGTGGAAGTGGCGGCTGGTTTTTGTTCGGGTGTGTGTTTGTGCGTGTGTGTGTGCGTGTGTGTTTGTTGCAGTCGTCGCTGTTGTCATTGTTTGTTGTTGTGACTTGGCGTCTCTGTGTTCTGCCTTCGCATCACCAACATTTGACCAACAAGCGGTCACTACAAGCTCGGCGCCGGCAGATTTTACAGTGGAGATGTGTGCCGCTGGCCACTGCATGTCAAAGACATTGGACCATTCCCTTCGGACTGGTCCAGCATCCA